TAAATTGAGCGGCACTGGGCCTTGAGCCTTTGCAGGTGTCCTTAGGGAAGATGTGAGTTTAACCTTGCAGTAATCAGGAAGCTGGACATATACAAGAGATGACGTGATTTGGTGGAACAAAGGAGTCTCACTGATCGGGAATGACAGATGTACTTGCTATAGAATACAAGTCAATACAGGGTCCAGTATTTTTAACACCCATAGGTAATACCTTACTGCACTTTAGCATGGACATTTTATAAAGAAGGAAAGAATACAACCATTAAATATAATGGTATATTTTTACCCCATAGGAACCAAATACTGGTTTTTGTTTGTTTTTGCTGATGCCACCATAAGAATTTCCATATCAGAGAAATGATTAGTAGAAGTCCTAGTCTAAGATGCTTTGTGTGCAGCTTAGTAGCCTAAATGTAATGGAAACATTCCTAACATCAGTTATAGCAAGGAAAAGCAAATTTAGCCATTGTGGTTAACAAGTAACTGACAGCTGCCCCCCTCCCCCTACCCCCAGGTGTGATTCCTCTGCATGGTAGCACTTACAGGGCTGAGGAAGGATCACAATTTCTAGGCGAGCCTGCAGAGTGAAGTAGGACTCTGTCTAAACCTAAAAGTGCAGCTTCTGGCTTAGCTTACAAGTTACAAAGTGATACTGTGGTGATGCTCAACTGTTGCCATTTTACTTGGAGGAACCCCCACCAGGTCCTATTTTTGCCCATTTAGGTGTGCTGAAAGAGGAAAAGCTAAAAAGTCAGAAAGGCACACAGGAAGCCATCCCAATATAAAGACAATGAAACGATTCACAATGAGTCATAATTGCCTTCTTTTCTGACCAGTTTGATACACTGCCAGTCTCTACCTTCCCACGTCCTCCTTGCCTCACTTTCTCCCTCAGCTCCGTGCGTGTTTTCAGCACTTCTCCCACACATCAGCTTCCTGTCATTTTAGACTCTTAAAGATGAATATCTCCATCTCTAATTCTTATAGCTCATGCTCTCTATTGTTGGGTTTCTTTAGATAGTTGTTACTTGTCCCGAATTAGAATCTAAAATAGTGCTGTAATTGTACTATTGCTTACCTTCTGTCCTCTTCACTCAAATCCTTTCTAATGCCTGTTTATTCAAAATTAAAATGTGCCAGGACTGGAGTTGTAGCTCAGTGGCACAATAGCTGTCATGAGGTCTTGGATTCAGTCCTTAGCACCACAGTAGAGAAGTGAAACAAAACAGCCCCAGTGCATGACCTGCGGGGCCACATGGCTAAGGTGGTGACCGTTCTTTACTTCCTATTGAAAAAGGGTGAAAGTTCTGGTACCATTTAATAAATAGACATGTTAGGAGATAACCTAGAGGGGGACATGTCCATGCCCTTCTCTTAGTTCTGTTATGGTTGACTCTGTCTTTGCAAGATTCCTACCCGTTCCAGAAACCTATTTCATGGTGGCATAGATGTCTAGTGAGCTTTGGTAAGCTGCAGTGAATTTTTAATGCATAGTTAAGACAGAACTGTTAAATCAGTGACGTGGATATAAATTGAAAGGTGGACAATTGAGAGGGTTTCAAAATTCCAACCCTTAGAACGTCAAAATCTTGTTACTTTTTTAACATCAAAGATGAAATCTTAAACTTTTGTGTTTTAAAAAAGATCTGAGAACTTTCATGTAAGACAATGTATTTTTACCTCCATAGCGTCTTTACTCCTACATGCTTCTAAAAGCAGTACAGTTCATTATAGGAGAGGATTGGAATTATGCTGAACACCATGGGAAAGACTTTTTTTTAGCCTAATCTTGAAGGATGTTTTTATTAGTCAGTGTTTTAATGTTATGGACTACAAATTAGAATAAATTGTGGCCATGGCTTATGCCTGTAATTACAGCCCTTGGGAGGTGAGGTTGGCAAAGAAAAAGAAACTGAAGTGTATATACAGTTATATCTTTTTTGTTATTTGTAACGTAATGCTTTTTTAAAATTAAATTTACTCATTATTTTACAACCCAACCTGTTTCCCCTCTCTCCTCTCTTCCCATTCCTTCCCCCTACCTGCCCTCATCCACTCCTGTTTTTGTCCAGAAACGGGCAGGTCTTCCATGGGTGTCAACAAAACATAACACATCAAGTTGAGATGGGACTAAGCCCCTCCCCTTGTATTAAGGCTGGTCAAGGCAACTCAGTATGAGAAATAGGTTCCAAAGCCAGCCAAAGCATTAGAGACAGGCCTACTCCCTGCTAGGAGTTCCACACCAGTGGAGGGAGATCAGAGGACAATTTTGGGAACCAGTCCTCTCCTTCTACCATGTGGTCTCAGGATCAAACTCAGATCATTGGGATTAGCAGTGAAGGCCTTAACCCACTGAGCCTTCTCACATTGTGCTGTATAGTTCTGTTTTAGTAGATGTTTCTGACTGACACACACCATGACTTGACGTTAACAGTGACTTAAAGGGCAGGACTGTGTTAGACATTGTTTCTCTCCACTGGTGCATGTTTATTAACAGAAGGCATCCTGTATGTGCTTAACCAAGTAACTGATTTGTTCATCCAATCTTCTGAACAGACTGGACTATGGACAGAACTTGGAAAGATTGAAAATAATTTTTTAAAGCCACTGCATATAGGACTTAATATGTCAAAAGCACATTATGAAGCAGAAATTAAAAACAGCCAACAAAATAGCCAAGGTTGGTAGCATGGAGTTCTTTTCCATTAAGTCTAAAATTCAGATTCTAAATGATCATTTTTATTTTAAATATTTTATATGTGTGTTCCTGAGAGTATTTGTGTACCATATGTGTGTGTGAGTCCACGGAAGTCAGGAGAGGGTGTTGGATCACTTGGAAATGGAGTTGCTGGTGCTTTTGAACTTCCATGTGGTGCTGGGAAATGTCCCAGGTTGTGTTAGAGCAGTTAAGTGCTCTCAGCCACTGAGCCATTTCTCCAGTCCAAAATTATCACATTTTTGGTACATTTTCACTATATGCAAAGATGAGGGGCTATGAAAGCTGTATATACGTAATTAAAATGATTCTTAGCCAATAAAGCTGTTCTTCTATAGAATCAGTTCACATTACAAAATTCTAGTGTTTAATTATATTTGTAAAAATATTCTTTAAGGTGTTACCTCATTGACACATTATTTTTAAATTGGTAATGATTAAAGGGGTCTGTAAATAACAAGATGGCTCAGTAGGTATAGGTGTTTGCCCTCTGTCAAGCCCCAAACCCAAGTTTAATCTCTGGGATCCAAGTGGTGGAAGAAAAGAACCAGCTCCTCCATGTTGTCCTGTGACCCCCCACACACACACACACACACGTACCATGCACAGATACACACACAAAAAAAAATAAATGAATAAATACATGTAATGAAATCTGAGTGTTGGGGAGTGTGTTCAAGACTCTGGGTTTGAGTCCCAGCACCACACGCATGTGCACACACACACATCCCACAATGCTGAAACTGTTGTAGTGGCTAAATGAATGTTTGTCTTTTCCCTTACAGTAGCCTCAACGTGTACAAGTGTTTGTTCTGTGACTGTAGGTGGAGAAGAAATCCCTGCTATGCCTCCTGAAATGCAACTTAAGGTAACTCCCAAAATTTTAAGCTACACCAAGTCTGAGGTCTGTTCTATGCTTTGTTGTAGATGCAGCATTAGTAACTCAGATTTCTGCTGGGTGTGGGGATGTAGGCCTGGAGCCCCAGCAGTGTGGAGACTGACACAGGAGGGTTGCAAGTTGGAGGCCAGTCTAGGCTACTTCATGGTCATGGGACCCTCTCTCAAAGAGACTGATAGTGACCACAGTGATGCTCTTTTCTTTGGATTGCAGGTCCTACATTCAGCTCTTTTCACGTTTGACTTGATTGAAAGTGTTCTGGCTCGAGTAGAAGAACTCATCGAAATCAAAACAAAGTCTACCTCTGAGGAAAATGTTGGAATAAAGTAAAATTGTTTCATAAATAAAAAACAAAAAGATGATGTTTTCCAGTGTATTTTAGACTTTTATAAAAATTATTTGCAGAAATGCACTGCTAGAGAAATAGAGCTTTTGGAGGTGGGAGGGCACCTGGAGAGATGGCTCGGTGGATAAGAACACTTCCTGCTCTTCCAGAGGACCTGGGTAGAGTTCTCAGTACCCCATGGAGGCTTGCAACTGTCTCTAACTCCAGATACAGAGGATGTGACCTTCATGGGTACCAGACACCTATGGATACATGTTCACACACGCAGGCAAAACCTCCATACATACAAAGTGATTTTAAAAAATGAAGTACTACTTTAGAAGATCCAATACAAACTAATACAAACCAATACAAACATCAAATATATATATATATATATATATAGTATGATCAATTATATATATGTATATATATATATATATATATATATATAGTCACAATGCTTTACTGATCACATACTTGTGAATTTATAAAACAAATCAGATACACTTTCTGCTTATTGGGTGCTTTTTAACACTATAGAGCACCTACTGCTAAGCTGGGTAGCACTCCACTGTGGAAATGTAGACATTCTGATTTCAGAACAGATGATGGTTTCTTACTTTCCTCCCTTTCCATGCAATGGAAGCAATCTTACAGAATATCCAGTGCCTGTAGTGCATTGGGAGGTAGAGGCAGGAGAGTTAAAGACCAGCCTTTACCATGTGAAACCCTGTCTCAAGAAACTTAAGAGGATATCTCTAGCAGCTATATATGAAAGTGCCTGCAGAGACTAATTTTAGAAAACCCCAAAATGTACATGGCTTTTCCTTTAGTCCAACTAGTAAATTCTGTACTTCCATTTCTTACTAGATTTGTGTATTCAACTTGGTATTATTAAGGAACTATGAGTTTTATTGTATGTACCAATTATTTTTCTTTGTTTTTCCATAGTTTTTATAACCCTGTAAATGCCAGGGTTAACACTGTCCCATGTAGCTACATTCCAAAACATTAAAGGAATCACTCCACCAAACTCCCAAAATAAAGTCATGTTTAATTGTATACATAAATAGACATAATTTAATAAGTTTGATATTTTTCTGAAAGAACATTTGTGATCAATAGTCTGAATTTGGACTAATTGAATCAGTACTCAGTTTTATCTTTTGGAGTGTTCTCCAAACAGGGCTTTGCTCTATGATGTAAGCTTTGGTTGTTATCATTCTATAGCAGATGCTGTCTATGTTTGGCTTGGAGGTAGTCTGAAAGAAGATGTAAGCATGTAACATTATTTACAGAAACACTATTCTTGTTGGATTGTATTTTTAAAAATTCATTCTATTGGAGTGGTGGCATGCCTTGGGTCCCCTCACTTGGGCTGACAATGCTTCCAAGAGGCATACACCATCTGACAAAAACCCCAATCCCAGGCATGAGAAACCCTCTTTTGAGTTGTTGGTCAGGGTTGTCCAAGAGACTCCCCAACATTACAGGTTATGGCTGTTGCCCTTGGTTGCCCCACATGTGGAAAGTAAGTCCCTACTGCTGAAGGCACTATGCACTTCAGACTTGGCCTTGAGGCCCAGAGCTGGAGCGGATCTGACACCATTCCTAAGAATTAGCTTCCATGGTACCAGAAGATGCCATGCAGGCTTCCAAATGAGAGAAGCAACCAACAGTCCTACCCAGTTATGATGACTATGAACCACAACAATGACCAGCATGGCTTGATAATCATAAAGGTACAGTAGTGGCACTCATAGCAGGAACCAATAACTGTAAATGGACCTGTTCAACAAGAGAGAGACCATACTTACTACTGGAACCTAGCTAACTACCCAGGACTGGTGAAGCCATGGATCTTAGAGGAAAACCTAAAAACACCACTTACTAAACCAGCATAATACCTAACTACACTTTAAATATTTGACCTTCTATTCACAGATAAATGTAGTCCTTGTCGCTCATCAAGGAAACTTCATTACAGAAAACCACAACCAATCAAGAGGTAGAGTTGAGGAGCCCAGTTCTGAATGATACAACCACAACTGTAACTAAGGCTCAGGGCTCATTACAAAAGGGGTCAGAAAGATTCTAAGAGCCAAAAGAATGGAGGGTTTGCTATGAGATTGTGTCTCCTAAACATGTCAGAATCTACACCTATGAAGTCTCATCAACATGAAAGTCTACGCATGACCTAAAAGAGATGACACCAACAGATGTGCTAACATGGAAGGGGAAAAGCTCATGAGGCCCTAAGCCTAGACAAAGAACTACAGGAACTCAGGATGCCGAGCACAGGAGAAACGCTGCCTCACTCCTTATCTAGTACTCAGTGGCCAGCCTGGAAATCACAGGTGTAACATTAAAGGGACAAACAGGTTATAGTTATGTATTTAGGAATACATACACATGACCACTAAAAAAAAAAAAGGCCATAAATTTGAAAGGGAATAGGGGTGTGGGGTGTGTGAGAGGGCTTTAAGGGAGTTAGGGGAGGAAGAAATGATGTAATTATCTCAAAAATTTATTCAAAAACATAACCTTAAAAATCTTTGGCCATCATGTGCATTTGTGTATGAGTATCTTTTCCCCCAGGTGCTTACCTTAGCTATAGTGCACATAAGGTCAACCGCATTTACTGTGTTGTGGACAGGTAATATTCTTAAGTTACTGCCCAAGAACCTGAAAAGAGAGTAGCTAAGTGACTCACATTTGCTGTCATTTGTAGGACAAGGAAGAAATGAGCTCTACTGTCCCAAGCTCATCCAATCACATCCTGCATTGTTGCCTTAGAACATCTGAGGAGGTTGTGTAAACAGAATTCAGTGCTCACTTTGGTTTGCTTTGGTGGAATAGGTCAATCATCAAATCAATTCTAGTCACCCTGGCTTAAGAAACAGCTGGCTTCCCTGTTTAATTACATATGACAGGTTATAAAATTCATTTCCTAGCAAAACAAAACTTAACTGCCTACAAGCATTAAGAACTGAAGTAAACAAAGCAGTATAAAAAAACAAACAAACACACCGGGCTGTGCTTTGCTTCCATACCTCTGATGAATCCTGAACATGAGAGTCCATTCTTCAGGCCCATGGAGTGGGGCAAATAGAACCAAAAAACTATTCTGGTGAATGTTAATAAACTTCTCAATTTTGGTTAGAAATATTTCCTCAGCTGACATCATACATTCTTTAGCATCCATCAATAAAAATGCAACTCCTAGAAAAAGTGAATATAATGTAGACACATAAAGTGAATTTCATAAACTCAATAAGATCAAGGATCCCAAACTCAAAAGGGATAGAATTTGTTATTATAATTCTTATCTAACAAAATGGTTTGGGTAATTCTTTGACATGCTCTTATAGCAGAATGACTGTTCTAAATACTTAAAGGAAAAACATTGGCCAGTATTTTTTTTCTGCCAAGGCACTATAAGTCTATTTTAAAAGTTAACCCTTCAATGCCTACAATCTCAGCATATGAAACACTGAAACAGGAGAATCATGGTGAGTTCAAAGGCATCCCAAGCTATAGACCAGCCAGGACTAAATAATAAGAACTTGTCTCAAAAAATATTTCACACTAAAAATATTTTAAAAACATTTAGTGGCAAGGCTGAGACATGGCTCAACAGTTAAGAGCACTGGCTTCTCTTCCAGAGGACCCAGGCTTAATTCCCAGACCCATATGACCGCTCACAACTGTCTGTAACTCCAGTTCCCTGTGATCTGACACCTTCTTACCAATGCACTAAAATAAATTATGAAAAAAAATAATTTACTGGCTTATTAGGAAGGCTATTCCAAAGGATACAAATAAACAGCCAGGGACAGGTGTCAAGGAAGGTGTCATGTCCTCCCCACACCTACTACCTTACAAGCATTCCATGTGTTCAACTTGCAAGATCATGTATTGACTTGCAAAAGCTAGAAATCAATGAGAAGGGTGGTTTAAAACAAATCTTCAATAACTTTTGTTGAAGAAACCTTCCTAGACTTTTGTTGAAGAAACCTTCCTAGAAGTTCAGGAATCATGTAAATTAAAATATTCAAATGAGCATAGAGATGGTATCTGGAAAAATGGATTAGTTCTAGCTGTCAGAAGGTGTAGTTGAGACAGTCTATATATAGACAGCAGCATGTGGTTACAGTGACTGAACACATTTGTACATTTTACATGACCTCTCTGTTCCTCACTGCCCTCTTCTAGTTCATGGGAAGAATTGTCAGAGTGTTAAATATACAGATAATAGCCAAAACATAAGGTTGTCAATAATATTTGACTTCTCTCTCCAGAGTGTTTTCTATTCAGTCAAGAGGGATGATCTGACTTGGGTAATTTTCAGAATGAAGGTCTTTCTAGATGCTATGGAAAGCACCTGCCTTCCAAAAACCTCTGCTACAGCAGTAAACCTAACAGAATCTTCTCTTTCTTTCTTATGTTGAGATGGTCTCCCTGTGTGGTCTAGGCTGGCCTTGGACAGCCTGCACTGGGATTGCTGGCTTGTGTGTGGCTGCACACTCACTGAGAAGTCTCCCTTCCCCCACCCCTTTTATCACTTCTGTTACTTCCCAAGCACAGATGGAGCTGCACCTCCTTATTCCCAGCACCTCCTCAGCCTAATTTAATCCTGTAATTTGCTCATGACTCACACACAGTTTTAGAATTTCAGGAACAGTTATTTGTCCCCATAAAGTTCTTCAATTTTTTTTTCCCAGTAAATATAACTGATGGGAATACATCATATATTGGGTTGGGTATGTAAATTTGACCAAGGTATACTGTTGGCTTCTGTTAACAGTTTATATTTATTGTTAGTTGAGATGACTTTTCTATTTTTGCCTCAGTTAGAAAGCAAGTACTTTTTCTATTCTCCACCAGACCCACTTAACCAAAGGGACATCTCCTACAGTTGGCCAGATGCGCTGCTTTGCAGCAAAAACAAAATGCAGCCCATTTACTCTATCAAAAGATAACACATTAAGCTATTGTATTGCTATTGGATTTCAATACTTAGCACATACATCCACATATTTAAAAGGAACTTAAATAAAGACAATTAGCAAATCTACCATACCGGAGAGAGAGAACACAATCGATCTTCTTTCCAATGTGTCTGAATACCGAACCTTGTGGCTTTGATTTTCTAGAGCAGTTGCAATGTCATAACTCTTAAAAGAATTTCAGAAAAAAAAATTAAGACAGGTCTGAAATGATTTTTATTATATCTAGTACAAAATTAAAAGTGTTCAATGGTGTGTTTTATCACCATCCCACTTAAAGATTTGTCACCAAACCTACTCTCTGGGGCAAAACACTAAGACAAGTGAGAACATTCCCATCAGAGATAAAAATGGGATCAGTGTTGAAGAGCTAAAAACTATGAGAACCAGGGCACATTCTTTTATTTATTTACTGGTTTTTCAAGACAGGGTTTCTTTGTGTGGCTGTCTGGCTGTCCTGGAACTCTATGTAGACCAAGCTAGCCACAGAAATCCACCTGCCTCTACCCATCTCCCCTCATCCAACCCCCACCCCTGCCCAGCAGGGAAAATTACTTTAAAAAAAAATAATCTATTTTATATCCCAGTGCAGTCTCCCCTGCTCCTCCCTTCCCAATCCATCTCCCCCATTCTCCCAGCCCCACCAACCCCCTCCTCTTCTGTCTCCATCCAGGAAAGGAGCAAGAAGGGTCAAGGACACCACAAGACAACACAGAATCAACTAACCTGGTCTCACAGAGACTGAGCTGACACCCAGGGAGCCTGCAAGAGACTGACCTAGATAGACAATCTGCATATATGTGACAGTTGTGTAGCTTGGTCCTCCCGCAGGACCCCTAACAGTGGGAACAGAGGCTGTCTCCAAGTCTTTTACTGGCTTTTGGGAAATTTTTTAAAAACCAATCTGGCAATGGGATCTTCTGCACATTAGTGAATGAGTGTGGGAGAAGCTAGGAGCTGTTTCTTGGATAGCTGAAAGGCCCATATATTACACAAAGAATACCTTATAGGTAAAAACAAATTTCCCAACTTCTGTGCTTACATTTACTGTGGGTGAGCCAGAAAACACATAAATGCAGCATGACTGTATTCTGATTTAAGTGTTACCATTAAAAATAGTTAACTTATTTATTATTTTACCTAAAATACCAAGTCATATCAGTCAAAGGGCTAAAACCTAAGTGGTTACTATATATTCTAATTGGTTAGAACTCAAGCTTGTTAGCCTCCACATTAAACATTAAAAAAGACCCATTATCAAGGTTAGCTCAGTGGAGAGCTGGGCAAGCATTAGGGACTGAGTTCACATCCCTACAAGTCATCTGAAAAGTCAGCCACAGCCACTCATGTCTGTAGCCTCAGCTGGACTAGCTGGACACCAGCCTAGATCCAGATCCAGTGAGAGACCGTCTTAAGAGGACAACAACAAGGAAGAGAAAGCAGGACATATCACATCTTCTGCTGGCCTCCACACATGTATGTACAGGCATTTGTACCCACATAACGTGTACACATACTCTACACATATGTGCATGTACACACACACACACACACACACACCCTTATCTAAACTAATTTTACATTTTCCTTCACAACAATATAATCTAATTGCACAGTCTAAAAATATCTGTTCCTTTCCTTCCTAAACAGAGTGTTTTATGTTACTGAGGCTTTGTCCTGGGGTTCAAACATGGCCCTTTCTTGTGTGGATTTAAATTGTACACTGCTTCCAGCAATGACAGATTCAGTAATTTAGGTCAACTCTCCTGCTGAAGTAACTTGAAAAGTGACAGTCTGAAACAAATCTGTGCAAATGCATCAAAGAGCTAGCAGGGTAGCAAGAAATTGTAAGGCCGAATTCTATACAGAAATCCAAAGGCAGGACCCCAGCATTTAGGCCATTTCTTCCCCAAGGGCACCTGCCAATTCAAGAAGGGCAGAGTCAAAGCTGAGTAGATCTTTTCACAAAAGTAGAGCAGCTGTCACGGGGATAAAACCATCTTCAAACCGCTTCAGCCCCTGCACTGGATTAAGGTGACGCTGAATCATTAGTACTGAGAAATGCCTTGGAGAAGCATTTCTTAGTCCGGGCTTCTCAACAGGACAAAACTGAATGCCTGCTCCCAGTTCTCTCCAACCGGTGCAGCTCTAGATACATGGAAGGTAAAACAGCTAAGTTTGCCAAATTCAGCAAATAAAAATAAACAACTCAGTTAAATTTGAATTACAAATGTAAAATGTGTTTCCAGTGCTGGAAATCAAATCAGGAGCCTTGCACAGGTGTGCCACCATTGGCCAGTTCGGTGATGAAATTTAAAATATAGCTTATGTATATAACATGCATTATTCGTCTAAAATGAAATTTTCTGTTTTGCCTGACAAACTGAGCATCAATTTAATTCTATTACAGAATTAAGACCTTTGTAGAAGAGCATATTCTTCTAGATATATTATAGACCTCAAACTACCTCTATAATTTTTAAAATATAAATTACAACACACACACACACTAGCCAGACTTACAGAGGTAAGTTTACATGAAAGAGAACCACCATAAATAGTGACTAATAAAAATGGGAACACAGGGATCCATATAGTTGGGCTAACAGATACATGTCATAAAAGAAGTCTATTTCTATGTTCGAGATGAAAGATGTTAAAACTTTTAGCAAAGAACCAAAAACAAAAAATTATGAACAGATGCAACAGATATTTAAGCCAGCAAAACTGCCTAAAATGTTAATCATATCTTTAAATTAAAAAGGAGTATATCAACAGGCACTTGGAAGGCAAAGGCAGGTAGATCTTAGTGAGTTCGAGGCCAGCCTGGTTTACAGAGTGTCAGGACAGCCTCCAAAGCTACACAAAGAAACCATGTCTTGAAAAACCAAAAGAAAAAAAAAAAAAAGAGTACATCAGCCAGGAAGTGGTGGTGCACACCTTTAATCCCAGCACTTGGGGGGCAGAGGCAGGTGGATCACTGTGAGTTCAAGGCCTGCCTGGTCTCCAGAGCAAGTTCCAGGGCAGCCAGAACTACACAGAGAAACCCTTGTCTTGAAACACTACCTGCCCCCGCCAAAAAAACCTAGCTCCATTTTGTTTATACATCACAAATAAAAAATACAATAATCAATATCTAGCAGTATTCTTCAAAGCTAGTATCTAGAAATTCTCACATGAAAGGAAATAGATCTGAAATAGGAAAGAACATTTTTAAAGATCAGAGCCTGTTAGAAAAGAAAAAGAATTCCAATATGAAGGTCTTCCCCATGGAAATGGCAATTTCAGAGTTCAGCCTAACAAATTTAACTTTTATAATATGATGTTTAGAAATATATAACTTATGAAAATATACTCTCAACATTAGAACGTAATAGAGAAATAAACCATTTTCCCCCATATTTCTTAAGAGATTAGGGACAAAAACAACTCACCTCCCTTTCCTCTTTTTTCCAGATCATGGCTTGAACTTTGCCAATGCTAGGCAAGTGCTCAAAAACCAAACAACTTTCCCAGTTCAGGAAAATGTCTTTAAACCTTAATTTCTAAGCTACATATGCATATGCAGACTATACGAATAGGTAGACTACAAAAGTAAACAACTCAACTGTGCAAAAATACAAAAGAGAAAAACCACAGCCCAGTCTTTAGTAAACACAGAGTCAAAAATAAAATCTTAGCAAATGAAATTTTAGGAGACTAACCAACTCTTTTAACAAAGAACCGCAATGATTCATTACTTAGATCTTTTTGGCAAATAACACAGAAATCCAAAGGCATTTGAAACATTGAACATATCTGAGTTTTTGGAGATGACCAAATCATGGGGGCCCTGGTTTAATAAATATTTAGTGTACTGATGAACCCCAAATCAGAATACTGTAGCAAGATATGGCAGTATATGCCTGTATCCCTAGACTTGAGATGTTGAGGCAGGAGGACCAGGAGACCAGGAGCTGAAAGCCATCCTCGATTATAACAAGTTGGAGGCTAGGCTCAGCTACATGAGACCCTGTCTTGGAAAAAAAAGTAAAATAAGCAGTAAGTGAAATATAAAAACGCATAGGGCCAGGAATGGCAGCACACACCTGTAATCACCATGTGTGGGAGGATGAGAGGAGGAGGTTAGAAATCCCGTGCCTTCAGCTCCACAGCAAGTCTGAAGTCTGAGCTAATGAGACCCTACCTAAAAAAGACACTAGAACATTCCCAACTTTCAAACATTTAGGGCAGTAGGGTTTTTAATGTGATGGTGAAAAAAGTACATAACTAATTTTGAAATACATTTAGCATATTTACTTTCTGTTCATGTAACTGAATACTTAAGCCTCAGACCTTTTAAATACTATCTTACATGTGCTGCTTTAAGTTTTGTAAGTGAAAACCAATGGTCTAAATGCTCCCTTACCTTGAGAGATGAGCTGATAATAATGGTGGTTGTCCATTTTATTCTTTCTTTTCTTCCCCTTGCATCCACTGACATGCCCTTGGATAAAACCAGATTCTAATTGTGCCACAATCTGAGAAAATGAAGAGCAAAGAAAACACATAAAACGTTTGATGAGTAAATAAATGTAAGACAACATCAAAGTCAGACAATGGAAGTGTCTGGCTGCATACCTGGCTATTTCACAAAGCTTAGGTTGGCCTCAAACTCACTGATATTCTTGCTTCAACTTCCAAGTGCTGAGATTACAGTTTTGAAATACCCTCTTTGGCTCTAAAACTTTCTTTTAACATTCATTGAAAAGCAATGGCTCATAAAGCACTAACCTAAAGAAAATGTGACTTGTGTCAAAAACTGTCAATTTATAAACCAAAGAATTAGCCTTTCAATATCAGAACACAGAAGGTGTAAACTCAGACAAAAGGACAGTTTTTATCCACAGTAATGACACCAAAACATCTTCAGCATTAGTGTCTTCAGGCAACAGTTCTTAAGCCCACACCATAGGGTCACAGGACAAAGGACAGAAGACATCTGAGCATACATACGTTGTCATGTAGGAAGGGAACCAGGATGTAAGAGTACTCAGTGTTTTATAAGCAATTCTGAATTCTATAGGTAAACCTCATCTCCAGTAAAACATGCACATCTAGCAACCAAACTGTTTTGGGTTTTGTTTTGTTTTGTTTTTCAAGACAGGGTTTCTCCATATAGCTTTGGAGCCTGTCCTGGAACTAGCTCTGTAGACCAGGCTGGCCTCAGACGCACAGAGATCGTCCGGCCTCTGCCTCCTGAGTGCCGGGATTAAAAGCATGTGTCACCACTGCCCAGCCCAAACTGGTTTTTATAGGATCCTCCAAAACAAACAAATATGTTCTTTGGAGACATAAGCAGGAAACATGTAAGAGGAGCCAGACTTCTGTATTGCCCAGAAGTACATGTTTAAAAGCAAACTACATTAACAGGGGTATAATGGCAGAGGAGGTCAATGTAATGGCCAAAAGTGAGTGGAATAGTTTAAATGGAAAAACAAACACAAACTGTGATGGTTTGAATAAAAATGACCCCCATAGGCTCATAGGGAGTGGCACCATTGGGAGTTGTGCCCTTGTTGCAGTAGGTGTGGCTGTGCTGGAGCAAGCTTTGAGGTCTCTGATGCTCAAGCACATTCTCATTCAAACCACCACATCAGACATACTCTTTATTATGTATACTTTATATAAATCTGAATGTCCTAAAGACAGCTTACTCAGAACTGAAGAGATTCCCTGAAGCCACAGCTGGCTCTGCAACCTCTGGTCTCCTCGGGCACCAGCATTCACATGCATAGATACCCAAAGTCTCACACCATATGCAAAATTAAAAACAATCTTTTAAAAAAGAATTGTTATTTCTTGTGCATGGGTATTTCTCCCTATGAATGAATGACCATGCACCACAGGTGTGTTGTAATTTGAGAAAAGCAGTGGAGAGAAAGATGTCATGAGACAGGGTTCAAGCAGAGAGGTTTTTATTAGGGAAAGGAATCATAAAAAGAGGAAGGGGGCCGGGAGACCCGCCTCTGGAGGCAGGAGGAACAGAAGAGAGAAACAGAGAAGTAGATAGGGAGGGAGGAAGGAAGGGAAGGATGGGAGTTGGGCAGGGGCCTTTTAAATGGGATTGTAATGAATGTGCACATGTGGTGCTCTTAGTGGCTGCAGCTGAGGGTACATCCTGTCAGAACCCCAAGGACAGACCAGTACAGATGCCTGAATACTAACATGGTACCCCTAGTGATTACAGAGGCCTGAAAAGTGGGGGGGGGGTGTCTGACTTCCTGGAACTGGAGTTGACAGTTGTGAGCTGCCATGTGGGTGCTTGGAACTGAACTAAGGTTCTCTGGGAAAGTAGCCAGTGCTCTTTACTGCCCAGCCATCTCTCCAGCTTTTTTTTTTTTTTAATTTTACATATCAATCCTCTCTGTCCCTCCCTCACTCTCTCCCTCCCTCCCCCTTTCCCATGCCCCCCCCACCACCCTCCCATCCCATCCCACCACCCCCCACACACTCCACAGGGAGGGTGATGCCTTCCAGGAGGGATCAACAAAATCTGTCAAGTCATTTGGAGTAGGGTCTAGGCCCTCCCTCCTGTCTCTAGGCTAAGGGAGTATCCCTCCATGGGGAATGTGCTCCCAAAGTTCTTTCATGCACCAGGGATACATCCTGGTCCTGTCAGAGGTCTGATAGACTGCCTAGGCCTTCTAACTGAGATCCATGTTCAGGGGGTCTGAGTCAGTCCAATGCTGGTTTCCCAGCTATCAGTCTGGGTGTTCGTTGTTCAGGTAAGCTGTGTCTGTGGGTTTCTGTATCTTGGTCTTGTCCCCATTTTCTTATCACTCCTCTCTCTCTGCATCTGGATCCCAGTTTGGCTCAGTGTTTAGCTGTGGGTGTGTGCTTCTGTTTCCATCAGCTACCAGATGAGGGCTCTATGATGATGGATAAGTTAGTCATCAATCTCATTATCAAGGAAGGGCATTTTTGGTAGCCTTTCCACTGTTGTTCACATTGTTAGTTGGGGTCAGTCTTGTAGGTCTCTGGACATTTCTCTAGAGTCAGTTTTCTCTTCAAACCTGTAATGGCTCCCTCTTTTATGGTATCTCTCTCTTTTGTGTTCTCATATATGCCGGCTGTGGTGGCGCACACTAGTAAGATTTGCTGTAGGAGGCAGAAGGATCACGAGCTCTCCAGCTTCTTTATAATAAAAAGTTTCAGTTAAAAGAAAACAGTCTTCCTTCAAGCCTTCTTTAAAAATCCTGTCTACTCCAGGAAAATAACCCTCCAAAGGAAGTGGGACTTGTTCAGAAATTCCTTAGTCTCTTGAGCAACTTAGCATATTTTCTCATCAAGATTGTTTAGAGGTGTATTTTATTATTACACCAGCTAAACTTCTTAACTTCAACTAAATTGACATTTTGCATGTTACCTAATACGGAAGTAGTTTAAAGCAAAATTTAGAAACCAGTTAATGCAAATGAAAGTCACTTTGGGAGACAGGTCGGTAGGGCCTCCCAAGGTAGTCTCTCCAATTTCTGCACATATCTAATAATTACCAAGCTCTTCCTGCTGAGTTAAAAACAGCTGCTCCATAATGTCCTCATTTATTGCATGAATGAATGAATAACAAACCTGCTGAGAGAAAAGGCATCTGGTGTACCTAATGCAGCACTTGATAAAAGCTGAATAAACTAAATTCATCTCCCTGCCCCCACCACACACAATGCAACGTGGCTAAAGGCAGTTAATTGATAACACACCTACACAACGCATACATGGCAATGTTTGTGGTTAGATTAGCACTGATTAATGTGCGTATATCAGTAATTGATACACTTGTTTAACCCTTCACACTCTCATTCTTAGTTTTGGAAACAAATTGTCTGGAAAGTGATTTTTTTGAGCACTGAAAAATGGGAAGAGAATCAGGGTCAGTAATTTCCCAAAGGTGCACTGCTGAGGATCAGAAACAGGAAAACTGGGGCTGGGGAAGCAACGTTTCCTCCGTTATTTCCACGGGAGAAAGTAGGCTGGCAGTCCAGACAAGAACTCATTTGCTCCGGAGCTATTTAACTTTGGCCAAACCCCCTAACCTCGAGTTGGCCTACCTCCTCTTCTGAAAAATGGAACTTAAGACACTTAGGGCTAGAGGGATGGACAGCTCAGTGGTTAGGCATACTGGCAGCTCTTCCGGAGGATTGGGCTTCAATTGCCGGCATGTGGTACACAGACTTGCATGAAGGCAGAATCACGACGCGCAGAAATTAGAAAACAACAAAACAAAAACCAAAAAACAAACAAAAAACTCAGACTCTGTGTCCTCCAGGCCTGGGATTTTGCTGTTCCTGTTTTGTTTTTCCAAGATGGGGAATGTTCTTAAGTTGGACAACATGTAATGTGGCCCAGTAACTCCCGAGACCCGCGGGGTCGTCAGGGCGTCTCCTGCTCTTTGTTCTTGGGATGAAGAACAATGGACAAAGGAGGTAAAACCACGGGGATCACCCGAGAGGCAGGCGGCTCTGCAAACCTACACTGCACCCCAGGCCCTTTCCCGCCTCCAGGGAAGCACGGGCGGGCTCGTCCCTCAAGGCGCCAACCCGAGGTAAGATGAGCCTTGGAGCCCGAGGGAACGCCACTGCCACAGGAAACACCGAAGGCAGGACGCCGGACACACACACACACACACGCACACACACACACACACACACACACACGCACGCACGCACGCACGCACGCACGCACACACACACACACACACACACACACACACACACGCACGCACACACACACACACACACATCTGACCTCCAGGCCCGGGTCTCCGCCCGAGCACCTGGCCACACTGAGTTTCGCCAGGCTCCCAGGGCCAGCCCAGCCGCGGTGTATGCTGGGCCTGGACTTCTGCGCAGCCGCAGACTCTGCTCCGCTCACCAGGTCCTAGGACCTAGGAACACCGGGCGCGTGCGTGGTGGCCCGTGCCTTTCATAACACTCAGCAGAGGCAGAAACATTTTCTGAGTCTGTAGCCATAGAGCAAGGCAAAGGGAATGCCAGCAAAATGAGGAAACAAAACAGGCCTGCTGCAGTATCCAAAAGATTCCATCGGGATGCTGATTGCTCTGGTTCTACCAGAGACAGAGACTAAACGTAGAGTGTCCCATGGAGTCCTCATACTTTTCTGGAACCTTATAAACTCTTCTCCACATGGCTCCTCCCTACAACTTCCTGTCAGCTAGTTGCTGACCCAGCCTCCTGACCGCAGGTGAATTTTACTTAATCAAAAACATCTTTACATCATTAAACAAGTGTTCCAGAGCATAAAAGTAACACGCCTTAAAATAATATTCTATAACAGGATCCAACACCCTTACATAGACATAGATGTAGGCAAAGTACCAATGCACATAGGATAAAAATAAATAGTTAAATAAATAAATAGCTGAGCTGTGGTGGTGCACGCCTTTAATCCCAGGACTCAGGAGGCAGAGGCAGGTGAATCTCTTGAGTTTGAGGTCAGCCTGGTTTAGAGTGAGTTTCAGGACAACCAGGGCCACACAGAGAAACCCTGCCTCAAAACAAACAAACAAACAAACAAAGTCCATATGTAAGTTAGTGCTATGTATAATGAATATAGACTAATTTGATTTTTATTTTATCATTATTTATTTATTTGTTTGTTTTTGGTTTTTCCACACAGGGTTTCTCTGAGTAACAGTCCGGGCTGTCCTGGAACTTGCTTTGTAGACCAGGGTGGTTTCGAACTCAGAGATACGCCCGCCTCTGCCTCACAAGTGCTCGGATTAAAAGTGTGCACCACCATCGCCTAGCAGATTTTTCTTTTTAAAGAATTGTTAGAAGATGGCAAAATGTCTTAACAAGTAAAAGCAGTTTGCCTACAAGCCTGACAACCTGAGCTGGGTGGGTTGCTGGGACCCATCTGGTAGAAGGAAAGAACTGACTTGGACTCTCACAAATTCTCTGACATCTGCTTATGCACCATGGCAACACACACACACACACACACACACACACACACACACACACACACATAATAAATGAAAATTTTAAAATTAAATCCTAAAATAGAAATATAATATTACAAGTAAAACACACTTAAAATGCAGCCAGAGAATTCAATCCACGTTGACAATGGGAAAGACTTGATTCTGAAGGATTAAATGGGCAGTGAGGATTTACAGGAGCATCTCCACAGTGGAAAGAAGGGAGAAAAGATAACTAACTTGTACTCACAAACTAGAGGACACAAAGGAGGAGAGCAGATACATATGTAAAGGACACTTTAGATGAGCAAAAGACCTGCAGACACATACAGGAAGGAGCCACCATGCTCTTGGCAAAATAAATGACAGGGATCTTATATCTGGACATGGCCTTTGAAATTACAAAGTAACACGAGGTGACCTACAAACAGCTACAAAAGGAAGAAAATGTTATGCTGGCTCCAGGCTTCTTTTGTTGCCCACTAAAGTACAGGAGATGACTCTTCAAAGTCTGACAAGTGAGATGCAGGGAGAATTGGCAATCAACATTAAAGTGAAATAAAGACACCACTCTCCTTGTGCACTAGGCAACAACTCTACCAATCTCACTGCATCTCCAGCCCCACTTTAAAGATACTTTGTATGGATCATGAGTATATTTCCAATTGTTCACTAATTTTTAAGAGTGAAATTACCATGTTGATTATTAGAATTTATGGCCCTTATTCTATTGCCAAAGGGCAGTCCAGAAAAAGTGTAGCTATCTACATGTAGCACATATAGTGTAGCACTATATGAATTTGAGGACAATTTTACTAAACTCTAGTCAATTGTAGATTTTATAATTTTATCTTTATTAATATGTTTGCTTTATATTTCTTTAGTATCTATTTTACTGCTCACTGTATCTTGACCATTTCTATTTCTTGTTCTGCTAACTTTGTTATTGTTTGTCTAATATTTCTTATTTAGCTGTTAGCATTCTTCTGACTGATACATAGAAGATACTTATATATTAAGCTCTTAAAATATTATTCATTTTCTTTCCTATTTTTTTCATATTAAAATATTTTAGTATTGATAGTTAAGTCAAAGAATGTATATGTACTTTGACACTTTACTTGGATTAGGTAGTTGTTGCTAGAGTTTATTTTTAGCCTGATCACCAAGCCAATTAGCCACAAATAAACACATGGATGCTGTATTAATTATAAAACTGTTGGCTGATGGCTAGGCCCTCTTACTGGCTAGCTCTCTTTTAATTATTAACCCATAACTATTAATCCATGTATTTTCATGTGGTCTTGGCTGGAGAATACTTGAACCTGTTACTCCTTTGGTAGCTACATGGTGTCTCTCTGTGTGGCCTCTCTCCTCTGTCCCCAGAATTCTCCTCAACTCCTAGTCCCCCCCCCCCCATCTCCCTGCCTCTAGTGGCCAATTCATCAACCAATGGGAGAAACATATACATAGAAGGACACCCCCTATCAGATAGTCAATCAAAATGAATAAAAATGTAATTTTGGTGACAATTAAAATAAATGGAAATATAAAAATGAAATGCTTTCACATGAGAGATGTAAGGACTCCAGATTTCAGCATCATGGGAATGACGCGTATCCCCACCCTCACCCATTCATACAGGGTGAGGCTCAGAGGGATGGCAAAGCCTTCCTAGGGGATCTGAATGCTGAGTGTGTGAAGAAAATATCACCATAGCTTTCTTCCCCTGGAAATTTATGACCTGAAGACAGTTCCCCTATAGAGGCATCTCCTATTGAGATTAGCTAACCCTGCCTCTGTGTTTATTGATATGTAATAACCCCGCCTCCTTGATTACATGTATGTAATAACCCAGCCTTCATGTTTATCTGTATGTGATAACCCTGCCTCCGTGTTCATCTGCATGTAATAACCTTGCCTCCGTGTTTACATGTATGTAATAACCCGCCTCTCTGTCCAACTGTATAAACACACTCTGCTTCCTGCGTGCTGCCTTTCTCCACCACAGAGCCCAGTCCACCCGACTCCTGCTTTTTGGTGTGTCTGATTGTCGTCCTTCCATGCCCCAGTCAGGTCACACTTTCTAAAAACTGTGCTTGGAAAATGCAATCATTTTCCCCCTAAATACTCTGCCATGTGTAATGTTTCTCTTCATACAGAAGCATTACTAAGTCTAGAACCTATTCATCTAATGATTATGTTTAAGAAGCTGTCAAGATCACAGTATCTTCAAATGTATGCTAAAATGACCAGTAACTTTAAAGAAAAGGGTCACCTTCAGCATCGATGAAGGTGTTAAATTGCAATGGCAATAAGCCAAATGACACTGGCATGACATGTGCTGACTCTGGCGTCTGTGGCACATGCAGCCCAACATGTTCTCATTTCCCGCTTCATTTTTAGATTGACTTAGCTCAGTGACTATGAAAAGCACAATTACCCCACACACTGTGCTTTGATTGAGTTTTAATGTAATATGCTCAGAATTTCAACTTGACTTTAAATTACAAATGAAATTTAGTTCCAAGTGTTATCTGACTTGACTAATAATAAACTAGTAAAAAGATGATGATGCTAGGAGTTAGTTTTCTAATGTAATTCAATTGGTTAAGTATGTGATTAATATGTATGTGTGGCCTGCAAGCTTCAGGATTTTCTCTGGTTTCTGCCTCTCATCTGACTTAATATTGGGATTACAGGTACACAACACTACATCTGCCTCCTCAGAGGTTGATGTCACCACATCTGGCTCTGCAGAGCTTCCATTTTAATTTGTTAAACAGAAAAATATTTTCCCAACTTTCCTTATGGTCTTTTTAATCTTTTTATGATATCTTTAGCATATCTATATTCTACATTTATAATAGCCAAGTTATCAATCAAAATTTTATAACTTTGGTGTCCGTGTGATGGTTAATTCTCATTGCTAGACACACTTGGGGTGTGTCTGTAAAGGTTCTTCCGAGAGGTTAAATTAAGGAGGAGAGAGACTCAGGCTTCATATGAGTAGTACCATTTCATGGCCAAGGCCTTAATCAAAAAGGAGACATAACCATCAACCTAACAGGGTATTGGTGTTACTATTGGAGCACAGGCATTTGTTCCTGTTTCCTAACCACGGGTGTCACATGACCAGCTGTCTCAACTGCCACTGTCACCTCTTTCTGCCATGATGGAGACTCCTTATAAACCAAGTACTTAGGTTGCTTCTGTCAGATAGTTTCTCGCATGAGAAAAGGAAGAACAAACTCATACCCTTATGGTTTGCATATCCTTCCTACCAAAGATCATTTTACAATGTTACTCTCCTGATCCCCTTCTGATGTCACTGTTTCAAGTTAAATAACCAAATCTACGGAGGTGATTTTCTCATCTGAACTACCAACATTCTATGTGAAGTCTTCCCAACATTAAGTGTCATTGTGTGCCTTAAATAAATTGTCATATGCTATTTTAATACATGACTGGACCATGCTGGGGCTTTGCCAAGGTTATGTAAGGGGCATTTCTGCGATCTGAATAAGAATTTCTCCCACAGGCTCATATATTTGGGTGCTTAGTCATCCAGGAGTAGCACTATTTGAGAAGGATTAGAAGGCATAACTTTGTTGAAGTAGGTGTGGCTTTGTAGGAGGCAGTGTGTCACTGGAGGTGGCCATTAAGATTTCAAAAGTTAAGTCTTTCCCTCTCTGCCTACTGATCAGGATGTAGCTCCAGAACCTGCCTGCATGCCCACTCATGGTGATAATGTATTAAGCCTCTGAAACTATAAGCAATAAGCAACGCCCCCCCCCCCAATGAAATGCTTTCTCAGACTTTCTTTGGTCATGGTGTCCTCTGACAGCAATAGAACAATGACTAAGGTAGGCATTCTTCCATAAATTCTATCTTAGCTTCTTGCATTTCATGTGCTGGTATTTCCTTTTATTTCATAATCTAAAATGACTTAGTAATCTTGGTCAGCACTAATGAGACGGTGTCTCACTATGCTGCCTAGACTGACAAACTTCAGGCCAAGTAATTATCTACTTTAGCACCCAAGTATTGGCACCAGGACTGCCACCGTATGACTTTCTCAGTTTTTTTGAAGGGTACATCTAAAATATTGGCAGTTTCTTCCAAACTTAATAATCTATGCAGATTTTCTGAATCAATTTACTAATTTGTATTTAATTTATTCATTTCATCCACGGTTTCGACTGTATTTGTATGAGGTTGTAGAAAACCCTACCATATGCAAATTTCTATTGCTTTAATTAATATTGTACATTTGTGCTGTTCCCAGCATTAAGACCATGGGGTGGGTAGACTATTTTGGCCTGAGGAATCAGCTTTTTAGATTATTTTTCCAGTTCTGCTTTTCTTTAGAAACTGATTTAAAGTGTTTTCTTAATTGATATTTATTTAATGTGCATGTGCTCATGTTTGTCGATATGCTTTACTGTGTATGTGTTCATGTTTGTGGATGTGAATGCCCCAACATACTTTGGAGGTTAGGGGACAACGTGAGGAAGCTGGCTCTCTCCTCTCACTACATAGGTCCTGGGAATGGAACACAGATCACTAGGCTTGGCAGCAAGCCCCTTTACCCGCTGAGCCATCTCGACAACTCTTTTTACTGACTGAGTTAAATCCTTCAGATTTATTACGGTTTAATTTAATGCTATTTTGACTGTAATCTTATATAACTAATTGAAACATATCAGGGAATCTAAGTTAAGAACAAATCATGAATTGGAAAGAATTCAGAACCATGAAAGGCCTGGTTGGCTCAGCTCCTGGACAGCAGGCATTTATAGAGGTGAAGGGATGCACAGAAACAGCATGATTGGTTCCAGCCTCTGCCTTGTTGGAACATGGTCTGATCAGTTGGAAGCCCGAGATTTCCTGAAACCTGGCTGCTTAAGGTTGGCCGAGACTAGGTTGTTGTTTGATTCCAAAGTTACATGTTTGAGTTGTTGATTAGGTTGCAACTCCTTATTGGGAACTCAAAGCACGGCTCCAGCCTCTTGACCATGTATTCCACAAAGTAGACCCACTCTAGAAGAAACTTTTATAAGGAGACACTTGATATTTAAATGAAGGTGTATCTCAATTGCAATTATTTTCAATTAAGCTCTCTTGCTATGGGTGAAAAGGGAGAGGTTGGTATTGAACAAAAACAGGAAACTTCATTATATTTTATGTAGAGGAAAGGTGCCCTATGATATTAAGGTAGTTTGTGCAATGATATTCATCTAAAATAATGCCAGAATCAAGTAGTCTTGTTATCAGACTCTACAAGATAATGCCAACATAATATCATCAGGAAAGTATCCCCAGCTAACCCTGCAGCCCAAACTAGCATAGAACAGGCACATGAGAAGGTCATGACTTGTTGGGTTCCAGAGTTATTCATCTTTAAGATGAGCCTTCCTCCGTAGTGCAGGCTGATCTTCAACTCATAGCAATCAGGGTGCCTGACCTAGGCAGGTTTACCCACATCTCAAACATATTGTCACTTTCAAACTGAGAAAGGAAGAATGTTTACAGCTAGTAATAACCAGTCTGCTAGAAGCTGAAGCATCTTAATAAACAATCCCACCTGTGACACGTTCACCTGTTTAAAGCTCTCTAAATGTTTGTCCTGTTGGCCTGCTCTAGTCCCTGTGTGGGACTCATATTTGGGCTGCCTGCAGTTTCCAGCTTTACTTGCTGTTCCATATTTTGTTGGTGTTTCACTTACATTTAAAAACTGAAAGTTTCCTGGGGGCTCAGGAGATGCCTCAGTGTTAAGAGTTTGCCATGCACACATGACTCAGAACCCAGTAACTTGCTGGGTGGGTGTGGTAGTCTGCTTGTACTGACAACCTCAGAAGGCAGAGATGGGATGTGAAGAACAAGCTGCCAGCCTTAGCCATGTCTAAAACCCTGGGTCTGATTGAGAGACCCTGCCTCAGTGAGTAAGGTGGAAAAAAGATCCCCAACGTTAGCCTGGGCCTCCACAAGCCCATGCACACACCGCCATCCTCACCGCCATCTCCACATGAGGTGAAGGAAAACAGCCCTCATCAGCAAGGTCTACTCTCACTTGCTTGTTCCTGCCTATCTCTGTCTCTTTCAGCTTTCCTCCTGTTTATTTTTAGACAGGGTTTCACCATATCATGGCCTTGCCTCAGCCTTCCCTTCTTTCCCTTCCCTCTTTCCTCCTTTCTCTGCTTCCCTCTACCTTTCTCTAGCTCTTCACCTTTTCCCTCCCTTCCTTCCTACTTTCTTCCCTCCCTCTCTCCCTCCATCCCTCCCTCTCTTTTCTGTCTTGATGCTGGGACTTGAACTCAGGTTCTCTGGAAGTGCAGCCAGTTCTTTAGCGCTCCAGCCTGATCTTTAAAGGGAGCTCAGACTCAGTGCAATATCACAGTTCCCAGAAATAGAAAAGACAGTGCTAAAATCTGCATACAACCATAAAATATCCCAAAATAGCCAAAGTAATTGAGGAAAATCAATATAGCTGGAGGCATCACAAATTACACTACAAAGCTCTAATAATCAAAGCAGCATGGCACCACTGCAAAAACAGACCTTATAACCGAAGAGCTCAGAAATACATCCATATTGTATAGTCAAGCAGTCTTCATCAACGAGGACAGGACAATCTCTTCCATAAACGGTGCTGACAAACGACTACTCACATGTGGAAGAATGAAATTGGGGCTCTGCTTCATTTCATTCACAACAATCAACTTAAAACCTGCTGAAGTCTTAAATGTAAGATATGAAACTACTTAATGAAAATGGGGCATAAAAACTTCTATTGGTGTGCGCAGTAATTTTAAGAATTGTTTTTAATTGTGTGTGCGCATGTGTGTATGTGCCTGTGTGCAAGTGTATGCACACACACATGTGTATCTCTAGGCAGTTGTGTAGGGCACACGATCAAGTCAAAGATGGTGCTGAGGGGAAGTCAAGAGGGCAAGTCCTGAGTTGTTTACAAAATAAATGATTGGTTGCCTATATCAAACCAGATGAGGTCACTGCATAAACAGCCCATGTTCACTAAGTAAAGCTAGGGCACCTAGGCACATGATAGGCTGACTTTTAAAACCATTGGCTGTCTACCGACCCCTGCAGTTTTTTTTCCTTTAAAAGATGCCTGCTGGGAGATGTCATTCTGTAAATATGTTTCTCATAGTGGTTAATGAATAAAGCACTGTTGGCCAATAGGAAAGCAAGATAGGCAGGACTAGGAGACAAGGAGGATTCGAGGAAGTAGTAAGGAGTCAGCATGTAGAGACTGAAGAGAACAGAGGCCTTGGCCCTCTCTCCGGTAAGATGAGACCATGTGGAAATACTTAGATTAATAGAAATGGGTTAATCATTAAGACAGAGCTAGCTGATAAGAAACAAGTACCTGACCAATAGCATTATATCAAATACAGAGTCTCGGTGTGTTATTTGGGGCTGGTGTGGGGGGGGCTTATTTGTAACAAATGCCTGCTGTGGGAGTTCCTGCTTGACTAGACTCCCTGCTGTGTCTGACTATCTCCAGGATTCTGGGAGTCTGGGGAGCAGGCAGGCAGCACACTTACCTTTCCTTGGACCCAGCTCAGCTTTCCGTGGCTGGGCTAAGACTCCTGCAAGTTGTAGCTGTCCAGTGTAGGTGGTGGGAACTGATCCCATCCTCTTTACCACTGAGCCATCTCTCTTGATCATAGGCAATAGCTTAAAAAAAAAAAAAAAAAAAAAAAAATTCGATCCTCCAGGCATCAAAACAAAAATAAGTTGTTGATTGCTTCTAACTGAAAGTTTCTGCATAACAAAGCAAACAACAGAGCTGATTGACAAAGGACACTGAAAGGAGAACCTATGGAGTGGGAGGATACGTCTGCAAACCATATACCCAATAAGAAGTAAAAATCCAAAATAGCTAAATAGCAAGAAAACAACCTGATTATAAAGTGTGCAAAAGATCTGAATAGATACACCTCTATAGTGAATAAAAGAAGTGTGTGGTGGCCCCTTAGCCTAGCATGCACAAAGCAAGTCTTGGGTCCAACTCTGAACTCTCCAGAAGAAATGGTGGGGAGGAGGTTGTATATGGAAAAAAAAATGCTCAAGATCACTATGATGATGGAAATGCAAATTAAAACAATAATGAAACCATAACTGCTAGTATGCTTATTATCAAACGGCATTAATTAGGATGTGGGGAAGAAATTGTATTCACTATTGCTGTAAATGTAGACTGTTCAGGCAGTATGAAAAAAGGAGGAGATATACTCCTCAAAAAAGTCAACAGTGGCACATGCACCAGGTAATTATAGTCTTTAGGAGGCAGCAGCAGAGACAACATGACTTCAAGGGCTGCCTTGCTACACAGAGCATCACAGGCCAGACTCAAAAACAAAGAGAAATCAAAATTAGAAATCAGGCCTAGTGAAGCAGACCTATAATTCCAGTTACTAAAGAAGCGGAGACAGGAGGATTAGAAGTTCAAGGCTAGCCTGTGCTGCATGGTGAGTTCAAGGCTAACCCGAGCAATTTAGTGAGGACCTATCTCACAATAAAATATTAGACAGTGATAAAAATCTTGCCTAGCATTCATGAAGTCCTATGTTGTGGAATATTAGTTTAAGATGTGTTACATTAGTTTATGCTGTGGAGTATTTGATTAATGATGCAAAGATGTCTTGCATTCTTTAATTTGTTGCAATTCTCTGACTCTGTGAAGCTGTGTTACTTTGCCTGGTGTAATAAAGAGCCGAATGGCCAAAAGCTGGGCAGGATAGAGAAACAGTGGGCCTGATGGGCAGAGAGAACAAATAGGAGGAGAAATATAGGCTAGAGAAAAAAAACGGGAAGAGGGAAGAGCAAGAAAAGGAGGACAGGAGGGCACAAAGGGCCAGCCACTCAGTCAGCCATGGAATAAGAAGTAGAGAAAGGTATACAGAATAGAGAAAGGTAAAAGCTCAGAGGCAAAGGGTAGATGGGATAATTTAAGAACAGCTGGCTAGGAATAGGCCAAACTAAGGCCAAGCATTCATAAGAATAAGTCTCCATGTGTTTATTTGGGAGCTGGGTGGTAGGCCGCCAAAGATTGAGAAAAAACAAACAAACAAACACCCATAAAAAATGATGACAGTCCTAATCCAATCTCAATAATGAAAAAATAAAAACTGTAACAACCATTGGACTCAGCAATCCTACTGAGTCTTTTAGGCATCTAAAGGTAATAAAATCAAGGTTACCTATCCCCATGTTTGCTGCATTCTAATTCACTAAGGCCAAGATATGAGCCAACCTAAGTGTCTACTCCTCTGGAGAAATATTCTCTCCCACAAGAAGCTCGGAAAGTTACAAGACTTACAAGGCGCCTCCCCGCATTTACATGTGGGGAAGACTGTAGGCAGGCAAGGCTCCAGGATGCAGGGTTTGTGAGTCATCACTGGGGTGTGTGTGTGTATGTCAGGGGATGTTTACTGATGATGCGGGTACACTTGGGTGAATGGTTTCTTTGGTTTGCCATTGATGCCCTGCTGGGTGAAGAGGTACTTGTTCAGGTCTCCCCACGAAAAGTCATGCAATGAATACAACTAGTACCTGGACAGGGACTGACAGCTAGATGAGTTGGGGGAAAGGCTCCTGTAACCAGTGTTTGAGGCTGATCTGAGGGCAGAGTGTCTGGAGTAATCCTGATACAGTACTTACCTGCTGTGGTACAGCATGGCGTGTCTCCTGGCTGTTGAAGTAGGTGCGTGTGCCCTGCAGTGGGTGATAGGACATGCCACCAAAGCTGAGCCATCTGAGAGTGAGTCTTCCTTAGGGGTAATATTGAGGGGGCGTTCTTCCCTACATGGTATGTGCTAGTATGCATCCTTGTTAAATGGGGTCCATTTTACAACTGTCTCCCAGACAGCTGAGGAATTAGAGAATACATAGCTCAGGGTTGAACATATGGGACAGGATTCTAAGTGAGCTGTGATGGCTGCTGTGAGGCCTTTGTTGTGGCCAGTAAGACATACAGCTGAAGCGAAATTGTTTGCCACAATGAGCTTGCTCATGTAAGGGAAGCATGCAGGAAAAGCATGCAGCTGCTTTTCACACCCTCCTCTGATTTGGCAAGGAAGGTGGGAAAAGGGAGAATGAGGAGGAAGTGCTAGCTTGCCATTTCACAAAGCTGGCAGGATACAAGGGAACCTGTACAAGCTAGTTCTAAAGAGCACATCCTGATCCAGAAACTTGGGACCCAGGGAAAGAACCAGGGAGGCAATGAAGCAGAAGATACCCTCAAATCCAGCCTTTAATAGGAAGGAAAACCCATGATTCAAGTCTGCAGACCGAGGCCTTAATAATGGTTCAGTGTAGGAATCCGAGATCATCAGGAAACTCTACATTTAAACTCCTTTAATTGGGGGGAACTTCTGAAGAATGCAAAGACTTGCACAAAATGGCTTATGAGGCTGTGGCATATGGAGACAGATGGGGTTGGTGTGTAATATACTATATAGCCTAAAGCAATATGAGAGAAAAGGCTGAAATGAACCCCTAGGGACACTTAGTTGTCACTGGCCTGGGTCTCCATAATTATCAGGAATAGAAGACGATATAGAAAGGATAGGCAGTAGTAGTAGTAAGGTAACTGGGCATGAGAGAGATGGTGTTTTGCTTCCACAGGAAGGCTAGAAAGAGATTGAGTTGGCAGAAAATGGGACTCTGAGTCTGAGGGTATACAACCCCACCACAGAGAAGCCCATGACAGCACAAGTGAAGATCCTCATGAGGTAGGAGAGGCCTTAGTGGATCCAGATGACTTAGACTGGCACATAAGTTTGTTTTGTACAGCACTAAAGCTCTTGGGATGAGAGAGGGGTAAAGAAGTCTATCCAGGTCACTTGAAGGCAAATGTGACATGTTAATTACTGAGTTGGAGTGTATGAAAAAGTTAACAGAGTACCAAATGTAGTGCAAGTTAGCTTCTGAAGGCTTTAAAGCCTAAATAATTTACACAAAACATAAATGATAAACATTTTATAAGGCTATATAGAGAAACTCTATCTGGAAAACAAACAAGCAAGCACAGAGACTAGCAGGGGTGGGAAATGCACAGCAGCTCCATGGTAACAGCAGTAGTATCACAGGATGAGGAAGCTACAAGGTTCACAGCAAATGATATGGAGGGGCTAGATGGAGAAAGTCCCCATCCATGTACCCAACTTTACTCCTCTGACAACTGATACAAGTGATGGGATAATTCGTGCACTATTAGACACTCTCACTTGTAAGGGGTGATGGTAAGCCTTCAGATGAAGATCCTGCCTCCCTCTGTAAAAAGGTTTCATTACACAATATTAACCTTTGAGTATTTAATTTAAAACACTTTAAAAGAGCAGCTGTTAGGACAGTAAAAATAGCAGTTTAGGACATGATAAAGGCACTCTCAGGAGCCATAAGGTTATTGAATGGGGGGAGGCTTCACAAACCATTAAAGCCTTTTTCACAGTTGTTGACTGCACACAGTCAACTGAAGACAGAGCATCCTCTGGTTGACATGTAATGGAGAAACCAGGCTAACCACAGATGGGCACTTCCAGCTCAGCCCGTGACTCCTGTGGAGAAGCAACTGTTGCTAAAACACAAAAGGGGCCAATGCTCAACAATAACTTGAAAGAAAAAAGAAATCACATGTCTATAGCATCCACGCTTAGGCTCAGGAAACTTTGTGAAAGAGAAGGAATGAATGGACTATGTGGGTATTTTCTCCCTGTTGAATTCTTCTCTGTGGTGAGATTAGAAGCACATGCAACTTCCCAGGCTCATGAAGCAGTTGAGATTCACAAGACCGCTCCCCACATAAGCAGTTTGATGTCTCCAGCAGGATGAGTGGCCTGTAGCTGTGGAGGGAGCTCCAGGAATGCAGTTCCCACGAATGAATCTTAACCCATGCTATGATGGCCTTTTCTGTGATGGGTTGTATACCCACGCTTCTGTAAGTAAACCCAATAAACTCACTGATCCACTAAGGTAGACTCAGGTAAAATTGTTTCTTCGGTATGTGCCCTAGCTAGGATGAACATGCATTTGTTTATGCCTGCACAGGAAAAAAAAAAAATACAACATCTGAAAATGGATAGGAAAATATAGTATTGAACAGCCTCTGAGAAAAAAAAAGGGAGGTCCTGGGATTTGTGGTGTTAATGTATTGTCTTGATAAGTGAAGTAAATTGGCTATAGAAAGACTAACACTACATGGTCCCAGTTAAGTGTAGAATCTAAAAGTGTGAAGCTCATGGAAGCAAAGTGGAATAGTAGTTGCCAAAAGTAGCAGAAAAGGGGAAAATACTGGTAAAAGGGTATAATTTCAGTTAGTCTAAGCACAGCATGGTTACAACAGTCAATACTATATAATATAGTTGAAATTTTATAAAGGAATTGATCCTAAATATTCTTATACACACAAGACATCGAAGGTTGGGACATTACATGGATATATACACAAATGCAACCTGTATCTCCCCCACAATCATCTTTTGTTAGTAAAAAGATTTTTGTAAGCAATTTTGATCATTGCATGAGTTTTATATATATACATATATTATACATAATTTAGCAACTTTTCTTAGAAATATTGTTTTTGGGTATGTCAGTCAAGGTAGGCATGTGGGGTACAGGACAACTTGTGGGAGCTGGTTCTCCCCTTCTACCAGGTAGGCACTCAGGACCTTACTCTGGCTTGGCAGCAAACTCCTTTTCCTGTCCAGCCATCTCATCAGCCCTTTTTAGCTATTTAAATTTTTTCCACTATCTAGCTCAATGATAAACATTTTTTTTTTTTTTTAGACAAGCCTTTGAGATTATTTTAATCACAGACAGGGTCTTGCTTTGTAGCTCAGGTTGGCTGAGCATTGTGATCTTCCTGCCTCTTACACATGTTGGGATTGCAGACATGCCACCAAAGGCTTCCCAATTCTTTACTCTTACTGGCAGATCCCAACAGGGGAGAAAGTAGGTTGGATATGAGGTTATGAAAATTTTTGGCATAGACTTGCCTAATCATTTACTGAAAAGGTAAGCTGCACTCCTAAAATGGCATGAGGACAACACCATTCTCTTGCCTACACTGCCTTTACAGGAGAAAAGGGCTGTTCAAAATCCTTGTGGGTTATGGGTCTGAGAGGTCGAAGGAGGCACCTGCACTCTGACATACCCTCCTCTGATTAGCAGCAATGGTTATACACTGTCATCACTTTTCTTCAGGACGACTGCCTACTTCTATTTTTGAGCATCCCTGTTTTTAGTCCCCTAAGGATTTTTTCTTGACTGTTCAACAGTATTTTTGTCCCCAGCTCCCTGAATGTCCCACAGGTACCTCACACTTAAGTATGTCCTCAGTTAAACCCATCTTCTCTCCTAGATTTATTTCAATTTTTGGTTGATCAACAATCTAGGCCAACCCAGTCAGAAACCTAAATCTTCTAAGTTGACTTCTCATTTCTGTATCTGGTTAGTAGTTTGTTCAGTTCTGTCTTACATTACTCATATACACCCTCTCCTGTCTTTCCTAAGCCACCCCTTTAAGCTTTTATCATTCCAAAGTGCTCTCACCGATTCACCGATGTCTCTGCCTTTGTCACTCAACTCATAATTTTACATACAGTTATCAAGGTTTTTTTTTTATTTGAGATGCTACATAGCAGAAGCTGGCCATGAACTTGTAAACACATGTGCACACACATATAGACACATACATATAGAACAACAGAGGGGGACTGGCTGGCAAGGTCAGCAGTGGTGTTGTGGACAGGGTAACATGAGGTAAATACAATTACAGTACATTATATATGCCCATCAATTTGACAGAATGTTCTAAACTTGAAAGTGGTGATAGTTTCAGAATATACTACACTAAAAATCATTGAGTTGCATAAATAGGAGAATTTTATGTTATGTAAATTATTTAATAGAGATTTTATATAAAAATGTTGATGGATTACCCATTGTAAGTTTCAGGTAATTAATTCCCCACAAACAGACTTTGACTGTTTACTGAGGGTTAAACCCGAATAAATGAATTTATAATGGAAACTTAGAAATTCTAAGTTACTTCAAAATCAAGTTCCAGCTTATCTCTTCCCGTCTGTCTTTACTACCTCCCCTAGATACCCACCCTGGGCATCTTTCCTCAAAGTGCTGCTGTATTAAGATCACCCAGTTATTCATGCTTAAAAATAGCACCATGTGTTTCTGGCTGACCCAAGAAAGAAGATTGAAGAGCTTCAAATTTTCTCCAAACATTTTCACCTCCCAAACAACCCAAGTCAAAATAAAAATACTTGAATATTAAGAAAAAAAAAACATTTTTATAATCTCATGTAAACTCTCAACAAAAACATCTTTAAGAAGTTTATACCCATAATGGCTTGCAGTAAACTAAGTAAAATGACATACCTGTTGTGTACAGCACCAGCTCAACAGTCAATGGTATAGACAGCAGACTCCAGCTTCTGCTTAGCTGGTGCATCACTGACAAGTTCTGACCTACTGACAAGCTGTCTGTGGCTTCTCCTGCTCTCCTAACTGAATATGTGATTTTTACCATATGATAACAGTTTGTTATTTTTCTTTGATTTCTTCCATTATGTCAGATAATCCAGGATAAGGGAGAAATACAGAATATACAATTCAAAAGTTTCTGGGACCAATTCAACGGATGAAGGTGCTTGTGGGCAAGTCCAACAACCTCAGTTCAGCCCCCAGGTCCCACATGGCAGAAGAGAACAGACTCCTGCAAGTTGTCCTCTGACCTCCATTCTGTGACAATGAGTGAATATTAAAAAAGTTGTTTCCTATGTGTGAAGAATATATATTTTACAGACCTGTTGTGACATTTTAACATGATGGTGTCCACTGCATCTGACAGTCTCTAACATGACTAACAGCAGGTCAATGTTAGTAGTACATGCATGTCTATGCCTCCTTATATGGTGAAGCACTGCTAGACTCCTGCAGCACACGGCAAATGCATGCTCATAAAGCAGCTGTAAACATTCGACATGTGCTCAACTTCCCCAGGTGGTAACCGCCTAGGCAAAACATCTCTCCAGGGGTCTGTCTGTAGTGGTGATGCACAACTGAGTATGTTTTAAGTCTTAATGACTTCAGGTGAAACTTTGAAAGATCTGAGGATGGGAAAGGAATGTAACTTCAATTATAAATTTCTAAACGTTGGGGGAAGTTTATTAAAAGGAACATGTAAAATAACTTCACAATCATTAGAAAAAAAGAAAAACCTCACAAATGTTTTGGGAATGAATGTGTGCTTTAAATGTTACCATGTAAAACATTTAAAGACTACAAACTATTTGTAAATGTTTGTCACAGCTTGGTGAGAAAATGAAGTGTTTTGTGTGGTAGAAATAAAAGCAAATTGGAATTAAAAAATAGTACATTCTCACCCACAAGTTAGCAGTGTAACCTTTTAAGTTTTCTGGCCGTAAAAGCCTTCCTTTACCATTTAAAGAGATTATTCTAATCTTTAAACTCCCACCCAGCTTCAAAGTATAAAGTGCATTCATTTTTACATGTTTTCCTATATTCTCCTGCCCTTCAGTAGAAACCAAACCATTTATTTTACTCACCATCACCCTTGAATGCTTGCATTCAATGCCTATTTCTCTATTTTAAATAACTGAGGTATACCTTAAATGACAGAATATCCTGCATAGAGTGTCTAGCTTCTTTTTTGCTGTTGTTTCTTGTTTTTTGTTTTTCTTTTATGAGATACGGTTTCTCTGTGTAGCTTTGGAGCTTGTCCTAGAACTTGCTCTGTAGACCAGGCTGGCTTTGAACTCACAGAGTCCTGAGTGCTATACAGCCACACACAGCTGTGTGTACAGCCACAATGTAAAACTGGGAATGGAGGATGGCTCAGTGGGTAAAGGCAAGTGCCTCCAAGCCCAGTGACCTGAGTTCAGTCCCTGAAAGGGAGAGAATGACTCACAACTTGTCTTCTGACTTCCATACGTGTTCTGTGACACATGTACACAACCTACACACATAAACACACACAAAATAAATAAATGTAAAAAAATTTAAAGACATGAAAAAATTTGGGCTGGAAAGATGGCTCAGTGGTTAAGAGCACTGTCTGCTCTTCCAGGGAACCTGGGTTCAATTCCCAGCACCTACATGGCAACTCATAAGTGTCTGGAACTCCAGCTCCAGGGGATCTGATCACCTCACACAGACACATATGCAGGCAAATGCAAAGGGGAAAAAAAAGAATGAATTTTATGGTATAACAGATTAGTACTTAAATGAAAGCACAACTGTTATTTTAGAACAAGCAATTCTGTATTAAACTGGTTTTTATATTCAATATATTTATATACCCTATTGTTATTTTTAGAAAAATTTTAACTAAAGATTCCCTTACTTCTGACATATTCTAGAGAAACATGAATTAGTTACAAGACACGGTGTTTGAAATTCCGTGACCTTAAAGGGCCATGCTCACCATCACCTAAGAGCCAAGTGGTAGCATCGTGAACCTGCTTCCCTACAGAACTAGGCTGAGAGAAGTCTAAGCAAAAGGAAGGGTCTGAGCAGGCACTAGGATGCCCACATAAGATCAGAACTCACGCACCTCCATGAAAGTTTGGTGCTAGCTCGGTGCACGCAATTCCAAAATATTCTTATCATGGCGTGGAAAATAAAAGTGACTAACTGTTAGGGTCCACAAAGACAAGACAGTTTCCAGTGCCTCTCCCTGGATAGATCCAGAAAGCCCCATGTCCCTTCATTTATTAAAAATATGGTTGAAACCCAAGGTATACTCTCTTGTCGATGTCCTGGGCCTGAAATGATTGGAAAGTCGAGTGGGGCCCTCTGTCTCCCCAAACCCAGCGATCAGCCTGTGTTTGAATGTTATTCACAGATTGACTATATATAATGCACACAGTAAGTTTATTGTTAAATTATTATGGTACCATATGCAGAATCAAAAGTAAGGGGTTGATCTCCTTGTGCGCTGATGTGGAAATTCCTGAATAAATGAACAACTTACCAGCTAGGAAAGAGAAGTGGAACAAATATTTTCTATAAGTCTTCTAGTCTCTCTAACAGTTAAGGAAAACATGCTCAAAATTTTAGAAAACTGTTTTTAACATGAAGCATCATATTAATAAATAAGCTATATTTACATCAATAAACTGGAGACTCCATAGTTTTAAGGACAGTTTGTATCTAGCTAATTAAATTATAAATATTATGTAGGCATCAACAAAAAATACAGGGTGGTATAGTTTAAATTTTTCCTGAATGTTGAAACTCTTAATGCTGAGTTTCCAACTCCAGGATTGTCCACTCCCCTAGAGGTGAACAACCTTCCGAGGGAACACTAGCCATGGTGTTGTTACTTGCTGAGGAATCATCAAGTGGAGACGAGAGCTCACTCCACCTGTTCCAAGAGTCAGCGTGTGCTGAACCCTGAGGTTTTGAGCTATCTTGAGCTAACAGGAGTGTCTGCTTGATTAAATACTGTGCTAAGCTTAGGTCTTCAGGAAGAGAGTGTGTGACATTTAAGTTTGCGTCTTGTTCAGAGAGCAGCTGTCTCAGCAGTGTCCAGTCCTGCTTTGCAAAGTGCTGACCATCTTCAGAGTCCCTGTCTATGACATGGACTTCTGATTCCACTCTCTGCTCAAATGCTTCTGCTATATCCATCTCATATATTGGAGAGAGGGTTTTTGAAGGCCGGTGGTCATACATGCAGGTTTGTGCCAATGTGTCACAATCATCTATGTCTCCTGAAATAATTCACAATACTACACAATGTAAGAATTGCACATTGATACCACTCAGAGTCTTGTAGAACATTAACACAATATAACAGTATTAGCTCCTCTCAGAAAAACACAACATGGAAAAAAATAGCATTTTTACAAAATTGACAAAATTTTTGAGGCATTTATTTTTCTGTTAAAAATTTAGCAGCAAAATCAACATAGGTTAACTAACAATAATTTTCCGCATTTTAACTTAAAAATTTAGAATACAGAAAATAACAAATTATTTAAACATAAACATAAAAGTACACAGAAATCTACTTTGCTACAATAGAAACTCAAGGAGGAAAAAAAGACAGTCATTTGGGGGTATCTTAAAAATAACTGGGTTTCAGAGAGTGGGGGATAAATACACTGTATCTAAAGGCTTATTTGTATATTGCACATGCAAAGAAATATGTGAGCCAGGACAAACAAACAAAAAATACAACTTTGGAAGAACAAAGCTGTTTTTATCATTTTACTGAATAGGGATTTCTGGTCAGTATTTCTCTTAATTACCATACACAATAGTTGCTCAACCAGCTACTATTGTATATTTTAAGTCATTAGTACGAATTACTGAAATAAGACATAAACACAAAACAATAAACAATAAATTATCTCAGCATATGAAATAAGACTGTGCCTTTTCATATATTATCATTGCTTCTAAATATAATCTCTTATAGGAAACTCATCTTTTTGCTTGAAAATTTTAGAATAGAATTATATTGATCTTAGTTTCTGTAAAATGCATATAAATTATAGTAATTAATCTAGTTAAAATAGTTTAGTGCTTTTCAGTACATATTACTATAGTTATTTATTGCACAGCCCTCTTAGATCTATACTAGAAAAGTCCATAAACATCCAATGTAAAATAAAACTTCCCACAGTCAAGAATGCTTATATTAAATCAGACATAATAATTGAAATGGCACCAAACTAAGTTCCTTTTTTTTTTTTTTAGGTTAGGTAAGATCTAGCATGTTATCTGTGTTTAGTAAATAAGTTTTCCCACTACATATTAATTATTCATTCACTAGTAGTGTAAGCAAATAAATAATGAACAGCTAGCTCATTTCATATCATTAATAAATTTAAATTCTCATTTAAAAGTTGAAACTGTAGCTTAAATATTCTAATTAAAATATAGCATATAGGGCTACAGACAACTTTATATTCCTATGAATCTATTGTCCTATTTATTTAGCATATCTATTTCTGTACATTACCTGAAAACACAGCATTATTAGCTTTCTTGGGAGCTGTGGAATGGCTCTCTTCCACTTGACCTTCCTGAGGCAGAACCCGGCTCGGATAGGAGTCTAGAGATTTTGCTGAGCTCATCTTTGGTATGTTGGAGCTGAGTTCTCTCTGATGAAGCTCCAAATGACATGGTCTTTCTTGAGATTTTGCATCAATATCCAAGAACGTGTTGTGCTGCTGGAAGCCATTAGCCACCTCGCTTCTACTATTTACTCCCTCATCTTCTGGACAAAGCTGTTGGCTTCCTTTGGATGGGACATCTGACCTGTTCTTTTGGTCTGTTGAGACACTCTGTTTATCTTTTCTTGAAGAGTCTTTGCTACTAGAGCCCAGGAGAATGCTTTCATTTTTATATACACTATTCCCTTTATGTACAGTAGTATCTTCACTTTCTTTCAAAAGTCTGGAGTAGTCTGTCCTTCCATGGTGCTTGTAAGAAACTCCATCAAAAACATCAGAAGGTGACGGAGAATCTACAGAAGGCTGGACGGGGGTGTGGGCTTCCCCTTCATCTGACCCCACTTCTTCACATTCATCCACCGAGAGCAACACTGACCGTCTAAACCTTTTAGGTGCAGAAAACTCGGAGCTCTCGCGTTCAGTTCCATCTTCAAAAGCTAAGTTAATTATTCCCTGAACCTGCTGAGTACCTGAGTTGGACAGTGAGGAATTTTCCCCCACGTTTTCTGCTTCAGATCTCTCATCTTCTGTTTCATCTGCTGAAGAAGAAACCTGGTCCATTTCCTGAGCAAATGGGACACTGCCTCGTGCGATATTTTCCTTTTCCCTGGGATGGAGTATTGTAGATTGAGACCAAATTTCTGGCTTTTTCCTAGGCACCTCGTCATCAGTGGTTGAGCTGGTCTGGAAAAGGTCACCCTGTTTTTTCACTTTGACTTCGATTCTTAGGTTGGTGTCATAAACCTTCAGCTCCTCAGGGGTGCTCGTGTCACTGCTGCTCCTTCCAAGGAAGTCATGGCACAGCGTGGTGCCACACTTGGAGATGCCTCTGTCATTGGAGCCCTCGTCATCCTGAGACCCTCCAGCATCATAGTCTTCAGAACGGGGCTTTATGTCATCGGAGGATGTGGTAGCACTGCCACTGTCAGACTCTGGACTCTCTCTCTGATGTGTGACACTGGTGTTTAAGTCCCAGGGACTTGTGAATGGAGCTTCTGCAGTTTCATGGCTCTCTGGGGTTTCTGATGTTTCCATATTTTTATAATTTTTTCCTGATGGTTGTCCCAAAAGACATCTGGAAGAAACAGTTGAGTTGACTGTAGCACATTTATTGCCCTTGGTGGCAGAGTTGCTGGGTAACTGGCTCTGAGCTGATGATTTTCTTTCATCTTGAACAGAGTTTTTTAAGGTACCACTTGTCCCTTCAGGAACACACAGGGAAACTTCTTTTGCTTTCACGCAATTCATACTTGGTTTAGTGTCTATGTTTTTATTTCCTATTTGCTTTTCTCTATCTGAGAGTAAACAGATTTGCTCTGCATTTGCAGAGTATGAATCACAAACTAGGTTAGAGTTTGTGGAGTTTTCATTTTGGTTTGTAGTCATGGATTTTAGAGCAGTGATGTTAAGGCAATTAGAATTTGCACTGCAGTGATTTGTGTTTTTGTAACCAGATGTGTTACTTTGATCTAAACCAGTTTGTTTTGACTTGAGTTCATGTTTGATTGATTCATCCAGCTTTGAACTCTTTTGGCATTCTAGCTCTGGTTTCTTCTTTCCTTGACTGTCTAGTGGCTTCTGTGGGTAAGGTCTGCACAGCAGCTGGAGAGTGTCTGCACCACTGTTCTCAGAAGCAAGCTGAACCAGGGACCCAGGAGGCCTCTGTTTAAAAACATGGATCTTGTCGCTCGAATTGGGAAGCATGCATTTCTGTGTGGTGGCTGATTCTGCTTTGAAAGGTATTTGAGAAGCCTGAGTTTGCAGGGTAACCTCCCCGGGAAGCACTTTCTGTTTTGAATTTGTATTATTCAAAGCTCCACCTTTCTTAGAAAGACTTGGGTCTTTAGGCATTGGTACCACTTTTGCATTAACCTTCTGCAAAGTTACATGTCCTTGTTTGACAATTTTTCTCTTAGGTATCTGTTTATGCACAGCGGCACTGTGCCTCAGCTTTGTTACATTTTCATCAGACTGCCTCGAAGACACTGAGGGTTTTATAGAGTGTGGGGACTCTCCATGGCATCCTATGAAAATTCAGAAATGCAAAGTATTCTCAAATTCTGAGTGAAGCTTAATGTTTCCAAATCACTTTAGAGTAAATAAAATCAATAAAGCAACCAAAGGGAAACATCTAATATTGATAGACAAAACATAATGAACAATAATAAAGTAAAAAAAGGAAAAAAAAAAAACCCAAGACAAAACAAAACAAAAAAAAAAAAAAAAAAAAAAAAAAAAAAAAAAAAAAAAACAAACCTATTAGTTGGGTGTTGGTAGTAGACACCTAGTCCCAGCACTCAGGAGGCAGAGGCACGCGGATCTCTGTGAGTTCCAGAGCAAGTTCCAGGACAGGCTCCAATGAAATACAGAGAAACCCTGTCTCAAACAAACAAACAAAATCCTACCACCACCACCAATAACAACAAAACCTATTAATATTTAAAATATAGTGGACTACTATTCCAAGACTTTAGTAAAAAACCCATATAGTAGAATCTCTTTTCATCAAGAGTTTTTACTGTTATTCCAAAATTGGAATTTCTTTTAACAAAGCAGCAAGACAGGCCCTCTCTTTGAAGTGTCTTTGAGGGAGGGGGGTGTGTGGGGGGTGGGGGTGGGGGTGGGGGGGGGAGATAAAAAACAACATAGCTGAAAACAAGAACTGATCTAAAATAAAATGGATATTTGTGGAAATTGTTAGTTTTTCTGCAAACTGGAATAAACTTATACTACAGGATTGTAATTGTTGCTTATCAGGGGCTACCAACCCAGATCTGCAATGAGAACAAGACTGTGGGCTATAGAAAATACAGAATAAAGTTTATTAATTACTCCTTAAAATTCTATTTATGTACTCTGGGTAATGTCTTACAGATGAAATTTGGGGCATTCAATCTGCCAACTCCAATTACCAGCTTAATCTGTGTGTATGTTTGGGGATGGGATGGGCACTAGAGACTGACCAGGTGCAAAGCCATTTGTGTCTAATTTTTAGCTGTTACTAGAACAAGAATAATTTTATCTGCTTTAGATTTTAATTGCCTTTCAGCATTAATTCATTATGCAAATCAAATTATTTTCAGATTTTAGAAACTGCTCTTATGCAGGAGTGCTTAATACATAAAAAGTAACTGTGTGTGTGTGTGTGCATGTGTGATGTGTGCACACGCACATGTGTGCATGTCAACAGCAATCTCAGTTGCTCCCCAGAAGCCACACAGTTCCTTGTTTTTGAAGCTGAGCCTCTTACCAGCACTTGGGGCTCACTGATTAGGTTAGGTTGGCTGGCTGGCCATTGAGCCTCAGGGATCCACCCATGCACCCCTGCCTCCCCAGTGCTGAGACTCTAAGTGTGCTTGACCCCCAACGTTTAGGTACTGAACATCATTCCCTCAGCCATCTCCCTCCCTTCCTCCCCTTCTAGTTACTTTCTGACAGTGTTTCTCATAGCCCAGGCTGGCTTTGAACTCACTATATTGATCAAGGATTACTTCAGCTTTACTTTCCCAATGGAATGACTACAGGCATGTACCACAAGGCCCAGAAAAAAAGTAATATTCAAAATTGGTTGCTATGTGCAAATAATGTGACAGAATCAGTACTCTTTTTTTTTTTTTCTTAGAACCCTGAAAAACACCAGTATGGTGACAGGTTCTGCAGGAACTCCCCCTTCATACACATTTGCCTAGTTCCTGCTGTCCATTAAGAACTCTCCAGTTTTGGTTCACAAACATAATTCCTCTAGTCACCAAGGAAACATTCAAGAAACCTGGGCATGCTGCACAACAGGACCAGAAATACAGACAAGTCCTTAAAATTCTCTTCATGAAGGACAGAAAAGGCAAATCAATCCCCCAACACTAAAATATTTATAAAAATTCCATAAAGCTTTAACTCAGCAGTACGAGACAGTGCACAATAAACAAAGCAGTGCCTACTTTGCTTATCTGTAACTGCAATTCCAGTAGGAGCTTTGCTTGTCTGCCCGACTTAGGACCGCACCCAGAACCCTCACAACCGATGCAGCTTACCTTGAATTTGGGCAAGGGTGGGAGGGGTGCCCTTTGTCTGTGGCTGGGCTGTCGTATGTCCATTGCTGCTCACTCTTTTCTTCATAGCTGCCTGTGGTGCTGGGTCACTAAGTCCTTTGCCACTCACCTTTTTGATTACACTGGAAAAATGATTGCACTTAGCATTATAGTGAGACTTCAAAACTGAAACTTACACACACCGTATATGACCACAGTCATGTATGACCACGTATTTTGTCAAGAAATAGAAATTAGAAATATATATCTTTTGAAAATAGATTACCCTAAGATCATACACCTTTAAGTTTTGAAAGAGTAGACCACATATAAGACAATGCATAACTTGACATTAAGAAAGTTTTACTACACTGCACCATTTCATATAAATATGAAATGAAGTTCAAAATATAATTTCATAAATATATTTAAGTAAAGAAAAATCTTTAAAAACAGTCAGAGAAAAGTTAGTTTATAAATAGCAGAGACGTCAGGTGAATGGAGTCCTACCTGCTACCTATGTTAGGGTCTTGCTCATGAATGATTTTTCTTTGGAATGCTCCATTGATAACTCTTGAGACTGGTCGAGATTTTACAGCTATAAATTAAGGAGTATTAGCCATGAGAAAGAGGATATTAAAAATAATAACAAATAGAATAAATATACAGGCCAGATACTAAAAATCAAGTGCTACACAGAAAAGACCACATTCTCTCTTTTTGTAAATATGCATAAAAACACATTTTAGCATTTAAAAGTGATTAATGCTATCAAGGATCATTCTTTCTAGAACTTGTAAGTAGTAGAAGTTACTGAAAGTTAGGACTTCAGGGTTGGGGTGTATGCTTGTTTAGCAGAGTGCTTTCCTAGCACTCATCAAGTGCTGACTTTCACCTCCAGCAGCAGTACCAGCAGCAGCAGCACATAAACCAGGCACGATGGGACACAACTATAACCTCAGCACCTATGACCCAGAGACAAGGGGTCAGAATTTCAAGAGTGTCATCAACTACACAAGTCTCATGCCAGCATGGGCTACTAGAGAGAACCTATCTCAAAAACAAATTTTTTTTGGCACAGAGCTCGTGATGTAGATTGTTTTTCTAATATATATATATATATATTAATACACACACACATACATATATATGCATGCCATGGGTTCTCTCTCTCACACACACACTCAGATGTTAACAAAATATGAGTGCTAACCCACCTACAGTTGTCAGCACTCCATTATTCAGTGCCTCTCCTGGAGACTCACTTAAGTGTGGCTTCTCATCAGATGACCTGTCTCCCACAGTTCCATTTTCTTTTGGCTCATCCACATGACCAGTGGAAGGCAAAGGCTCCATACTCGAATCTATACATCTACTAGTGGGTCCCACAGTAGTAGGGCATGAAGAATCCTTCCCTGCCCCTGCTTTTGAAGGCTTGGCTCTGGCTTGCACATTGAGGTTTGCACTGAGTACCTTGGGCCTGGCCCCCGGGGCCTGTGCTTCTTGGTTCCTGACTCCTTTTCCATGCACCCAGTCCTTCTGTCCTGTTGCTGCCACTCTTTCTGGTCTTCCTGCAACTTTGGATAGATCTTCCAACTTTGTAGTATCATTGCTTTCTGTCTGGGGCTTTATTACAGCTTTAGCCTTGCCAGAAGCATTTTTCCCCCCAGTTTTCAATCCTTTTGTCACTTTGGATATTTTTATACTATCATTATGCTTGAATGCTTTATTCACACTATTTCTGTTAGTGCTGGATGTATGTCCACATGCTCCTAGTCCATCAGATTTCATGTTATGATTAGTAGACAGATACGTTCGATATGGATTTTTGTTGTTTTCCGCCCAAGGGTTTTTTTTTATAACATCAGCATCAGACTCTTGTCTCCTTCTCCTTTGCTAAAAAAAAAAGGGGGGGGGGAATGAGAAAAACCATATGAATTCACAAGTCTTTCTTTGATATAGAATATTTTATGCTTCAGTAAAGTTTTGGTTTAGCTTTTCATCATTGTTATTGAGACAGTGTCTTTCTGTGTAGCCCTGGCTGACCTAGAACTCACTTTGTAGACCAGGCTGGCCTGGAACTCGCAGAGATCCAACTGCCTCTGCCTCCTGAGTGCTAGTATTAAAGGCGTACGTTCACCACCAATGCCCAGGCAAGTACTCTTCCATGGAATGGCACAGCCCTAGCTTTTAAATTCATATTATGATTTTGGATCACTCAAAACGTTTAAAATTCATTTAAAAATCATTTTCATAAAACCTTTGAGTTTCTAACTAGCTGAAATACAGTATTAAATGTTTATTTAATTTGTGGTATTATAGTAGAATTTAATCCCTAAAGATTCAGGCTATCCTAAGTATATAACACTTGAGGGTTTGTGAAGCCCATTCCCAGGGTCCATGGTAACGTTTTTTTTTTTTTTTTTCCCCCATTATTTTACTTCAGCCTTACACAGTAACCCTGTGGCTATCTTCATTTGCCAGATAATAAACTGGGTATTAAAGCAGACATGTGACTTACCCAAGGTCACATGCCTGGAAAGGACACAAGTGGGACTTGAGCTCATGATTTATTGCTTAAAGGATGTAGTCATCTACAAGGTATAATCTGAGGGATGTTATAAAAATTTTCACCATAAATTCTTCAACTCAAATGCCAGGAACTTTCTCATTAAACATTTAACCCTCTGCACTAAGAATGATTTACTTTTGGGAGTCCTCATTAAAGCAAAAGACAAATGCTTCTAGAAATACGTACACCTGGAAAGCTGATGAATTACAGTTCTAGCTATCCAGAGTCTGTGGAGGGAAAGATCCAGAAACAGCTGAAAAGGAGGAGGAAGAAACAGGAGGGCAAAGCAGACTCCTCAACCATTCCCTGACCTGACCTTGACAACCTCAGAGGTGGCAGGAATTCTAGAATAAAGTGTTGTAAATACATCAGCATATGTAAAAAAGGGTTGACTTTTTCTACCCTTAGCAAAGCTGAGTGGGATTGTAGGGCAGGGCTTATATTGTCTTTCTCTTTTATAATTAACCCTCTTTCACATTCTACAACATACTGGGGGTCCAAGAATGTTTGCAACTGCTGTTAAATTAAGCATGTTCTGGTATATCGTTCAAGGCTTAATTTCTAAATACAAAAAGTATATGAGAAAGCTGACTCAGACAACATACATGTATATGTACGTATGTATGTGTATTAGACAGTAAATAAAGGCTAAATGTAGGATAAGGCAAGGTATAGTGCTATGGAATCAGCAGATGGTTGTGCTAGCTTTGGCTTAATGGGCCTGGGATATTTTGGAAATTTTAAGCATATTTTGTCTGCAGCTTTCTCCAGAACAGTGTTCCAGAATTCTAAGTGCTGTAAATGATTCTTCATTTTCTATGTTATTGACCAAGTCTTAACTTGAAACATAATATTTTCTCTCTCTTTCTCCCTCCCCCCTCTGTGTGTGTATGTCTCTCTCTCTGTGTGTTTGTGTGTGTGTGTGTGTGTGTGTGTGTTTGTGTTTGTGTTTCAAGACAGGGTTTCACTGTGTAGCCCTGGCTGACCAGGAACTTGCTGACCAGGAACTTGCTCTATAGACCAAGCTGGCCTCAAATGCACAGAGATCTGCCTGCCTCTGCTGGGATTAAATATGTGTGACACTATGCCTGGCATATTTCTCTATTTTTACACTTAAACTTAGCATGCCTCACCGTAAGGCCTCGTCCCTATGCTTAAAACTGATCCCACTTAACTCACTGTACCCTATCTCTGTGTACTTTTAACTGTTATGCTCTGGGTAAATTTATGTTTTATATGAGATAAATATATATCCTTTAGAAATTTCAGATTAATACCATACAGCGCAAGGATTTGATACATATGCATTTCTAGGCAGCCTTAGACTTACATGTTTTTATAAATGCACAGCCAGCTGGAGGTGGTTAACACATTCTATTGACAAGAATGAAAAATGAGGGTCAGTGCTCTACAAGGACGCCCACTTCTGTTCAACATCTTTTCTATTTGAGTGGTGCTTCAAGCTTCTTTTGAGACAAGATTTTTCTATGGAGTCTAGTTGGCCTTGAACTCACAATTCTCCTGCTTCATTCTCCCTAGTGATGGGATTACTGATGTATACAAACACATCCAATTTATAAATGTAATCAAGACAGAACAATATGAGTCACTATGTATCTAATAATTGCCAATTCATGGCCACTTGTTTTGTTTGTACCCACCCCCATTTTACTGAAGCAAGCAACAACAATTAGAATGTATTGTTTTGCTGACTCAGCAGCAGGACAAGGCCCAGCACCCTTGGGGTAGATTTCTAGCACTACAAACAAAACAAACAAACAAACAAGAGCAGGTTGTGAGGAATCACAGAGCATACTTCGTAGGACTAAGAGGAGTCTAAAGTTTCCACACTCACATAACTGGAAATTTTAGGTGAGAAGGAGTTCAAAAGGGTTTTTTTTTTTTTTTTTTTTTTTTTTTGCTTGTCTTTTTTATTTTGTTTAAAGACAGGTTTTCACTAAGCCAGGCTGGCTTCGAACTGCATCCCTTTCCCAGGGCTGGAATTGCAGGAGTACATGAGTACTCTTGGCCTCTGAGGGGGCTGAGGATGTGACACACACCAGACTATGAGACACACCCCAGAAAGCAATCCTAAGAGGTTTGCTGAAAAGGCCCTCATGGTCTCAGTTTCCAGTCAGAGATTTTAGGGCCTGCCATTAGCCAAGGGGGTTATATCATGGCTGGAGAAGTTGTAGTTCCTACCTAGTGGGTTATTAGGAAGGAAACAGAATTCTCTATCTAATTTTCATGGGCAATATGTTTTTTTTTTACATTCCAAATTAGAGTGCTCAATGAATGAGTCCATATTATCATTGGAATATGCATGTCATAATTTTGTACTTACATAATTTACTGATTACATGAATATCTGTGTAATAGCATTTAGAAGGAAGGAAAATATATATCAGGGTATACTAAAATAATCACATCATTTTTTAAAAAGAAAAGATAGGAAAATTGCCATTTTAATGTTTTTAGTAATGTGCAGTCACATTACTCTATGACACAGTGAATCTCTAGAATCTTGTCATATATTCACTGGAAGATGGTCTAAAAACAGACCTCAAACAGGATCATAGATATCTAAACAACTCCTGGTTTACTGAAATAGCTCCAATGTGTTATTTGCCAAAAAAAAAAAAAAAAAAAATTTTAAGGAAATGAAAAAGGCATATATTTCCTATACCAAAGGAATAATAGAAATTTACATCATTTAAAATGTATATATTAAATGCTAAATTGATTTTTTTAAAACTCAAAATTAATTCTTCTTAAAAATAGCTTTAATTAACAAAATATTTAAGTTGAAATACAGATAATAAATATAAGTAGTGTCCCCTTGGCCTATGCAGTGCAGGGCATTTACCTGGACCTGTGCAGTGCAGGACATTTATCTGGGAGCTGTGCTGTGCAGAACATTTACCTGGGAGCTGGTGAGCACAGGCTTCCTGCCAAGTCTTCGGTCATCACCTTTGTCAAATGCAGCTGTGGGAAAACAAAGCAATGTATTTCTATCAGAAGCATTATTATTACCAGAGAATTCCAGGAAAAAATAGAATGCCAGGAGAAAATGCTAGATTTTGATAGACTTAAAAAAAAAAAAAAAACCAACTTGCAAGCAAATCAGTATACAGAACAATTTATTATCACATTTTAGAATAAAGAACCCATTCTTCAATCTTATCCTCTGTTCCAGAAAATTTTATGTTTTTAAAGTTAATAAATAAAAATGTAAAATCAGATACATTCATTTAAAAAAATCCAGAATTTTCACAAGCTATAAATTTTTAAATAAGTGCTTTCATTTAGCTTCTAAATTTAAAAAATAATATTTTATGAATAATTTATTATGAGAAAATACTCAAAAACCCTAAAAATACTCTGTGAAATAAGAAATATTTTCTGGCTTTACAGATTGAGTATAAAAGAGAAACACACGAAGTTCTTCTGAGAACATAGCAGGAGACAACCCTGAAATTTATCCCATTCTCACTGGTGCTAAATAAAAATTCACTTTGTAAGTTAAGTTTATGAGGGAATTATTGGGAGACTCTTAAAACAACAACTGGAACGACACTAGGAAAATATGCAGAAATAATGTGATTCGAGGTCTAACGTCCAGTTTAGATTTTCAAAGTTTACAGGGCTTGAGGTTTTGTTGTGAAGGAATGTACCGACACCCATAATTTCTCAAATGTGTTTTATCAAGCATCTTCTACAATTTGGGTTCCATGGGATGCATGCTACATGACAGAGCAAAGACAGATTTGTAGCAATCAAATGACTGCACAATAATTCATAGAAATTAATAAAAACTCTCCTCAAATCTGTAACTCTGCAAAAACACGAGAGCAAGGGCGAACCACAACAGTAATCACACAGGAGTCAGGGTTCACTACACCTCAACTTATTTAAAACTCAAGGTTACTCTGATGCAACTTAACAAAATGAGTTACCACTGACAAGACAATGTGTAAACTTACATAGATTTTTAATTAGTACTATGAAAGGTTAAACAACACTGAAATTCAACTTAGTTGTGAAATCCCCTAAAAAAAGAGGAAAATAAAGTTTGCTACCAATCAGAAGCAACCTCAAAGGACCCCCCAACTGAAGGGATGCTGCTCTTTGCTTCTTCACATTGCAGATTTTGAGAGAAAAGCTACCATGTAAAACTCAGCACAGAAAAGTCACAAGGAAGAAGGGTTCAATTTCTAAAGGTTTGATGGCTTTTATTACATGACAAAAAAGAAATATCTTTGAAGATTGCTCTTTAAATTACATCTAGTTGCTTTAGTAAGTAGGTCTCACCATGAATATATATCTCTTAAGAATTTAGGCTTCCATGTTTCACAGCACTAAAATGTCTGTTTCATTTAGCTTAATGTAAAAAAAAAAAAAAAAAAAAAAAAAAAAAAAGTAGAGCTGATGAACAGGCCAGTGTTATTATCTGAGGCACCTGCTTTAGCCTAAAAATAGTCATGAAGCCATTTTAGTTCCACACCCTCAAAATTCTATTTCAATATTTTTAAAGCACACACACTTTCTGATAGACAAACATCTTTTGTTTAACGCTAATGTTTCAAATAGGATCTAGTAAATGTCAGAGATGACGGTGCAGCTCCCGAGGGGCCCTCCACAGTAGCACACACTGCATCTCTGACCAATCACTCGTGAAATGAAGCCATCTAATCTAGGCAAAACCACAAGGAAAGGCTCCGTGAAAAAGATGGGAAGCTTTGAGGTAAAATATGTTTTCACAGGAGAGAGAGTATGCCTGTGATCTGACTGTACAAATTATATCCTTTTACACAACTAAGCTCTTCACAAGGATTTTTTTCTTTTTAGCAAATTTGGCTAGAATATTGTAGACAACATATATGAGGATTAAAAATTGCTAATTACAGACAAAGGAAATTAATTTCATTTTCTAGGAACAGCAGATAAAGCACGATTTCTCCAAGCAGCCTAATACATCATCACTAGTTTTGGGTAGCACTCCATTACTGAACAGAAGCTCACAAATGCTAATTAACCAGGATTCAGAATGCCTTAAAAATATCTGCTCTCTCACAAAGATCACAACAGGAGATGGAAAACTTCGAAGAGTAACATACCTGCTTGGATTTTCTGCTGATCGTCAATGTGCATCCGTTTCCAGCTTTCTGTGTGACGAACAGCATAGAAAGACTGAACCAGGAAGACCCACAGCTTATCACGCACAGCTTGGATCTTGCACGTAAAGCCCTGTGTTCCAGCAACAAATCAGCAGCTGGTGAGAGCCACATTGTCATAGCAACCAGTCATTATTCCTTACCAATGATGTCATCAGTTACATTGCTAAGATTATCGAGTACATGCTATTTATGAAGGCTTACTCATTAACATAATTTTATGGTGAACATGAAGCTAAAATGCTACTCTTTAAACCAAAAATGATTTTAAAATAATGGGTTTTGTATGAACACCTTCCACAACCTTTCATATCAACTATGACATGGCAAGGTCAAATACTCTATAATAATGTTGATGAAATATTTTATTATTCTTATAGAAAAATACCAATAATTCATAATTATCTATTGTCACTGATTAATTGCATTAAAAGTGATATTTAAATGTTCATTTTTCCTTCTCAATCTAATTTAAAAATAAGATTTGTTTTGAGAAAAAGAAATTGCTAATACCATAAAATAAAAGGCACTAATGATGAAAAATACTAAAATATACATTGTATATATGTTTACCGTAATTATTAGAGAAAAATACCAAAATTACATTGTGCCAGAAAATTGCTATGTCCCAAGCTTTGCTCAGAGTTAAGGAGCCAAACTGTCTAATTCTAAACTTTTATAAAAAAGTTAATTTGAAAGCAAACATAATTGAAAAAAATTATTAGAAAATTTTCCAAATAGATACAAGAAACTGTATCAAGTCCCAAGGTATCCAGTACCCAACTGCAATGACCTGTGCATTATTTAACTGTATGTATAACTTAAAATCTCAAGCCGTTTATAATATTACATATTTTAATGAATTTTGTTACATTCAGTACCATTTCCTTTGTACTTTCAGAATTCAGTAATGTGTCCAGAGCCATAAGGAGTGAGCAACTATTTTCAGTGGTAATATTGTCTTCAATTGCTTTAAAAATTTTGTCCAACAGATGAGCTGTGCTGCTCATTGCTTGTGACTACAAAACACAGAATGTGACATGTAAAATATACAAGAAATACAAGAAATGTTAAAGTCTAGTGTAACAGCAGTACAACTGTCACAGCTCGATACATAACATCACTGAAAACACACCTGCTTTCCCTTTTATGTTCAAAGACTCCATGAGCAAGAATGCCTCTGCCCCATACACATGCAGACGCACACATACAGACACATGCACAACACACACACACACACACACACACACACACACACACACGCTCCTGCACAAACACACAATTTTTGAGAATATAGCCTCATAATAAGAACCTAGAAATAAAGACTGCAGTTGTATTCAGTGACTAATTTTAGAGAGTATGAAACGAGTTTTAGAGAACCATCATCGTTACAACTTGGGTCTTTACAATGTGGCCATGGTGACTGAGGAGTAGAGCTGGCCCGAGTGACAATGTGCCTTGCCAAGGCACTCAAACCTGTCCCTCCTGCTTTCTCATCTGTGAGCCAAAAATCCTGTCCACTGCTGCTCCAAATCTGTTGCAAACATGCCATCTGCTGTGGCATTTACTCGTCAGAATATTTTAATCAAAGGCAATCTGACTTTAAAAATGTTTATGTAATTAAAACCAGAACACCAAAATAGGTCTAAGTGGAGCACACGGTAGATATGGTACCTGTAAGAGTAGAGTGAAATTTTCAGTCTCAATGATTTTTGAGAAGTTTTCTACAATAAATGCCACACACTCTTCTTGAAGCTGAGACGCCATGGACAATGCCACTTCTGTCCACTTTACTCTGGGTAAACCCATGATTAGTCTGTCACTTTCCATCAGAAGAAAAGCAGCATTCCTATGATTCTAGAATTTAAGAACATTTGGAAAAATTAGGTGATGTTCCTATTCATCAAATGACTTTGTAAGCAAATCAAATCCTTTACATTCCTTGGGATGTTTCCTGTAAAAAACATAGTTGCCAGTAGCTATTACCTTTGCAACATCTACAGAGAACTATGCAGAGTGGGCCCAGCAGCAGCTAAGCCAATAGCTCCTTGTAGCAAGAGGAGTCATGTTAGAGAATATCAGCCAAGGATCAGCCAGTCAAGGCCTACCACTTCAGAAATAACAAGTTATACTTTTAAGCCATTTAGTTGTGAGATGGGTTTCTCACACAATGACATGGAAGATGGAGTATTTAGCATGGATGCTGTATGTTCTTACTGAGAACCTGACCACAACAATGTCTTCCCTGATCCTTATACTGTTACCACATTCTTTTTATACACACTATCAAAGAACCTATCCCTTTTCTTTAAAGCACCTAATTCAAATAAAATTATTCAACTATGAACATAACATATGTACTATATTTGTTCAACATCTGGTTCTGCTCACTACTGTACTGTAGGGCCCACTACAGAACTGGGTCAAGATAGAACTCTATGTTCATTAGGTTTTATTATTCTTAGGCTAAACAGGATCCCCAAGTCACCTACTCCAAGGCTCAGGAAACATCACTGAAGGGGGGGGGTAGAAGAATATAAGAGCTGCATGATATGGTCATGGTACTCATGAATTCACAGCATCTATGGCTGATTGCGAAAAGCCAACACAAAGCTGGACCCATAAATATTCAGTCATAGACAAGGGAGGGGCTCACAGTGCCCAAGCTGCCCAGGGAGCAACTGATGGTTCAAGGCTGCCGGAAGACAAGAGGTCATGAATTACTCATGCTTCAGGACAATACCCACACAGGTAACCCTGGGTAAACCCAGTGGGTTGCCAGGTTAAAAAAACAAAAACAAAACAACATGAAACTGGGATGGCAACTTGGTGAGAAGAAGGACAAACTGGTGGTGGGGTATGAATACAACCTAAAAGTATTATGTACTTGTTTGAAATTGTCAAGAAATAACAAAATAGACACATGAACAGTACTCTTTATATACAAGGCGCTCAATATTTTGTTATGTAATAATCAGTTAATTACATATGACAATATAATATATATGTAAACAGAGATATAGGATACATTTCTAGATATAAAGTTGATGGGTCAATACTACTTGTCTCGAATTCTACTAAAGACTGAGACTGAGAACTAGATCACCAGGAAGTGACCTCAGGATCACTTAACTATGAGGAAAGCCAGACACATTTGCTAGCTGCTTGTTACTCAGTGTGTGACTTGTTAGAAACAGAATCCCTGACTCTTCCTTTCACTTAGTGAGCTGAAATCCACACTGCAAGTCTGTAGGTGAGTTTTATGGATTTAAGGTTTGAGAAGCACTGGTATAGTGTTGCTGGTCCTAATGGTTCCCTCGGGGGAGGGGAGAGAAGTCTCCAAGTCAACAACACAGACCTTGGGAGCCAGGTGAAAGGAAAACAGCAGACTCATTTATTTAGGAAAGGACACAAACTTATACACTCTCCCAGCACCCAGGTGTTCTGATTTGTTGACATTGCATGGTTGCCCCTCAATGGTTGGACAGAATCAGGACCATTGACAGCAACTGTCAAACTCCAGGCTGGCTCATCCCTCTGCCCAGTAGACCAACTTCTTACAGTACGGTCTACTGGTATATTCACTAAGAAAATGACGGAAGCTCACCTCTGTTGGAACTTTCTGAAGAATCTTTCCCCTTGGGGCTCAGCAGAAAGAGTCAACAAAACAAACAAACAAACAAACAAAAAAACAGTTCTCAGCCTCTCCTGGAGAGACACAGAACTGGAATGGGAATCCGAAGTCCTAATTTTGATGAAGGTCTTGCCTGTCAACCTAAGTCTTCTCTGAGTGACAACGGGTCCTAGCATCCCCTACTCACCTGAAGGCCAGTAAGAGCACAGTTAGTCACCATAGGCTCTCTTGGCTCAGTGTGGACCAAACACGGAAGAAGTTGGACAGTGTCCAGTGATTCAGCTTTCCAGGAGTGATGTCAGTCCCACTGACTGAGAATACTAATGAGAGTTAACACAGGCTACATGCCTAGGGCTCTCCAAGACAAAGAGACAAAGCTAACTAGCAAGAAGACTCATAACAACAAGAAGATCACAACAACATCACTTGATGGGCTGACAAGTCTCTCCAACAGAAGGCCACTCCATGAAAACCAGGAGAGGTGCCCGTTTTTTCTAACACAATAGAAAGTCAAGGTTGTTTAATATGCAGACACTAACACAGAGTTAAGGAAAATGAAAAAAAAAAAATCAAGAAAGTTCTAAACAAAGAAGCAAGGCAGGTTTCCAGAAACCAATCTAAGTTAAATGAAGAACAGGCACCTGAGAGATAACTGAAGTCAATTCCAGACCACAAACAGAGTGAGCATTATGACAAAGTAAGTCAGACACCCTATAAGGTGTGACTGTCCCCTTACGCTACAGTAAAAGGAGCCTAATGAATTTTTATTCTGAAAAACATAGAAGTTATACTACAGTGCATTCTATCAAATCCACAAGGTGTCACACCCAAAGAAACACACCTATCATACTGCCTGTAATGCTAAAGAGCTACTGAGACTTTGGTGTGTCAGAGTCTTTTCTGGTAGGACCTTGTCTCAATGCGGATGGCTGCTGACATCAAGAGAGTGCCTGATGAAGACTGGGGAGACTACTAAGTTCTTAAAATAAGACAAAAATGAAGTTCACTACACTAGCTTTTCCTTCCAAGAGAAAGGCAGAATGTGATGCTATTTCACCAAAAAGACTTTACATTTAACAACAGAACTTTTAACCTTTGAGTCAATACTCTCAAACCCCGAGAGAAAGAATTAGCATCTCATGGGGATGAGTCCCCTAATTGGTTATCCATTCAAACGTGGTCAGCCCTGAAATCATATATTCAAACCACACTAAATGGATTCAGAGGTTGTATTTTTATATTTATGCACTTATGCATTTCTCCCCATTCCCTGTGTATGTATGACAATAATAAATGAGGCCTTCAATTTAAGGAGGAGTGAGGGATAGGAGACACTGGAGTAGTAAGAAGGAGGAAACATGGGAGGGGCTAGAGAAGAGGAAAGTGAGGCAATTATATTTTAATTAAAGAATTTTTAAGAAAACACTCTGCCCCTTTCTTACCAACAACATTTATGTTAACATTTGAATACTGTGTCATTCTAACACTGTTCACAGCATCTTTATTAGTAGATTCTACCTTAAGAACTGACTTTCAGAGCTGGGTATGGTGGTACACATCTTTAATCCCAGCCCTGGTGAGTCAGAGGCAGGCAGATCTCTCAGTTTGAGGCCAGCCTGGTCTACATAAAGAAAAGTTCCAGGACAGCCAAGGCTACACAGAGAAATCCTGTCTTGAAAACCCCCAAAAAGGACCAGCTAGCTTTCTTTGCTCACCTTAAAAATAAGGTAGTACCATGATACTGCAGCAAATCAGTCACTTCTCTAGACTACTCATTCATTAAAGTAGTACCATGAGATTGTAGTGAATCAGTCACTTCTCTAGACTTGACTTTTCATTTCATTCCTCTTATTATTTCTGCCACATCTGCATTTATTTACTTCACTGAGTTTTAAATCCCCCAAATCATTCAGCCAAGAGGACTACAGCATGTTTCTTCCAAATGTTTGCTAAATCTGTGTTTGCATACTTATGTGTATGTGACACAGTCAGGTATACATACACAATAAATCTTTTAAAAAACAACAAAAAAGATAAGCAGCAATGCTTACATTACAAAAAAAAAAATTGTGGTGTGCTGAGATTACAGGTAGCTGCCCCTTCACCCAGCTTCTTTATGTGGGTTCTGGGAATCAAACTCGGGTCTTCATAACTATGTGGCAAACATTTTACTAACTGAGTCATGTCCCCAGCCCCTTGAATACTCTTAATGGCATCTAGAATGAGAAATGCTTTCCCAGAATGTTTCAGTGTCCTTTGCCCAGGCAGATACATCAGAGGAGTCATTATGTGTGACAAGCATGGTTTTATAATCCATACTTCTTAAACAATACAACTTGAAAATAGGAAATACGCCTTGATTCCTAGGCCACAGAATGATTACTGGATTTGCAAGCATAAAAACATTAACCCATCACATGTCTCCATGAGAGCTTTTGTGTGAACAAGTACCAAATACATAGTCAATGAGTAGTATTAGGAAAGAACTCTTCTTTTTTGAGGAAGACATCTCTACAGTGAATTTAAAATATTCATCAAATCACACTCTGCACAGACACCACCTCAGACTTTGTTGCTCCTTTTACAGATGGATCTCTCTGAGTTCAAGGCCACCTTGGGCTCCACAGGACTGATTCAGTCTAAAAGAGTAAAAGAGCTCAGGCCTTTAATCCCAGCACTAGAGAGATATAAAATATAGGAAAAGGGTCTTCAGTAATCAGTCTCAGGATTCTCCAGCCACACTGAGGATAGCATAGCAGTCTGAGGTTTGGTGGATGCCAGGATTACCTTTCAGTCTGAGGTAGAGGTAAGAGCTAGTGGCTGACTGCTTTGCTTTTCTAATCATCAGCTTGAAGCTTGAACCCCAATATCTGTCTCTGGGTCTTTCACTTATCATGCTATAGTGGTATGTTTTCTTGGTTGATAATTGTGTGGGAGGGGCCATCCCTGCACTAGTAGTCCTGGTGATACAGGAAAGCAGGTTGAGCAAGCTGTGGGGAGCAAGCCAGTAAAGCAGCACCCTTTACAGCCTCTGCAGCAGCTCCTGCCCTGACTTTGCTCAGTGACAGACTGCTGTCTAGAAGGGTCCTCCCTAAGTTGGTTTTGGTCATGGTGCTTTATCACAGCAATAGAAAACTAACTAAAACCCCAATTCTGTGGTTACTCTAACTGGATATAGACACAGAAGGAAATTCAGGATGTAGACTTTATCACGGCCAGGCAAAAGTTACAATACCATATAACCAACCCCTGTCAATCTGGCACCTGAATGTAACTCTGAACATATTTTTCTCCCCAGTGGGAAGAGTAAGTCATGCTATTTCCTAAAATGACACAGGTATCAATCACTATTCAACACACTAACCCTTTTCTTAACAGAGAAAATAAACATCAAAGTCTGTGTTTATGCCATGTGTAATACTCATTATTGTCCACAAAGACTCAGTTCTCAGGGCCTGCTAACACATAAGGGGCACAAAGTGAACTGGTACCAGCATGTCCTAGACCTAGGGCAGTCAGAATGTTCAACTATAATCAGACAAACAGAGGGTGTGAATGCTGCACGTGTCCTAACTACTGCTCACTTCTGGAACAATCATTTTTTCCCTGTTTTTATAGTCACCTTCCTCCATTCCTGATTCCACATTGCTTTTGATTTCAGTAGCTGCCTCTGCTGTGTGGAGTTCTTAATCTGGCAGAATGGGTCAGACCTTCATTGCTAAAAATTCTGGGTCCTATTGTCACTGCTCAGAAACTGTTATTGTTTCCTACTGATTGGGTGTACTACATCCCAGATGTGTCTAGATGTAGTCTTTCTTATTCGCACTGGAGAGTGGCAGCCTGATATCCCCTAATAACCAAGCTACTATGATATCTTTATGCATAGATTTACAAACCAGCTAGAGGAAGGTTGTCTCAACTACCAGGTAAGTAGAAGCCGACAGAAGCATCATTCTCTCTGGCACTAAGGTCTCCAGACCAGCAGAGTCCAAAGTTGCAGAGAAGAGAATCAAAATTTTGCTAATGGCTCAGTAGGACCAATTCCCCATAGGACCATTCCCATCCCCCAATCTTGTTTTCTGGATACAGGAATTTTGACAACAAGAGAAACAGCACCTTAAATCCCGACTTAGTACATACTCTATCTTGGAGACACAATCTCAACCAGGGAAGGAAGGCACTGCCACCTAGCTGGCACTCTAACATATTTTCTAAAGACACCCTCTATTCTACCAAACTAGTAGTTTCAGGATAATAGGAATTAATAGGATAAAAGTCAATGAATTACACAAGCATGAGTTCATTGTTTTCCTTTCTGTGATGTGAATTTCTTAATCCTGTTGTACTGTGTAGAATACAAAGATGATAGATAGGGAAGTCTATATGTTCATGGATCCTAGTTTTAGCAGAAACAGTGAGCTAGGAAGGTAAATCCTGTCCAGAGTAAACATCTATCCCAGCAAGAACCAATGTATCTTTTCCATGAGATTCAAGTAAAAACCAATGTATCTTTTCCATGAGTGATTCTAGTAAGAACCAATGTGTCTTTTCCATGAGTGATTCCATTTAAAAAAAAAAAAAATCTTTTCCATGCTTGTGAAATATATCTTTTCCATGCATGGTAACTGAATCCCTTGGATAGTGATACCCCTGAGAAGGTTCAGTGTTATGTTCAGAATCACCCTGGTGATGTCAGTTTTCCTGTGCTGCTGACTAGATGCACAGTCTCCATTTCTGGAGTCCTTATGCAGTTCAGCCTATCTGAAGGAGGCACTTTCAAGTGCTGGGACCTCCACTTTGGCCCTGAGTTATCTGAACTGTGACTCTCATCTTGCTTTCACAGAAACATTAACATTCAATCCTGCACTCAAATCATTGAATAAACGTTCTGATGGCACACATGAAGCATTTAGATTATACTCACTAGGGACTGGATCAGCATGTTGAGACAAGTTTTCTGAATTTCAGGAGGTACATTTGCAAAGCTTCTTTCTGACCAAAACCTTGCAAAATGGCTTATAATCCAGCTGTTAAAATAATCCAAAAATTTTAAAGTTTTCAATCATATAAGCACATATCAATCATATATTATGATCAACCCTCAATTTTATGGGCTCTGAGATGGACTTAACTATATTCACTTTCAGAAATGTAACAGGCATGAGGTCATCATGCTCAAAGATAAACACTGGAGAAACCTAATGTTGATCACACAGGGGTGTCTCCTCACATACCTACTTCCACACAGAAAGCTAGGAGTGGGTGTTACTAATAACCCAGTACCTTTGCTATATGTATAGCCAGACCTTGCCCAAATCCTCCAGAAATGTCAATCCCAGACTTTCCCTCCTTACACTTTTATCTTTACCTCCCAGGTTATAGAATCCATCCTTGGGGGATGTCACATGTCCATTATAGAGTGCTGACCTCTATGCTATCTTGGTCAGAGACCACACCAGATTTTAGGTCCTTAAGCTATAAAATCCACTCCTCATGATCACATGTACTTTGTAGAGGAGTTTCTAAGAAGTCACACCTTAAGCTTTATTTGCACCTAGAACTAGACTGATTACTACCTAGAAAGTCTTTTCCAAATTGCACTGTGTTTAAATATGCTTATGACTCCCTAAGTTTGATCCTGACTTAAATTAGGCTGAACATAGTTTTCATTCTCACCTCTTCGTGGTTCGTTTCTCTGCCTGCCATGAGGCTTGGGACTCCCGCAGAAACACATAAACTCATGTTGGTTATGTGCACATTTTTACATAGCCATGGTTCGTCTTCAATGAAACTGACCCCATACATCTTAAGTAAAATCTAAATCCATACCTCTTCTCAATTGGTACAACTAGTTAAGCACTTGAACTGTCTTGAAAAAAATAGACCAAGACTAAAATTGTCCACAAATGTTGGAGAGTAAGAGTATATATTATACATACATACATAATACGTACATACATATCACACACAATAATAGTGGCACTGCATAAGGTAACTTACTTCATGCAGTCAGCAAAAAGACTTTCCACTCCAACTGAATGAGCAATAATTAGGCATTCTAGAATTGTTGCCAATGTTCTTGGAACGGGCTAAAATTGACAGAAAATATCACATTCAGTCTTTTTAAATTACAGAGGCTGAAAGTATGTGGTTCATAAAGAAAATCTGATTTACATACTTAAACTATAGGATAAATGCATATAATTCAAGCTTGACAAATATGAAATTTCACTTTCTGGAGATCATTATGTAAAATTAAACAATCCAGACTCAGAACAGTAAGTAACACATGCTTTTTCTCACATGCTGATGCAACTTTAAATATATACACATCTGTGTGTAAGTGTGGTGTGTGTATGCACACACGTGTGTGTTTCTGTAGGACATCAAAATAGAAAGGATGAAGAGGACTAAAGGAGGGCAGCAAGAGTCAACCATTCATAATGGGATGTATATGGCATAAAAGCACTAATGTCAATTAAGGCTCCTATTACAATGCATACAAGTCAAAGCCACCAGGCTCCTCTGGGCTGCAACCCACCCCACCCTCCACTGATCCCCCAAACATCCAGGCTGTTCCCCTTTACAACTATCTCCTCACCAGAGCTACCTTATAACCGGCCGGCAACATTTTCCTTGCCTTTGGCTACCCTCTCTGTCCCAGAGAGGTAGTCATAGAAGCTGTGGGCTCCCCCTAATGAGGGATAGCCATGGAGTGGTTTTATATTTCTAATAAACCTTTCTTTTCACCCAATGGGAGGTCTAGTTAGTTGGTTTCACAGTGCCCTCAGTTACACCAAACAATTTGAGAAAATCAACACTTATTTGATAGTTGCAACGGGGAGTTTATAGAATACTAAAGTCTATCACTACAGTGATAGACTTTAAATACTTGCTGCTCTAAAAGCAGAACAAAGCTTCTTTTAAAAAAATGTTTCCTTCTAAAATTGGGCAGTAATTTCAAGCTTTTAAACTATGAACTGCTATTAACTTGGCTTTTCAAGTGTTAAAGTATTACATTAGTGTTTAAAAACTGAACATAGAGCTTGGGAATTTAGCTTGGTTGGTAGAGTGCTTGTCTGAAATTCATAAAGCCTTGGGTTCAAACACTAGCACTGCATAAACCAGGCATGCTAGCATATGCCTGCAATTCCAGTCCTGAGGAGGGGAAGATAAGTGGTTACTCTTAGCTTCACAGAGAGTTTGAGGCCAGTCCAGGCTACATGAGATCCTGTCTCAAAAACTAATAAATAACTGAATGTAAATATTTTGTTTTGTTCATTGATGCTTTTCTTTTTAAATTTTATTTATTCTTTTATCTTTATGTGTGTGGATGTTTTGCCGGTGAAGGCCAGAAAATGGTGTCAGATCCCCTGGAGTTGTAGTTATAAGAACTGCCATGTAGATGGTAGGAATTGAACCCAGGTCCTCTGAAAGAGTAGCCAGTGCTCTTAACCTCCGAGTCATTTCTCCAGCCCCTTAATACTTTTCTTAAACAAGATCCCTTTAAGTAATTGATACTCTAGGTTTTCCTAAAATCAGAAGTTACCATCATTATATACATTATTCTATGAAATCAAATGATTTGACTTTCCAATCCACCTCATAAGAGACATAATCCACCTCATAAGAGACATCCAAATCAGTAAAATGGAAGGGACTTGCATACATATACTTGACAGCCCAAAGCACCCAGATGTCTGAAAAAAACAAAGTGTGCACAAGAGTTAAAAAGTCTACAAGTCCAATTTTATTTGGGAACAACCAGCCCTATATAACACAAAATTTCCTATTAATGTACAACAAGAACAATTTCTATTAAAATGATTAAAATAAAAACTGTGCTGATTACCAAGTTTTTTTACAGACAAATGACTGGTCTCCAGTCATTTTCAGAACCTGTTTATGGAATTTGAGAAGACATATATTGAAATTACTGATTAAAATATTATTTTTAATTGTAAGAAACAATCAGAATGTAAAGCCCACCTTAACCCTACTTAGGAAGTCCAAATACGTTTAACTACATAAAATGTTGGATAGCAAATTAATGAAGTGACTAAAACTAGATTTAGTAGATCTGGGGCCAGCCACCCATCACATATATCCAAATGCGCACTACTGTAGAATGTGTTATTAGAAGTTTATGATATTTAAGTCACTGTGATGCATCAATGAAGTCTAATGTTACAAATGGTAACATTGAACACTTCATTTATAAAGATAGATATTAAAGTCTATAATAGCAGTAGTGTTTAAGTATCAGCACAGCAGAAACAGGAGTCATCTCAAATACTCAAATCACAGCAACAATCTACAGTAAGATGCTCCACAGGATGGCATGCCAAATAAACAAACTACTCCCACTTAAGTGCTAATCTTTTTGGTTCTTAGTGTAATGACCAGGTTTTCACACCGTTGTGTGAGGTATGCTGCCCTCAAACCCATTACAGTGTCAGCAAATGATCTGTGCAGTTAAAAAATACTAAGTGGATTAGTGAAAGTGTAATTAACTCATATGCTGATGCATGTGTTGAGAGGCAAATGTGTACAAAGATTACTTATAGAAGAGAGTTTATAATGTAGATGAATGCAATCCCTTCTTATGCAGAGTTTACAATCTAGACAGATGCAACTGCTTCTTAAGCAGAGAGTTTACAATGTAGATGGATGTAACTGCTTCTTATCAGTCTGAGCTCAGAATGGAGACTAACACAAAATATTTTTTCCAAACTATTACTTTAAATATCACCTGCCCAAACCTCCCCTTCCCTGCAAAGTGCTGCTTTAATATCACTGTAAGATCTGACTTGAGCTTTTCCCTCCTCTCACGGGCTTAAACTATGCCTGGGGAGATCTATAATGTGGAGTAGACAACTGTTCAATCTTCCATTTTGGGATTAACTCCCAAGGAAGTGGCCTGGCATAGTTGTGACCATTTCATGAGATTGAGCAGAAACTAAGATGGAAGAGAACTGTCCTTGACTTTAGTTCAGAGAGATAAAGTTCTGCCCAACATAAAAACTGATTCAAATGTTGTTAAAATAACCAAATTAGAAGTCAGACAATGGGTAATATTGCATCAACTACTTAATAAGAAAAAATATAAACAATTTTTAAGAGTTGTTTATGTTCATTATTAAATAAATACATGCTCAACGAATTATAGAAAATTTAAAAATTAAGAAAAAGCATAAATACATGAATTAAATTACTTCACAGAGTATATTAAAGAAATGGTTTGAAATGCAGAGTACAGGATCTTTCTTTAGACAGTAAATTTGTACAAACCAAAACATGTTCAACTCCCCTCAGAAAAGTTCTGTTCTCCAAACCTGGGAAACGCTCAGACGAGGCAAAGGGAAGGTAAATAAAGCCTTTGTGTTGCTCTGCAAAAAAGGAGTTGGAAACAGCTTCCCTTTTTCTTGTTCAAGCTGTATGCCCTATTTTAAATTACAAAGAATTCTTTACATACTGCCAATAAACCCCCAATCAATTTGACTTTTCTTAAAAACGGTTACAGTTAATTTCTGATTTTTACAAGTATATCTCATGTTATTTTTCAACAAGAGTATGTATTAGTTAGACTGTGGCATTTTTAAGCATGATTGTGTTCAGAGTCCCAAGTCTGTTAAGTGATAACTGGTGCTGTGTTAGATTTAACAATTAATTACCTTCTGAAAGAAGTTACAGTAGTCTCTTCTTAAGATATAGACTGCTACTTCTCTTAACCCTTCCAGGCCATACATGTCAGCCACATTCAGTATCTGACTAAAGTAAACAGATGTTAGTTGATAGTTCTCAAATGTAAATTCAAACCATAACACACAATGATCTCTTGATAATATAGTATGCTCAGAAAAAAATCTGAATTTAACTTTAACTTTCTGCTTTATGTACATAGATCAAAACTGTCAGTACTAACCCAGGATTTGCTTTGTGGCAAGGAAGGAGGAAAAATTTGGAGATGTTTCAAATTTTCCTCATATCTCAGTGACGTATAGAATAAAAGTGCTCTAAAAGCCATAAGAATTTATTTTATGTAGATGAGTGTTTTGCCTGCATGTATTTCTGCATACAACATGCATGCCTGATGCCCTTGAGGGCCAGAAGAGTGCACAGGATCTTCTGAAACTGGGGTTACAATGGGTTGTGAACTTCTGTAAGATCAACAAGTACTCTCAGCCACAGAGCCATCTTTCCAGCCTCACACTTAACGTTTTTTAGATATTCCCCCCAAACAATCAAAATAGAGCAAAATAGACAATAAAAATGAGTCCTCTACTTCACTGACTTTTTGCAAAATAGTTCAACAAAACAGAACCCATATAACTTTTATGTTTAAACTTATGTTTAAAAAGTAATACATACCCAGCATTAGCTTTGTCAGGAAAGTCCAAAGTCCCTCCATATATAAAATGCATCAAAACATTCATTTCTGCATGGGTTATACTGCAAGAAGAAAATAACTCTCAAATCCAGAAACAGTTATGGTTTAATTAATATCAATGACACATTCTATTCTCCCATAAACTTAAAGTCTAACCTCTATTCTTCAAATAACATTGTGCAAGTATAACAACTAATTTAAAGTCAGTGGCCAGGCTAGGCATGGTAGTGCACATTTTTAAACCCAGTACTTGGGAGGAAAAGGGAGAGAGATCTCTGAGTTCAAGAACTCTGCCTATGTAGCAAGTTTTCAATCATCTGGGGCTACACAGTGAAACCCTGAATCAAACAATGAAACAAAGGACAGAGAGTTGGCTCAGTGGTTAAGAGCACAGTTGCTCTTGCAGAGGTCCGGCTCAGTTCCCAGCATTTTAAATGTTAGCTTACAATTTTCCTTAACTCCAGTTCTAGGGAGTCCAACACCCTCTCTTGATCTCCACCAAGCACACATGGTACCCACATACACACACACACACACACACACACACACACAAAATACATATGAATATGTATCTATGCAAAACATACACTCTTTCTTTAGCAGGACTCCGGGAGTGCTGCCCAGTGTTTGGCTGTGGATCTCTGCATCTGCTTCCATCAGTTACTGGATAAAGGCTCTCTGATAACAATTAGTGTAGTCACCAGTCTGATTACAGTAGATGGCCAGTTCAGACACCCTCTCCACTATTGCTGGGAGTCTTAACTGGGATTGTCCTTGTGGATTCCTGGGGGGTTTCCCTGGTACCAGGCTGAAATGATTTCTACATAATAGGTGTAAACTGTCTCTCTCACCTACTCCTACTGCATGAGCAAATCAGAGAGACTGCTCAGCAGTATAGGTATTTGCTCTGTAAACCTGGCAATCTGATGTCAATCCCTGCTAAAGAAAGAGGGATTGTAATAGCCAGGGTGGTCAAGGTCATGATAGAGGAACCCACAGAGTCAGCTGATCTGAGCACAAAGGAGCTCATGGACTAACAGTTAGGGAGCCTCCATGGGACTGAAGTCTGCACGTGTGTGACAGTTGTGTAGCTTGGTCTCTTTGTAAGGATCCTAGCAGTGAAATCAGGACCTGGCTGGCTTTTGGGAACCTGTTCCCCATGTTGGATTACCTCACCCAGCCTTGATGGTAAGAATCAATAAACAAGATTCATATTCCATATAATTATGTAAACCTGGGAAGATGTGTAACTTCACTGGTCTTACTTTCACTCATTTCAATTCGTGAATCCACCTCCTGCACCTCAAAGCCTGATGACAAAGTGAATGTGGGGGAAACACAGAAAGTAGGAAGGGGACTTGTTACACATTTGCCGAGGACAAGAGGAACAAAAGTATATGTGATATTTGCCCACTAGTTAAAACTCACCAAACTCACACAAAATTTTAAGATTTGTCACAGGAAAAACACTAGACACATACACTCTTTAAATTATGTTCTTTTGCTGAGGAATCTCTTATAAAGTTTTTTGACCTTGAGCAACAAAAACAATGCCAAAAAGTTGACTCAGTAGGTAAAGCCTGCGCCATACAAGGTGACAACCTGAGTTTGACCCCCCATGGGGGGAGGCCCCCATGGGAGGAAAGAATGGGCTCCTAAAAGTAGTCCTCTAACCTCCACACATATGCTGTGGTGTGTTCATGTATGTGTGTGTGTGTGCGCGCGCGCACACACACACCCACCCACCCACCCACCCACCCCACTACCACCACACTATAAATGTAAAAAAAAGGTTTTAAAAAGTTGAATTATGAATGAAACTAGCATTATTCGTTAATTTGAATTCTCACTGAATTCAGTTTTAATAGGATATATTGACAGTTTTAGAAACAAATGCCTAAACTATATAAAACAGGCCTTGAGCCAAGTTCCAAAATTAACACAAAAGCAACTACCCTTAAGACCATCACACTGAAGAGATCCAGCTTCTGCTAGCCCAACCTCAAAGAAAGAGATCTCATCAGTATGAGAGTTTTTTTGTTTTTAAGATTTTTAAGAATTTTTACTTATGTGTGCTGGTCCCTATGGAGTTCAGAAGAGGACATCAGATTCCTGAAGCTGGAGCTACACACATGTGTGAGCTATCCAACATGGGTGCTGGGAGTTGACAGGAGAACTTTTGTTCTCTCTGGTCCCCTCAAGTGGTTTTTCAACACTGATAATGTCACCAAGATCTATCTTTTTCACTCCTCTTCCTCACTCGACATAAACCTTCCAGCCTGCTATTTAAAATATCAGATAATCAGAATGTACCCATTATGAAGTGACTGTGTCCTCCCCAAACTCAGATGTTGACATTGGAACCTTTAGCATGTGGCAATGAGGCCACTGAAGAGACAGATGAGCTAAAGTTATCCGAGAGGATGGAGCCTAGGCAAGACAGGGTTAGCATTCTTAGAGACACACAGGCAGAAAAGCAGAGAAGCCGAGAGCAGGTATCCATGACCTAAGGAAAGCCTGGGCAGGTGTCAGCTTTGTGACACCTGTGTTATCCCAGCTACTCAATCCCGGTGCTTATGGCACCTGAGTGGATTCACACACGACCTCTATCACTAAATGCTCTCCACTGACTTTTGTTTCAGAAAATGTCATTTGTTGGGCTCTACTGAGCACACAGGAAGAGTGAGTGCTCAGTGTGTCATTTGTAATTGAATCCAGTCATGATCACACTTACTTACCCTTGAAGAGTAACACACTCCTGGGAGCTTTCGGCCCAGTAGCCACTCAGCATGGCAGCGAAATAACCAGACCTGGCACTGAGGATGGCCCTGAAGAAAGAGGAGAGCAGGTGAGCATTCTCGGACTATGCTGTGTGAGGGGAGCTTTTATCCAAATTTTCACTTCACCCTGTTTGAACAATGTCTTATTTATTTTGCTTGTATCCACTGACAGAATTCCTGTAACAAAAATAATAGACATAGGTATTTATATAAACATTTTGCTTATTTAAAACATTAGCTCAAAAGCTAGGCTTGCCAGGTGGTGGTGGTGCCTTTAGTCCCAGCACTCTGGATGCAGAGGTTGGTGGACCTTGATAACTTCTAGGACAGCCTGGTCTACAGAGTGAGTTCCAGGACAGACAGCCAGGACGGTTACTCAGAGAAACATTGTCTTAAAACAAACAAACAAACAAACAAAACCAGCCAGGCTTGATAGCACATACCTGTAATTCTATGGTTCGAAAGCTGAGGCAGGAGGATCAAAATCAACTCGGGCTACCTCCTGAGACCCGTCTCAAAATACAAAACCAACAAACAAGTTAAATAAAACACTAGAACACTTAAATATGTTCTCTGAAAGCTCCTTATAAGACTAAGAACAAAAGTAACCCATTTACAAATGGAGAAACAAGGACCAAAGATGTAGTTTTATCTTTATGTGTATGAATGTTTTGCCTGCATGTATGCCTGTGTCCATGTGAACGTAATGTCTGAGAAGGGGGCATCAGATCATCTGGGACTGAAGTCACAAATGGTTGTGAGCCACCACTGAATGTCTCTCCAGCCCATGGACAGGGACTTTTTAGAGCTCGAAAAAGCACACAATACATAACTCAAGTACATTAGCATATTTACCAAGACAGACATTCTGTGCTATCAGAAGAATCTCCATATGTAACTGAACTAAAACACAAATGTTTTATGACTGCAATGGATTTGAACTACAAATCAGCAATAGAGATATAGTGAAAAACTCCCTAATATTTGTCAGTTAAACACACTCCAAACAATTGGTAAAGATGAACTTTTTAAAAAGTTAGGAAATACATCTTTAAGTTAAAAAATCAAATACAGTGTATCACCAAACCCAATGGCATACAACTTTAATCCCAGCACTCAAGAGAAAGGGAGGTGTCAATCTGTGAGTTCCAGGCCAGCCCAGGCTACACAGTGAGACCTGTCTTAAGAACCAAAACAAACCCCAAGAGCACATCAAAATCTGTGGTACTCAGCTGAAGTACTGCTGAGAGAAAACCTTTAGCTTTTAAATTCTATCTTGGAAAAAAGATGGCTCGTTTGTAAAGTGCTTGGTGTGTCTGAGTATGAATTACCAGCACTCATATTGTCTGGAGAGGTGGCTCAGTGGTACTCTTCCAGAGGACCCAGGTTTGATTCTTACCAACCACACGATGGCTCACAGCTATCTGTGACCTCAGTTCCAGCTTCTCACCAGACATGGTGGAGCACACCTGTAAACCCCAGCACTTAGAGGTGTAGCGAGATGGAGACAGGTAGATTCTAGGGGTTACTGGCCAGCTGGTCTACTTTAAATAAAGTTCCAGATTCAGTGAGAGACCTTGTCTCAAAATACAAGGTGGAGGGCCTACAGGATGGCTCAGTGGGTAAAGGAACTTGTTGTTACACTTGATGTTCTGAGTTGGAATCTCTGGGACCCATATGGTGGAATGAGGGAACTGACTCCCACAGATTGTCTTCTGATCTCTACCAACATTCTACGGCACACATACACACTAACAATAAATATACAGAACCCAAGCATGGAGCACATGCCTATAATCCAAGCACTGGAAAGACAGAGACAGGAAGAGAAGGCAAGGCTGCCAGTCTGGTCTACAGAGAGAATTCCAGCCAAGACTACAGTGCAAGACGGCACAGCAAAAAACCAAACCAAACCAAACAAACAAACAGAAAAGCATAAAGTCTGACAAAGACAGAATCTTTGAAGTATGGCTGAATCCAAAAGAACAGATTTCAAGCATTAGTTTATGAATACTTCCTAAAGCATGGAAAGTCAAATGGCAAGATTTTTAAGATGTTTATAGTACTTCTCCCTTAAACTATATAAAAAGAAGTTTTAAGTTCTTCCCTTGCTCCCTTTTAACTTCAACCCCAGTCCATAGAGATTACTAATGTTAGCAGTGCACTTGCTGGTTAGTCTACAGGGCAAGTTCCAGGACTACAATGATCCCACTGAATTTAAATGTGAGCACTGTTCTATTCCATGTGCTTCATCCCTTTTCCTTTACAGATATCAGTCTCAGCTCTGTGGGTGTTCATCCAACAACTCTTGTGGGGTATTTTTTTTTTTTTTTTTTAATATTAAACTGACTAGTTGGGATTGGCTGCAAACATTTGATGACCCTCCTGCCTCAGCCATTTGAGTGCTGGAAATAGGTGTGCACCAACACACCCAACTCATTGAAAAATTCCTCATGACCAGTATCATGAGAATTCTAGCAGTCCATCTACATGATTTCTCTGGCTGAGCCTAAAAATAAAGACGCATAAACACACAGCATGTGCCCACACTTACACGTGGACATTACAACAGTGTATCCCTTTGACCGCTGACTGTGTAACTCACTACAGCTCCAGTAACAGCACTCTGGAATCTAAACCACACTGATCCCGATGACAGCTTCTCTTAAGACATTCTTACCAGTGACTGGGCATAGTGGGGATGAGAAAGGTGCCTTAGAATCTCTGGGAGACAGGGGCTTTTCTGCTTGGACATTTCCCAAGAGCCCTGTGGGAACTTCCCCAGACATCCACAGCAGCCTAAGGTGCACACAGTCCAACCCCTCATCCAAGGTCAAACCAGCACTGGAGCCCAACCGCCATCAGGGTACTCTGACTTCCTCCCGTTTTCTCTCAAGTTCACTGTGCACATTTCCACAGTCTGATCTGATCCTGTGCATCACAAGATTTGACCTCTCTCAGCATGCTGGCTCTTTCCAGAGAAAGCATTAAAAGCATCTAAAGCTTAAGTGATTGCCTTGACCTTAAAATAGAAACTTAGGAAATATTCTTTTTTAATTAGGACATCTGCCTCTGGTTAAAAGATGATGCCAAGGATGGCATGGCATATTAAGAATCCTTGATGTACCCTTTTTATTTTCCAGCATGTCAAAAACTGTTTTCTTCTTCTGACTAAATTTAATTTCAACTGACAATGCTGCATTCCGGCTCTATTCAGATGCCCTCATCTTGCTGTTGTTCAGTACAATGCTGTTCAGTATTTCCTAATGCTAGATGAACTAGATTCACTATTCCAGGCAGAACAGTGGCCTGGATTACTCAGGAAAGGGCTCTAGAGGAGATGACTTTTAAGTACTCCTGCTTTAAGGGAGGGAGGTGGGAAAAAAGGAGATCTCGCCTTATTTAGTTCCCCAAACCAATTCAGGATCAGCCCCCAGGACAGCACAAACTCTCTCTAATGTCACCATTATGCACACCATTTTGTGACAAATATTCTAGAGAATACCTTTTGATTGTGGCTTCCATGGGTCTAGCCTTTTTAAGTTAAACTGAAAAGTGCAACAAATGTCTGCTGGTACAATAAGGTAAGGCCAAATTCACAGCTGATTAATCAAAACTATCAGGATTTTAAAACAAGCTGCGTACACCAAACACTTCACCTGAGATGAATGTACAAGACGGAGAATGTAGCTCAGTGGCAGGGCTCTGGATCCACAGAACCTCAAGTGCCCTCACTAACCTTTCACTATAAGGTCAACCTTTCTTTAGAAATGGTAATTCACTAATCAGGGCCTCTTTTTTCTTGCAAGAATGAAATATGTATACATCATGATTTCTAGTTCAAATCTCTCTAATTATGAACAAAGGGATTAAACACTGGTGAGTTTATCTGGGTGGACTACCTAGCTATGTCTAGGAAGTGCTCTTTAACCTTTATGCTGTTTGAACTAAACCCAATAGCAATTTTAAGTGCCCCTTCCCTTCCCTAAGTATCTCTTCAAAGCATCCACATGGGATATCACTGTAATGATAACTTTTATAATTTACATATTGTTGGATTATATGGTATTCATTAATTTATGTCACCAAATCTACAAATGGGTATACTGAGAATAAACCCAAGTGATTTTGGAAGGTACAAACTTCAGACAGAAGTAAGGTGTAACAGGAAAAAAAAAAATCTCTTGGGCATGTGTGGTCAGATGAATGTGGCCAGCAAGATTTCCAAAGAGCCCTGGGGAGCTTGAAGTGGAGTTCAGTGAAGAGCCTCCAATCTGAGTCCCTTATTTGTTTCAGGGACTGAGCACCCCTTTTTTACTGTTAGATTCCCCTTTACAACCTCCTAAGGGCTAGTGGGACCAAGGGATTTTACCTCTTTCCTTTTAAGTCTCATGTTGACAACCTACCATTAATAAAGTAATTAAAACTAAGGTGGTAATAACCTCCTTTTGTACAGAATTGTGAAATCTTGTAATTATTTCATTAAGTATATATAATTATATCAAGAAAAGTCATATAAAGACAGGTCATAGCAAATTTGTTCTGTGAAAAGCCAGATAGTAAATATCTTAGGCTTACATGTTCATGCTACACCTTCTTCGCCTTGTCTCAAACCTGTAGTCTGCTAACTCCTGCAGTGGGGGAAGTGTACCAGACAACACCATACTTCTCTAGACATCTAGTGTGTAGATCAATTAACATTTGGTGTCAAAGCATTATCATATGCCAGCCACATGAATGTATGCTTGTGTGATTATCTGACTCAGTACACACAGCCTGTTATTCTATATTCTATACTTACTATAATTATTATTTTATAAATGAAAAAATTGAGATTCAAGAGATTAAAGAACTTCTCCACCGTGAATAAATGCTAAAATGAGAATACAAATTCAGAAAGACCCAACTTACTAAGGCCTACTACTTTTGAAAAAGCTATCAGCAATGGTACCTAAAGATGCACAGATAGTGGCCTGGCCCAGAGTAGTACACTGACCTTGTGATACAGTGCAATTTATTAATCTTAAAGAAAGATTGGACAACATCACACTCCAACAATGAATGTCCAGTATTATAGTACTAAACACTGATAGCAAGAAAATACCAGACGCCTGAGTGACATGAAATAAAACTGCGACTCACTACCTTGCTTTTTAAATAAGGCAATAGAATCTTAATTATGTGACTCAAAATAAGCCAGCTTTAAAAATGTAGCAATCAATTTGTCTGACTAGACTTTAAAATAAATGACATTTTAAAAGGGAGGTCAGCAACAGAGTGTTTGTTGTTTGGAGGTACCCTCAAGGTGACAGGAGGAAATATGAGCAAACATTAATCAGTGAACTTGAGGCAGGAAGCTGGTGATGCTACAGCACTCCATGAGAATCTGTGTGCTGCTTAACGCTGAACATGTCAGAAGGACAGAGCATAAACCAACAAATGAGACCCTAGGAGCCTACCAGACTTACCTTTTATGTCACCTCCTACCCCGAATAAAAAACTATTCACTTCTGATTGGGGTAGAAGTATTGGGGATAAATACAAACAGAGATTAAAAATATGGCCTGTATACAAATATGTGATTTCTGAGCTATTTGCCTCAAATATTTTAATATAATTATATTACTATGAACTAAACAGAAATGTTCAAATTTGAGCTGAGAAGATAACATGATTCAGGATTTCTATCATAATATGCAAACCAAAGCAGGAAACAAGTTAGATTTTAAAACATATCCTTAAGAAGTTGTTTTTCTGTTATTATTACTATTAGGTGGACAAAACAAACCATAAATGGAAACCAGGCCTGTAATAAAGTACAAATCTAACAGTCTAGGGTGTGAAGAGATACCTCAGGGATTAAGAGCACTTGTTGCTCTTCCAGAAGACCCGAGTTCAGTTCCTAGTGCCCACATGGTGGCTCACAAACCTAATATTCTAGCTCCAGCTCCTGGAATGACCTCCTAGCCCATTCCCAGTGCACACAGACAGGCCACACGTAAGCACCAAGGACAAACTGCAAATGGTCACCGCCATGGGTTATGACTCTCCTCTGTAACAAAAACATCTTTAGTAATCCATAAGCAGAACTTTGGTGCCCATGTGGCTTCAAAAAAAGAAAGAAAGGAAGGAAGGAAGGAAGGGAGGAAGGAAGAAAGGAAGGAAGAAGAAAAGAAAAAAAAAACTGGGCACAAAATGAAGTCGAAGTTTAAAAGTGTTGGCAGAAGACAAATGACACAAACACAAGAATGCATGTGCAAAAAAAAAATGCATGTGCACATGTGTACATGTACGTACATACACGGTTTAGGAAATGCATTACCTATGACATGGAAAATATACTACCTCTAATTTCTATTAAGTTCTGTACTCTGGCATAAAAGTCAGATTTCATAAGAATTAGGAAATGCTAAGTGTAGTTATGTGTATCTGCTATCCCAGCAGTCAGGAGACTGAGGTAAGAGAATTTTTAGTTTAAGGGCTATAATGATGATGATATAAATTAAGAAAAATATTTATATATATGTACTATATTTATCAAGTACATGTTTCTAGAGAGGAAACATCAAATTCTGAGTAGTAGTTTCATTCAAACTGCCAACTTAGAGTTACTGTGTTGCTGTTAATTAACTGGCAAGTCAATGGGGTTTCTGAGTTTGGCAGATATTCCTGTATTCTACAACTACTACCAAGGGATACTGAGTTTTGAACATTGCTTCTTGGGCTGAGATGCTTAGTGGATAAAGTGCTTGTCATACAAGGATAATGACTAAAGTTTCTGAATCCCAGAACCAAAGTAAAAGCCAGGCATCTCTAACGGCAGCACTCCCGAGGCAGAGACGGTGATGCCTGGAGACTAGCTACAGCTGGCAAGTTTTGGATTCAGCCAGAAATTCCAACTCAGAGTAGAAAGTGATCAAGGTGACAGCTGATCTCAACATGAGTTTCCACATGCATATGTACACACATGTGCGGAGTACTCACAGACCTGTGCACCCTAACACACACACACACACCTACAAAATCTGCTTTGTCCTCCTTAGGAGTACACAGAGGAACATCTTATCAACCTTCCTGTTTGGGATGTGGAGGGAAGAACTCTGGCCTCTAAGACTTCTGGCTGATTCTAGCCCCATATGAGACTTGGCTGTGTTTTTCCCTCAACTTTCAACAGAGAGAGAGAGAGAGAGAGAGAGAGAGAGAGAGAGAGAGAGAGAGAGAGAGAGAGTGTGTGTGTGTGTGTGTGTGTGTTTCCTTCTTTTAAGTAGATATTAGTTACTTAACTATCTAAAAAGCCTGGCAAAAACAGTGGACTTTAATTTGAACCCTAAAAAGCCTGGGCTATCTAAGTAGTCCAGTCTAAAACAAGATGTTTTTTAAAAGTACAAGGTAACATCAGCTCTCCTAATCAATGCTATTCATGAACATTCTCTATTTCAAATTGCAGAAAATTGAGCCCAAACACATTCAATAAAATATATGCTATTCATGTAGAAATTATATTACTACAATGCCTATAAAATAAAAACTTCATTTAACTACATTTTCTGTGGTAGTGGATTTTAAAACTATTTTAGGCAGAACACTGTCTTCCGATTAAATCTTAGGTTCCTGTGGACTTGAGCAGATTTGCTCAGGATAAAGCACGTGTATGTGTGAGCCTGTAGGCACAAAGCCAGTCTGGTGGCCACCCCTCCTCTTCCAGGTTCTGACCTGAACAGCTACTGCCGGATCCTGGGGTCTGTAGGAACTGTGGCTTGAAAACCGCTGAGACAGCAATGGACACACTATTCTCTGACCCAACACCCCAGCACCAATCAATCAACATCTTTACCTGTGAGCTCTGAAACTCTTCCCATCAACACAGATATCAATATCAGGACAACACTGTTTCACATAAAGCTTCAGTAAGTCTTCCCCCAATTCAGACACAGGTTCCAGGTCATAATTATCTTTAAAAGAGAGAACAAAAACAGCTCCTTTAATAATATAAACATCACTAAATTTCATTTTCTAATGTTTACTAGTAGTTTTCTTCACAATTATCTTGATTAAAAAATACAGTAAAAAATTGTAAAACATTTATATTTCCTACTTTGAAATATGTATTAATTAAATGTAAACATACCTCAAAATATTGTTGAGTCAAATATATCAATATATGCCAAAGCAAACTTACTTCATGAATAAATGAATTAGCAAGAGAAATTTCTCTTGGACGCTGACGGCTTTCAGGGATCCATCTGTGAAAGGCCTGGTATACAGGGTGGTTCTATTGGAGACACTGGGGCCCCGGATGGGCTAGGAGCAAGTGGAGGTTCTCAAGTCACCTGAAATCAAGTGCCAAACCTTTGCTTCTCTTCCCCTTATCTGTGTAGCTTCACTGTCCTCTACTCACACAGCTAAGGATGACATTCAACTCATGAGTTTCCTGCCTCTACCACCCAGGGCATTTTGCATCCCAGCCCTCCTTTTCCTCTTCTGCTTCCCAGCTGTGAGGTCAGCAGTCTGTTCTGCCTGAAGTGCTCTACCATTCACACCATTCTCTGTCTGCCAGAGGTACATGAGGCAAGAGAACCTTCTTATTTTGTGTATATGCATGTATGCATGTGGTGTCACCATCCCTGATTTTAAGCTCTACTACAAAGCTAATAAATAAAACCCCCATGGTATTGGCATGAAAACAGACAAGAGGATGAATGGAATGGAATCGAAGATCTAGACATAAATCCACATATCTTTGGACACCTGATCTTTGACAAAGAAGCCAAGATTATACAATGGGAAAAAAGAAAGCATCTTCAACAAATGCTTCTAGTCTAACTGGATGTCAGCATGTAGACAAACACAAATAGATCCATTTCTGTCTCCATGCACAAAACTCAAGTCCAAGTGGACCAAAGGTATCAATATAAAACAAGATACACTGAACCTGATAGAAGAGGAAGCAGGAAATAATCTCAAATGCATCAACACAGGAAACAGGTTCATGAACAGAACACCAATAACACAGACACTAAGACTGACAATCAATAAATGGGAATTCATGAAACTGAAAATTTTCTGTAAGGCAAAGGGCACCATTAAAAGGACAAAACAGCAGCCTATAGAATAAGAAAAGATATTCACCAACCTCACACCCAACAGAGGGTTGATTTCTAAAATATATAAAGAATTCAAGAAACTAGGTATCAACAACTTGAATAATTCAATTAAAAAGTGGGGTTCAGATCTAGCTAAAGAAGTCTCAACAGAAGAATCTCAAATGGCTTAGAAACACTCAAGTAGATATTCAACATCCTTAGCAATCAGGGAAATGCAAATCAAAATGACTCCAAGATTCCATCTTATATCTGTCAGAATAGCTAAGATAAAAAATACAAATGGTGGTTCTTGCTGGAAAGAATGTGAAGCAAAAGGAACACTCCTCCGTAGCTGGTGTGTGTTCAAACTTGTACACCCACTTTGGAAGTCAGTGTGGCAGTTTCTCAGAAAACTGGGAATCAACCTATAAGCCCTTGCTATACTGCTTTTGGACAACACCCACAGGATGCTCAACTGTACCACAAGGACACTTGCTCAATTATATTCAAAGCAGCCAAACCTGGAAACAGCCTACATGTCCTCAACTGAGGAATGTATAAACAAAATGTGGTACATTTACACAATGTAATAACTCAGCAGTAAAAAACAAGAACACTGGGAAATTTTCAGGCAAATGGATGGAAGTAGAAAAAAACCATCCTGAGTGAGGTAACCCAAACTGAGAAAGACAAACCCATGGTATGTACTCACTCATACGTAGATATTAGCAGTAAAATAAAGGACAGCCATGCTACAATCCACAGTCCCAGAGAGGCTAGGTAACAAGGAAAGTTCATGGGGGGGGGCACCTATTTCTCCTTCCCAGGGAGATCTAGAACAGATTTTTGTGAGTGGACTGAGGGCAGGTCAGGATGGGAATGTGAGCAATCAGGTTGGGTGGGTGGGGGAAGTGAAGAGGGAGATTACTGAGACAACTGGAATGGGGGGGGGCATTTCAGGGTCAGGTAAAAACCTGGGCAAAAGAATCTCCTAGGAATCTACAAGGAAGACCCCAGCTTATACTCCTAACAATAACAGATGTATAGTCTCCCATGACCAGACTGGTACCTAGTGCAGTTGTCATCAGAAAGGCATCATCCAGCAACTAATAGAAACAGATGCAAACCCAGAGAAACATTAGGCAGAGTTCAGGGAATCCTGTAGAAGATGGAGAGAAAAGATTGTAGGAGCCTGAGGGGTCAAGGACACCACAAGAAAATTCACAGAATCAATTCACCTGGGTTCACAGGGGCTCACAGAGACTGAATTGGCACCCAAGGGGCCTACATGGCACTGACCTAGTCTCTCTCCATATATGTAACAAGTGTGCATCTTGGTCTTCTTATAGGATTCCTAACAGTGGGAACAGGGGCTGTCTCTGACTCTTTTACTGGCCTTTGGGACTCTAGTCCTCATCCTGGGTTGCCTTGCCCCAGTATACATGAGGAGGTGGTTAATCTTACTGCAACTTGATATACTGCAACATGTTTTATTAACACTCATGGGAGACCTGCTGTTTTCTAAATAGAAGCCACAGAGGAGTGGATTGGGGGGGGGTGGGAGGGAAAAAGGGGATTGGGAAGAGAGGAGGGAGGGGAAACTATGTCCAGGATGTAAATTAATTAATTAATTTTGGAAGGTGTGTGCTAGGAAACAAACTTGGGTCCTCTGCATGAGGTACTCTTAACCATGGAACCATTTCTCTAGTACCAATACTACAAACACATCCAATATTTCATATACATGTAATACTGCACACACATGTAATAGTGCACTCATATCTAATACTACATACATATGCAATACTGCACAACACCTAAGACTACATACACACCTGACAGGCTAAGCAGCAGGCCAGGGGAAATGCTATTTCTACAATTCCTTCAAAAAATGTAAGTCACATAGTTTAATGGAATACGTGAAAAAAATTTGACACAAATAGAAAAGCTAGAAACATAGCAAAAGAAAACCAAGTTAATTTCAAGGTTACATTAAGTATTAGGTATCACAACTTTCATCAGTGTATTCCAATAGTCTATTGCATTTGACTACACTGTAGCAATGGGTATAAAATACATGTATTTGGTCCCAGTCTCCCTAGTTCCTCAAAGAGCTCCTAAGACTCTCAGAATTCCCAGAGTGATAGAAGCATCTTTGCTATTATCCATAAATGAGCCCTTTGTACACCACCTACTTTAGGCTAGCAGGTAAATTAGGGCGCTTCCCCTCGATAACTTCAAGATGGGAGTCTCAAGAAAGACTAAACTCCAACCTTTGGGCACAGCAGGGACTAGAGATCAAGTTATCTGAATGCTGGAGATATGAAAATGCTCTTGGAGTATAACTCAATAATAGTCTTGAGCAATAAAAGCTACCTGAGCAAAGTCCTGCACTCATTCCCTAGCTTTTACACTCATTCCCTAGCTCCACCACCTACAAAAAAGGACTCACAGAGAAAGAAAATGAAGGAGGGGAAGGAGAGAGAAAGGGAGGGAAGGAGGAACGGAAGGAGGGAGGGGAAGGATGAAAGGAAGGAGGGAAAGAAAGAAGGAGGGAGGAGGAGGGGGGGAAGGAAGGAAGGAAAGTAGGAAGGAAGAAAGGAAGGAAGGAAGGAAGGAAGGAAGGAAGGAAGGAAGGAAGGAAGGAGATTTCAAAATAATTCCAGAGGAATGTACTGGCTGCTCCTCCATAGGATTAGAGTTCAGTTCCCAGCACTCATGTCAGGCAGCCTACAAACACCTCTAATTCCAGATCTGACACCCTCTTCTGGCTTCCGAGTGCACACACATAGAGTGCACACACACACACACACACACACACACACAGAGACAGAGAGAGAGAGAGAGAGGATGAGAGAGAGAGCTCCCACACACATAGAAACAAACAAAACCCAGTAATTCTAGAAGTTCCAACAGGAAAACTTGGGTTTGTCAAGCACTACACAATAGCTTGGACACACACAAATGAAGGGGCCTCCAGTCATGTCACAGATCCTCAGTATCTCCAGCATTCATTTGCATACTGCTTACCTCACCTCCCATTAGTGTACTGTGTAGTTAAGGCTAGCATGGTTACATGTACTGATTTGTTTTTCTTCTCAGTATTCCCTAAACTATGCAGTTTAATAACTATTTACACTGTATCAGGAATTCTCAGTAACATAGAAATGTGAGCATACAGAAGGGTGTAAATAGATTGTACCCAAATCTACACCCTGTCACACAGGAGATGTAAGCTTTGGTGTCCTGAGCAAGAGAAGGTTGCGACCAATCCCCTGTGAGTAACAAAACATAAATATCAGTCACAAGCCTTTTGTTGTCTAACTGTTCTACTTTGGACAATCACAGTTACCCTTTCTATCTGACTCTCATAAGCTCCAGTCTCTGCTTGCATCCCTTCCTGTGCCCTAACCCTTCCCATTCCCACTATAAACTGCTTCCAGGCATTCAGTCATATTTGCTCTGTCTGGACAATTCTCTTAAGGTAGCTTTGCTGCATTAATTACTTTTTATCTCCACTTTAGGATTCAACTGAAATGCCCTCCTGGAAGGCCTGACAGCCTAAGTAACTCAGTGAGACATTGCATCACAATCATAAAGAGGCTGGGAATACCACTAGGTGTTAGACTTGATCCCTAGAACAAAACAAAGGAAGTTACCTCCACCATGCAACTTTCTTCAGAAGTGTAAATTCAGGTTAGCATGCTTTGTTTGTATTGTCTCAGCCATCTGCACCTCACTCACCTGGCTCTACCCATCAGATTCAGGGCCAGAACACTGTTTTGTTTACTATCATATGTTTAAATGTACACAAAGTAGGTACACAATTAAAAGACGTGATGAATGACCAGAATGACATCCCAGGAATTAGGAGCAAGTACAAAAGATACAGAGGTGGCAAAACACATTTCTTTGGAGAAAACATCAAGTAATTAACAGGACTATAATTCAGTGTAGAAGGGGGTTACAGGGCTTGCCCTTTGTAATTGAGAAAGAGGTCAGGGGTAGATGAGCCTTCTTCTTACACTCACTGGACACTTTAAAGAACTCCTATGCTGCCTTTCCATGGCTCTCAATCAACACAATGACTAGCTATCAGACAATCTGTCCACTGTCCTGAGTGGCCTTTGTTCCGTATAATCTCTGAGTATAAAGCAACAAAATCAATCCACATGTAACCACTTCTTAGGGTTTTGAGAGACTAAATAAGATTAAACATATAAATGGGCCTACTTCAAAATCAAGTGTATTAATTTATTCATACTTAGTTAGAATTCTAACCAAGATCCAATTAGTTTGGCTGTTACTCCTCACAAAACACTAGTAATAAGATACTACACAGTCATTTGACTTACAGTAAATTCTTAGCATTTCTTAATTCGGTGTTGCTGCTGCTGGTTTTTTTTTTTTTCCCTTATAGCACAATTTCACTGCACAGGAAGGGTAACATGAGTGTCTCATGGATTTGATGGCAGATACCTGGCACAAAGGTGCTACATGAATAATATAAGGTCTACTCTATGATCCAAAGTCCTCAGGTTTCCTGTTGCAATGTCTAATTAGTCTTTTTTTCCCATGAATTAATAATTAACTCTCAATCTGCAAGCATCCTGGCACCAATTTCCACAAACACAGTTACTCATTTTCAAGATGCACTACCATACACACTATAGTATTTACGCACAATGCACTATAGTAATTACATACAATGGACACTATGCACAACTATTTATGTGTTTCTTAACCACTTCACACATATGACTGTGTTACCATTTTTATTAGATCATAATCTTTCTTAAAATGTCTCATAACAAAGTTTTCATGCTATGGCAGCTTTTTATGTTTCACAGAATACATATGCTGTGTTAAAACTAGCTCCCTGCTAAAACTTAAGTGAGGCTGAAGCAGCTGAAAAGAGAATGTGTGCTTAAGTGACCATGATAGTATTTTCTTCCCCCATGCTCATTAAAATAAATAACAACACCTGGATATGGAGCTTTACAAGTGTGCTTTTCTCTACCACATCAGAATATCATTACGTTCCTGGATATGAAGCTTTATAAAAATCCAGCAAAATATCTCACCACTGGGAATAAAACTGCAGCTTCCACCAGTAACATCTGGTGGAATTTCACTCTTCCCAAGGAAACAATCAGACAAATCTTTCCCATACTTCTGAAAGCTAACATCGGGCTTCTTTTCCAGCATTACACTTTCCACTTTCATTTTTTTAAGAATTTCCTCTTCATGGTTTTTTATGCTGTCATTTGATGAATATAGAATCCTAAAAAACAAAATATAAAATATTAGTTAAAATGTATTTGTCTTTTTGTTTGAGAGAGGGTCTCCTGTATCCCAGGGTGACCTTGAACTTTTGATCTCTTAGGAGCTGGGGTTACAGGCACCCATCATCACACTCAGATTATGTGGTGTTGAGGATTGCCTAACATGCATGAGGTCCTACAGATAAACCAACCAACCAACCAACCAAACAAACAAACAGACAGAAAACCAAGACTAGATGGCTTTATTGGTAAATATTACCAAATTTGTAAAGATTAACACCAATCTTTCACAATTTTTTTCCCCAAAAAGTAGAGGAGAAATATGTCCCAACTTGTTCTCCACAGCCAGTGTTACTGGTATAAAAGCAGACAAAGATATCACAGAAAAAGAAAAAAACTGGTCACTGTTCATTATTAGTATAAGAAAAACATTCTCTGATAGGCAGTGGTGGCACATGCCTGTAATCCCAGCACTCTGGAGGGCTGGGGAGCTGACTCAGTGAGTAAGCATGCTTACTGCACAAGCATTAGGACCTGAGTTCAGATTCCCAGGCTTCACACAAAAGCTGAGCAGGCTGCACGTGCCTATAACCAATGTTAGGGGATGGAGACAGGTGCATCCTGGGAGTTTGCTGGCTAGCCAGCTTAGACAAATGGCAAGTTTCTGATTTGGTAAGAAACTTTGTCTCAAGCCGGTAAGTGGAGTGCAGAGGAAAACACTTGATGCCCTCCTCTGGTCCCTGTAGGCAAGGCATAGGTACAAGCACCTGCACATTGACATGCAAGTATGCAGGGCCCTATGTGAAAGCGAGTTGGTCAGGAGGTAGAAGGAGAAAGCTCAGACAAAAGCCTTGTCTGTGACTTCTGAAGAAGGCGATGAGCGAGATGAGGTGGCAACGGATAACGTAGGCAGGTACCTGAGTAAGGGCTGCTCTCCCATCATCTACTACCTGGCCTGGGATGTGTAGGAGAGGGGAGTGTTAAGATGTAAGAACCAGATGGAGAAGAGAAGATATGCTGGTGTGTACAGGGACTCATGATTGGCTGGTGTGCAAATCAAAGGTGTGTTCACAGACACCTCGCTTGCTGCATCTAGGAATTCGCTAACCCTGGAAGGGGCAGTCTCTCCTCTGATATAGTGAAACTCAGTGAGACTCCAGATACCAGAGCATCAAAAGTACATGCTAAATACTCTAACCTCAGAAATACTTTTTTAAAGGATACATGGCTAGAGCTAAGAGGCATCTGCTGTAACCTCAGACAAGATGATCACCTGAGTCCAAGACCTCATGGACAGACGAGGCAACATAGTTAGATTGCCTCTCAATAAAGAAATTAATTACTTAAAATACATATATAGCTGAAACATGTACCTCAGTGGGAGAATGTATGCTTAGCATAAACAAAGCCCTGGGTTAAATACCCACCCAAAATGCAAAAAACACAGCTACTACAACAAAGGAGAAGCGACCCTCCCCACTGCTAGTCCAGAGCAGAGAGAAAACAGGGAAACCTCAGTGTTGAGCTGACTTTATGCTACCATCTCTGTTACTGATATTAGCCTCAAAATGCAAGGTCCTTTTTTCTTTCACTTTTACATGCATGTGCACTTTCACCACAAATGCAATGTTAAAACTCCTTGGAAAACCAAAGATATTTTATGATTTTCATGTCAATTTTAATCTTGAGGTCATACAACAAGCACTGTTTTCAGATGACACCTGAGTCACATATAGTTTCAAAGTTCTGTTTATACTCTCAACTCAAGTGCGTGCCAACGTACTTACTGTAGAGTAAGTAGCAACACAGGATATAAAGTGAAGCAACTTAAAAACAACTGAATTTCATACAGCAAAAATTCAAAGTTCTATTTTATCATAATTTTTATTTTTTAAAAAAAGTCTCAATCAGACAAGGCATGGTAGTACATGTCTTTAATATTAGCATGCAGAAGGCGGAGATGACAAGATCTCTGTGAGTTTAAGTCCAGCCTGGTCTAGATAGTTAGCATCAGGCCAGCCAAGGCTACAGGCTAAGACCCTGTCTCAAAATGAAAAAAAGAAAAAAGAAAAAAAATCTAAATCAATGATTTCTATTATAACATACCTTTTAGACTTTATGTTAATGACAAATCTCAATGTAATCTGATAAAAAAAAAACTGGGGGGCATGTATAAGCACTCTCTATATGTAAGGCACCAGCTGAGGTATACTTGTAAAGTGACACCTGTCAGGCAGTCTGGTTCCGAAGCGATTACATGACCATGGACACACCATGACTATAACATTAACAGAGTGTGATTAAATGCCTGAAGTGGAACCCTGTGAAAGGGAGTACAATACAAAGCAAGCTACTCTAACTTCCTTATTCTAACAGAGAAAACTGAGCTGAGAGGAACTGCACAGCAGTGGAAGGCAGTGCTCTCCTCATCCCCCACACTATCACTGAGTCAATCTTTCCTCACCACCCCCCTCCCACCCCCAGACAGGGTTTCACTGTGTAGCCCTGGGTGTCCTGGAATTCACTATTTAGATCAGGCTGAACTTAAACTCACAGATCTGCCTGCCTCTGCCTCTCAAGTGCTGGGATTAAAGGCATGTGCCACCACGGCCTGCCTCCTCCCTATCAATTCAAAAAGTATATATTTCTATTTTATAGATAGGTAGACAGACAGACAGGTAGATAGATAGATAATGATAGAGTATATGAATGTGTATTTCTATTTTATAGACAGACAGATTATATGAATGTGTTGCTTGCATGTGTGTCTGTACCCCATGTGTGTACCTGGTGCCTGTGGAGATCAGAATTTGGTGTTAACTCCCCTGGAACCAGAGTTAGGATGGTTGTGAGCCACCATGTGGATGCTTAGAATTGAACCCAGGTCCTCTGCAAGAGCAACAAGTGCCATCTCTCTAGCCCCTTTCCCTATCACTTTTAATGATGGCAAATAAAGGTTAATATTAGTGAACTATTTCCATTTCCCTATTGCTGAGATCACAGGACCATATTCATCTGGCTGTGGATCAGTCTTGAGTTTGCCTTTGCCAATACTAAGCCTCTAATAACAAAACAATTTAAATGAACAGTTCTTTTCTTAGATTATGTAATAAGGAAATTCTTACACATAGTTTTTAAAAGCCAGCTGTTTATCAGATTCAAATGTAAGAGGGAACTTACTGCAAAAATGTTCTAAACTCTGAAGCTTCAACACTGTCCACAGGAACAGGCTTGTTTGTGAAATCACTCGACATCTGTCCGAGGACGTGGGAATAAAAGCCAGGAGCTCTGGCTAACAAGACTGCCCTGTGCACTTTGAACAGAGAGCCACCGACAGAAAGAACAGTGTCTGTATGGATTTCTTCCCTTAAAAGTCTGTCAGGGAAGAGGGTTATAGTTGGATTAGTGATGCTTAAAAAAGGTAACAGGCTTAAAATAACCCACATCCTTAGAAATATACAATAAACAAAATAATAGAGGTCAAGTGAGATGGCTCAGAGGGCAACGGTGCTCATCACATGAGGCTGGCGACTCAACTTCCTGGAACCCACATAGAGGTGGGAGAAACCAACATTACAGAAGTAATATAATAGAACTGGATTTGAGTTCATTTTAAGAACACTACATTTAATATCGGTTTTGACTCTGATTTCCTAAAAATTCACATTCAAAACAAAGATTTCACTAAAACAAAAGTAAAAACATTTAAAAATAATCTATTAATTCTACTAATAAACTGTATTTTCTGAAACTGTCCTTGTTAGTTTTATGTCAACTTGACACAAACTAGAGTCATCTGAAAGAAGAAACCCCAGCTGAGAAGATGCCTCCATCAGATCCAGCTGTGGGGCATTTTCTTAATTAGAAATTGATGAGGGAGATTCATGATGCCATCCCTGGGCTGGTGGGCCTGGATTCTTCTATAAGAAAGCAGGCTGAGCAAGCCATGGAGAGCAAGCCAGTAAACAGCACCCTTCATGTCCTCTGCATCAGCTCCTGCTGAGTTCCTGTGAGTTCCTGTCCTGACCTCCTTCAGTGATAGACTACAATGTGGAAGTGTCAGCCAAATGAACTTTTTCTTCCCCTCATTGCTTTGATCTTGGTGTTCCAACGAAGTATTAAAACTCTAACTAAGAAAGCTCCTTAACTGATTTCCCTTTAAAATGTACCTTCTTGAGTTTTATAAAGGAAACACGGAGCAGAAAGTTAACTTAGCTTCTGACTACTAATGAATCAATTGTTCAAAAATCACACTAAAACTGAACCAAAAATGTATATAGTCAACACTAAGAAACAAGATGTAACAACAGACAATTCAGATTAGAAACTATTACCCTTTTGTTAATTACCAAGTCTAAAATACAGCCTTGGATGCCAAGAATGTGACATTTAAGCCTTTTCCCATCCCCACCAAACAGAATTAATCCTGCTCTAATCTATTATTCAAAATGACACATTCAGGAGGTAAACCCATTTGAATCCCTAGTGTACATATGTAGTTATGGCAAAGCCCTCTGATTTCACATATGTATAAACTGAAAAAACAAAAAATAGCAGAAAATTTCATAATCTATCCATTTGCCTCTTTTTACTATGTATTTCTGCTCTCTACATACTTAAAACGCTTTGCCTCACTATGCCAAATCACCAGTATCACCAAGGTATGGACTCTCTGAGGACTTCTGTGCTGCAGGATATAATTGGCAATCACACCAGTGCACCACAGGAGGACCATGGACCAGGTAAAGATATCCATTACAATGAAGCTTGGAAAGCAGCCAATAGCACTCAAACTCCCCCAAGACTAGGCTAATGTCTCCTTCCCCGATCCCACTACACTAAGTTCAACCCTTTATTACAGCATTTCTGTCATTGCATCATTATTATTTTTATGCACCTCTCCCCACTATATAATGAATTCCCAAAGGGCAAAACCGTATGTCATTAGTACACAGAAGAGTCCAGTGTTTACTTGTCTGCTGATCACATTTTACACTAAAGACAACAAATGACTCAGAGCAGGGCAGCTGGGGAAATTTTGCAAACATGTCTTGCTCCATCAGTTTGTCACAGAGACTGTTTTTGAAGGTAACTGACTTAATGTTATACAAAATGTGTTGTGCTGATCCCTGTTGCTGGTGATGTGGATGCAGACTTCCCACTCTAGAGGCCCACACTGAGCAGTCTTTTCCTGTGGTCAGTTCCCAGGAGATGCAGAGCCTGATGATTTAGCGTTCGCCTTTATCCCCACAAGTACGTTACCTGCCCACTCCATCAAGGAGAGCACCAAGCCTGGTTATCTTCTCTAGACATACATACCTGCTGTAAAGTTTGATATATACATTAGGCAGATTATCTACTGATAAAATAGATACATACAATACTATACTATAGTCAAATGCATTCAAAGCTTAACGACAGCCGGGTCTACAAAGTGAGTACCAGGACAGGCTCCAAAGTTACAGAGAGAAACCCTGTCTCAAAAAAATAAAAAGAAAAAAAAAAAAAGAAAGAAAAAAGAAAAAAACAAAACAAAAGCTTAACAATAGCAATGTTGTTTTCTCAAACTGTAGCTGAAACCTCGAATTATTCACTAAATTTGTTCCTTTCTCCCACCCAGCTTCTCTGACAACAGTAGTAACCCTTCAAAAGTGAGTAAGGAAGCATTTGATTGGCAGCCAGCTGAGGATACCAGCCCAGCATACTGGAGGCCCTAGGTTTGATTCCCATATGCCTGGAATTACAGACACACTAGCGGTGGAAGCTGGAAAATCAGGATTGGAGTTTATACTCAGTCTCTTTCATCTGTGCCCATCTGGTCCACATTAGACACTGCCTCAAAACAACAAAGTCAGATCCAAGTGGAAGCCAAACAGCACTGGGGAATCCTGTTCATAATACATGCTAACTAGACTATTTGTTGCATATGCATACATACATACATAGCAAATATAAAGCTTTTTATTTAATAAAACACTTGTATCAGCTGCAAGTGTATCTTGCAGTTGTTGTTGTTGTTGTTGTTGTTTTGGTTAGTTAAAAGTCTGACTCAGACTGACTTAAACTGAGTTTCCCTGAAAATCTTACCACCTCTTCTAAAGTGAGTAAGGAAGCAATATCAGGAAACATCAGTAAAATTGAGTGTTTACTGGCTCACCCAGTACTAAAAGCTAGAGGAAAAGCAGGCTGAAACCAAGGCCCTTTTCCTCTTTGCTGGCTACTGTTCTGATCTGCCATAATTTATTTTATATTGATACGGCATCTACAACAAACAAGTTCATTGGCTCACAGTTCTGGAGGCTAGTAACTTCTGATTTCAAGATGTTAATATCTGGTAAAGGCCTCCATGTTTCATCATCACAATGTGGCAGGCAAGAGGGCAAGCAAGACCAAAAAAGGGCCAAGGTGCGCTCACCCATCCGCACAGGTCAAGGCTGATGTCAGGCATCTTCCTCTTTGAGATGGGATCACCCACTAAACCAGAAGCTGGCTCGATGGTTAGGCTGGCCGGCAAGTAAGCCCCAAAAAGCATCCTGTCTGCTTTCTAGGTGCTGAGATTACAGTGTATGCTACCACATCCAGCTTTTTGGTGTAGGTTCTGGGGTACTGAATTCTCATCTTCATGCTTGAACTGCAAGCACATTACTGGCTGAGCCATCTCCCAAGCCCCAAATTTACTTTTTAACAAGGGACATAGTTTCACCCATAAGAGTTCAACCTTCATCCACAAGAGTTTACCTTCAAGGCCTAATCACAACTTAAGGGTCTGCTGCTCCAATGACAGTTAAATTTCAACTTGTATTTTGAAAAGGACAAATATTCAAATCAGCGCATAACCTATAAAAAGCACTGGGGATTCCTATTAATGCTTAGTTACCACTAAACACTTTGTAAGTATGGGCTATGTACTAAGAACATAAAGGCAACTAAAGGAGTAAAACATAACAGTTACCCCATGGAGTTTTAAGTACAGAAAAGAAAACCAGGTCTGGACATTGAAAGAGCAGGATACATTCAAAAGCAAGTACACTCCCTGACCCCAACCTCACCTGCCCCAAACAAGACACCACACCAGACTATATACAAGATGAGTATATTAAATGTGATCGTTAAAGACTTTGCAAGAGCTGGTTGGAAAAACAACCCCCAGGAGGGGGGTTCCTGGCTTTGTTCTTTACAATGTAAATACTAACTGATCCATAAGGTGTTTTGATTGTGGTACTCAACAAGGGACTTTTAAAGGCAAAAACCACATCCTGGCATCTCTGCAGCTGCAGACATAAAGGAGAACAAGCAGCAAGGAACTTAACAGGCCCTGCTGCTGGAGGAGGAGGGTCAACAGCCTGAAACATGGGCAAATCCGTCTTCTAAAGATCAGTCATTGCTGGGTAGAGTGGGACTTGAAATGAGAAGGATGAAAACTCCTTCATAGTACACACAGATGACACCAGGAGCTAGGTGAGGGTCAGTGATGACAGACAGATACATAGGTAATAAAACTAGAGCTCAATGGATATAGAAGTGAAGGCGAAAAATCTGTGGTTTGGATAAGCAATGCTGGTGATGCCACCAACCTTTAATCTGTAGGTGCTAGCCCAATTTCTCTCTTCAACTCATCTCTTCAGATGTATCTGTAGTTGTCTTCAAGATAGAGCCTCATGAATATTCATTATAAAGTTGCTTTTCAATTGTCCTAGGATTTGGAGACATTTTCTATTGTTCCCTTTCTCAGCTCGCCCACATGTCTTCAGTCAATAACCCTGTTAACTTTTTCATTTCCTGCTGTCAGTATGAAATCCTCAACTACCATGAGTCCTGGCTGACTTGTTTCTGACTTCTCTTTTCTCAAAGCCTAGATCTAGACATTAATTCTGAATAGTTCTATAAACTACCTGAAAATCCATCCCAGACATTTAAGTAGAGAAGGGTCTATTATCTACAGTTTCAGTCTATCTATTCACCCTCACATGCTGCTGTTTTGTCTGCCATCACCACAGACATCTTCCAGATAAAACAGTCTGTCTTAGTGAGAGTTATTACTGCTGTGACAAAACACCATGACCAAAGAAACCTGGCTTACACTTCTACACTGTGGTCTATCACTGAATGAAGTCAGGACAGGAACTCAAGCAGGACAGGAACCTAAAGGTAGGAGCTGATGGAGAGGCAAAGAAGGGGTGCTGCTTACTGACTTGCTCCTCATGACTTGGTCAGCCTGCTTTCTTACAGAATCCAGGACCACCAGCCCAGGGATAGCATCAGCTACCATGAGCTGGACCCTCCCTCATCAATCACTAATTAAGAAAAGGCCCCACAGCTGGGTCTGTTTGGAGGCATCTTCTCAGTTGAGGTTTCTTCTTCCAGATGACTCTAGCCTGTGTCAAGTTGATATAAAACTAGCCAGGACACAGTCAACTCTACTTATATGATCCTGTTTTTTTTTTCTTTTTTCTTTTTTCCATATATCCCAATACCTTCATCTTATCTGAGTTGCACTGTATCTAAGCCAATGTTAGCTTAATATGTTAGTTACGAAAGGTAACTTCTACAGGGATAGTCTATGATGATCTGGGGAACCAGTGGCAGCACTCTAAGAGTGTTATCTCCCTTCTATCCTCCAGGGAAGGAATACTGAGATAATATAACATTTCCTTCCCAGAAGCCCATCCCTCATGCAGCTACTTCCAGCACGGTGTGGTGTCAGCGTGGCAGGGCAAGACACTGCGGATGCCATTTCGGGGTTAATTATAATTTGCTCGCCTCAGTAGAAAATCCCATGAAAAAACTACCCACTTCTATTCAAGGAACCTGAAGTCAAGATGCCCCAGCTCTAATGTGGCTTCTTTTAAACTGCCAACTTCCCCCTGTAGCTAACCACTTAAGTTCTCTTACAATGCCTGACTGCTGGTGGGAAATTCCCCCTGCAGCTAGAGGTTTTCCCCCTCAAAAGCTCCTTGCTCTAAAGGCTCTGCGTGCCTAAGTGTAGACTGGGCTGGCAGGAATGAATACTTTCAGTTGGCTATACACTTTGTCTAAGTAGTCATCTCTGGCAGAAATGTTCTCCATAACAGAAGAAAGCAGCTTGCCTGCCTTTGAGTCCAAACTCAAAACATAACTTTTCCTTTTCCTACTTGCTATCCTTTTCTTTTAGACACTCTAGACTTTCCAACACTTCTTTGGAAATACCGTGCACATCAGTTGGTACTTGTCCTCCATTGGTGAGACTGGCAGCTTTCTCAGCCCCAGACACCTGCCAAGATTTACTACCTTGCCTATTGAGTCCGTTTTTAAATTATTTTATTACTGAGACTATGAATCCAGAGAAGAAAACCTCAGTTTTCTCGGTAACATATGGAACCCAATGTTGAGGATCCCACAAAAAAAAAAAAAAAAATCCAAAAGAAAGGTTTGTAGAATAAGGGTCAGAGAAATTGTTCAGAGGTTAGAAGCACATACTGTTCTTGGCAGAGGACCTGAGTTTGGTTGCCTTCACTTACATCATCCTTATAAGGCTTCCCAGTAAGAAATTACTCTCCACCCTTAGCACGTGTCTGGCTATGGCTAATTAGTGTCCAAGGAAGAGCTGGCCTTGAACAGATTTTACTAATATGTACACACTTCAGGCTAATCCATTTCACAATCGCCGTCATCCTTAAAGCAAGTCCCTGACCCAGGTTGTACTTTGAACAATTTAAACAGAGACAAGAGATTGCAAGTCTGGCGACTTGGGCAGACGAGGCGTTTGCACACCAAAGAGATTGCCAGAATTATCTTAAATACACCAGCGGAGTTCTTTTAGAATAGCTGTCACCTAGGGTCATTTTTCCCCTCTGGCAGAATTATGATTTCCTTTTAAGAGGGAAGGGGTGATTAATGGCAGGCTAGGACTTAATGGTAGCTGTGACCCTGCACGGAACCCTGTTAGAGATAGGTTGTTCAGTCCTTCATTCCAAGTAAACACTCGTCTTCCCACCTGTTTCATTTCTCACTTCTTTAAAAGACATGGTTTACGTTTCCGGACCTGGACACAGTCGGACCTCAACAACAGCTCCTGGGCCGTGTGTAAACCTTTTAGCAAGAACTGGTGCTGCTACACGTCACTGGCTTTAACTTTCATCTTCCTTCTGAGTACGGGGTCTGCAACGCTCGACACAGGTTCCTCACGCCGGGCAAAACCCCTCTGGGAGATGGGGCGGGCGCAGGGCGAAGCTGGGAGCGAGCGAGGGGGGAGCGAGCCGCGCTGTTCCCGCCCTCCTACCTGAGCACATCGCGGCTGAGCTGCTCCGACACCACGACCTTCAGCCTGCGCCGCTCCCCGGGCCCCTTCCTGGACAGCCCCTTCGGGCAAGGTCCGGGGGACCGCAGAGGCACCGCGGGGGTCGCGCCGTCCGCTGCACCCGCTGCACAGTGGGCCATTGTCGGCCACGGACCCCTGTGTATCTGGTCCCGCGGTCCCGGGAGGGGGGCGTCCCCGCGGCGCGCGGAGCCCCTCCCCCAGGAGGAAAGTTTCCGCCCACCCTCTCCTCGTTTCCAGCCGGACCCTAAAGGCGGCGGACGCGGCACTAGTAGCCCGCAGTCACGTGGGCCGGGCGCTGCGCGCATGCGTACTCGCTCTGTTTTACACCGGCCTGCTGGGTCCTTACTACTGTCTTGGTAGGGGAAGTCGTTGGCCTTATTCAATTCTTTAGTGAGCGTCCTGCATGGCCGCGTCCTCTGTCCTCTTTATCTGTGAAGGACAAGGACGGGGTCGCGACTGAGAAGGTAGATGCAGATACGCCAACTTTTTTTCTTTTCTTTTTGGCATAACAAAAGTTGTGTTTTATTTCGCTGAAGGTCATCACACATGCTTCACACTCCTAACTATGGTCCTGAGCCTGTCTAGCAGAGGCTGCTCACCTCCCCGAAGGTCGAGTCTAATCTCTAACATTAGTCTCTGATTCCAGGTTCGGGATGCTGGGAGACTCTCCAGCCGCTGGGCAGATCAAGGTGGCGCTCTCTCCAGATGTGCAGAGCAGAGCATTGCTCTTGGTCTCTGTATACTGTCCAGTGGGCGTCCTGGGGTTCTAGTCCTGTGTCACAGGCTTCTGGATGAGGCTCAGTCTTGAGTGCAATGGAGGTCCTGACTAAGCTATTTTTGCGTGTCTAAAAGGCCTTTTTTTTTTTTTTTCTTTTTTACTGTTTTCATTACACCTTATTGGAAGTCAGCTTTGAGTAATAAATGCCTTTGGTTAAGAAAAGCTTGAGCGGTAATCCTCCCACCGCTCTCTACTTTCGTGTCTGCTTAACTCCCCTGTCCCATGTCAGTTTGCATCTCGCCACTGTACTTTATCTGCCCCCTTTTAAAGGCTCCCCCACACCGATAGTCCTTTTCAAGTTGTAAGGCTTTTATGGGTTTTCTAAGTTGAACACAACTCTAAAGATTACAAGCTGAGATCCACTTTAATTAGTGCAAACTTGCAATATGTGTTAGGTCCAAAGGAAACTTCCATTTCCCCAAATATCTCTCTCTCTCTCTCTCTCTCTCTCTCTCTCTCTCTCTCTCTCTCTCTCTCTCTCTCTCTGTGTGTGTGTGTGTGTGTGTCCCTCTCTTATTCACTCTGCCCCTGCTTCTTTCATGACCAGGTCCAATCTGCTGCCCGTGTTCAGTCTGCTACTGTCTATCTATGCTCTGGTCTCCACCAGATGCCTCTGGCTGTCTCTCCCTCCTGTAAAAAAACCTTCCCCTTAACCATGTCATGTCATCAATTTATAAACAGTGTTCACCTTTCTAGCTACTGTCATATGTATTTTCCCAATTCTGTGCATTTACCTGCAAATCACATTTAATTTTTCTTTATAGCTGAATAAAATCCCATTATATATTATCAGGTCCAAAAGATACCCCAAGCACTCCACAAAGGGCAGGCCACTGACTTAGTACAAAATTGAGTCTAGGTTTGGCAGAAGGGACACATGGTTCTCTGTTGGCATACACTGGCGGCATCCATCAGCATTTCAAAATCCATGCTCTCCACCAGCCCACCCCATCCACCTGCAGTTCCCTATTCACAAGTACCCAGAATACTTTTCAGTGTCCACACTAGCCTCCTGGCCCTTCTCACCCAACTCACTCCTCCTCCACTATGCTAGCTCACAGGCATCACTCCTCCCTGATACCTACCCATTCTCTATATAAAAGCAAGGTCTTTCCCTGAGTACCCACTATTCTCACTTCTCTGCCCTAGCCGTGTCCAGTCAGTTTCTTTTTCTCTCCACATTGGGCTCTTCCAGATGCCTCTGGGTATTCTCTTCCCCCTGACCACAGAGTGGCCATTTCAGTCCTTTCTTTTCCACAGTCCTTACATGGATATGTGCGTTCTCATTGTCCGTTCTTCTGTTGGTGGACAGGTAGACTGATTCCACTTCCTAGATGCTGTGAATAGAGCACTGCCATCCATGCTTGAGCAAGTATCTCCAATGTAGGACATAGAATCCTTTTAATGCCTTCTAGGGATGTTTTCTCTGCCAATTAAAGAATTAAAGGGCAAGAAAGATGTCACCAGGAATCCTAGGGAGCCCCAGTGGAGTCCTTATATGATACCCATCAAATCAGGGTCTCCTTACTGGGGTTCTTAATCTTATTAAAGTAATTTAAGAATGAAAACAAACAGGAGCTTGACCATTTGTTATCGATTTAAAGGAAAACTCCAGGGCAAGCAAGCTATAAATCTTTTTAAATCTGAGTCTATTTGTTAGGTTGCAAAGCGGTGTTTCTGTTTCTGTCTTCTGTGTAAATGAGACTACAGGCATGCACCATGTGCCCAACAAACATTTCTTCAGGGGTAAAAATGGTACTATAGGAGCCTAATTGAAACAACCCCTCAAGTATATTTTAAACATAATTAAACCTCTGTGTTGGTTAGTTTCTGTCAACTCGACATAAAAGTGAGGTCAGGCCAGGCTGAGGACAAGTCTGTCCATGTGGGAGGTGCCAGCCCCCTGTGGATGGTGCCTTCCCTGAGTGAACCAGTCAATAAGCACTGCCCTCCATGGTTCCCATCTCTGCTCCTGATTGAGCACTTGCCCTGGTTTTCTTCAGTGATGGGCTGTGATCAGAACATGAATCAAATTGTAAGGAGTAAGGTTTTTCCCCCCACTGCTGGACTTGTCTCGCCGCTGTGCCTGCCCCAATTAACACACCAAGACTCTGCATTTGATACAATGCTGTTGGCCAGGTACTAGTTTCTTATCGGCTAGCTCTGTCTTAATTATTAACCCATTTCTGTTAATCTAATATTTCCACGTGCTCTTACCGGAGAGCCGGCTGGCATCCTATTCTCCAGACTCTCCATCTTGACACCTCTCTCCTCACTTCCTCTTTCCTCCTCATCTCCTAGTCCCGCCTATCTTGCTTTCCTATTGGCCAATAGTGCTTTATTCATTAACCAGTATGAGAAACATATTTACAGAATGACATCTCCCATTATCAAATCAACCCTTTCTTCCCCAAGTTGCTTTTCAGGGACTGAATCTGTGCCATTTAGAGTGAAAACCACTGAGTTTTTACTCAAATGATAATTTTTATTTAGTTCATAGTTTCCACCTAAAAGTCACCCCACCCACCCCATTTCCAAGAAGACCTGAACAGTTCAATGCTGTGGCTGTGCTTTTACTTCTTGTGGTAATGAATATATATAGGCTGCCTGGAGGTCTAGGTATGAATGAAATAATTTGGCATACACTGGATGCTTCAAGGCAAACTTCCTAAAGGTTGTATACGAAACTCCAGCTGAATTTGTGCCTGCCATCTGCTGAAAGAGCATGGAAACGTCTAGGTCTGGCACTCCAAAAGCTGCCCGGAGTATAGTTGCTAACTCTTGTTCTGTTATAAAGCCATCCTCATCAAGATCAAAAAGTTTAAACGACATTTGCAGAATCTTCTCCGTGTTGGAAGGGTTGCACAGGACAGTTAAGCCTATCACGTACTCCCGGAAGTCTACAGTGCCGTCCTGATTCCTGTCAAAGAGAGAGAAAAGCTGCTTCAGGGGCTCTGAAATTGGGAGTTTTAAATAATTTGAAAACTCTTCAATTCCAATCTTGCCTCCTTTTGAGGAGACTGCAATCGCAGCATATTTGTCCAAGTGCTTGTGGATATTGTCCCAATCTAATTTCAGTTTCTGACTGATTGTTGTAAATTCCACCAAGCCAGCTTCCATGGGCAGTTGAAGGGCACCAGCAGAAATCATCAGTCTGCAGTCTTCAAATGTGTGATCCGTCACTGGGAGTTGCAAAGCATTTGCCATGTTGATTCGGACTGTATTGGCAAAAAGGATGGGGTCTTTCTTTTCCTCTTCACTTGGGATATAAACAGGCATAAATTCAACTTCCACTCTAGTGAAGGGCTGACTCAGAGTTAGCATAAATGCCTGGAAGCCTGTGAACCCCTGCCAGGTCCAGGTCACTGTGTCCAGGGTGTTGGGATACCTAAGCAGCACTGGTTGCACAGGGACACCTGGGGAGAAGGCTCCTAGTTTAAAAGTGACAAGACAGGAACGATTGGTGCACACTCCTTCCGGGAAAATCAGAATCTGTGGCCACTTCATTTTCGACATCACCCGAGACAGGATTTCATTCCGGGTGGTCTTTCTAGAATTCGGATCTTCTCGTTTCACAAGCACAGGCTGAGTCGTCAGGAGGCATTTCCCAACCAATGGGATCCGCACATTCTGATTTGCAGAGACCACCGAGGGGAGCCCCGCCACAACAACGGCTATTGCATCAAAGAAGGTGGAGTGTGGGGCAGTGATGAAGATGGGGGCCTCCTCTCTGGTGGCCTTTTTACCTTTCACCTTAACCAGGAACCCAGCAAAAAAGAACGTCATACGAAACAAGAAGAGGAGGGCTGGTTTCATCAGATGTTTCCTCCAACTCTCCATGGGTTTGGTAGGTTGAGTAGGCAAGTTAATGGTGATGAGTGTGGCCATAGGCCAGAGAAACATGAAAAGGAAGGCCATGCAGGAGACACGCACAGGTACCAGCACGGTCCCCAGGATGAGGATGCAGGCCCAGCGCCATGCACTGAGGTGGGTCTGCTGCATGAAGGGGTTGGCCACTGCAGGAGGGTATAAGGAGGATCTTTTTACCTCCCTGGAAGTCCTGCTGTCCCACACCTCCAACTCAGTGGTGTCTGTGGACTGTCTGCAATCAGTCAGATGAGCCATGAAGCCTGCTTCTCAGAATTTGAATACCTTATCCCACATTCAAGTACTATTTCCATTTGTACATGATCGTCACCCTTACAGCCAACTGTTGGTTAATAGGAAATGATGCATTACCTTTAAAATTAGAAAAAAAAGTCACAAGGGAATTAGGATCTCATCAAGAGAAGGGTCACAGTGTGTTGTTTTGACATATATGGTTAAAAATTTTCATGTAACAATTTCTGGTACTTCTGTTGTTCATATATACTTACTAAGGAGATAGTAATTTGAATGAATAAATAAAATTATAACTTTCAAATTTAAGTAATAATGCCAGTAAAATTTGCTATGGGCCACTTTAGAAACTAGTAAAATTCAACCATTATCCCTAAAGATCAATTTCTTCGCTAATGGTCATACCAGTTTAGGGCAGTTTAGGGTATGCCCTTAAACATTGTGTGCTGAGCACTTTTCCACACGCATAGAGATTTAGGGAGGAATAGATTTTAAGAGAGGAAGAGAGATTAATGGATTCTATGACTTGGAGTAGAAGGACTTTGTAGGGAAGGAAGGGGACCAGCAAGAAGTGGGGAGCAAAGGAGATGGGAGTGAGTAGTTGAGGAGGATGAATGAGAAAAAATAAGACATAGATGAGTAAATGCCATAATGAAACTATCACTTGGAAAATTAATAATTTAAGATGGGTGGTGGTGACACACACCTTTAATCCCAGCACTTGGGAGGCAGAGGCAGGCAGATCTCTGTGATTTCCAGGATGGCCTGGTCTACAAAGCGAGTTCCAGGACAGTCAGAGCTGTTACATGAGAAATACTCTTAGAAAACAAAACAAAACAAAAAACCCCAAAAATTAATAATTTAAAAAGGAAAAATTAAAGTGCATTAATTCTACTAGGCTAGAATTGACCGTGGCATGTGGGGGTTACAATTAGTCTATATGGACCAGTCAACACTCTAAATTGATACTTCGTGAGAAAAAAACCCAAAAACTATAAAGTCAACTTGGTCAGTAATCAGGCTTTAAAATAAGATCTATTCTACTGAGTCAACATAGTCTCCAGAACAAACATGTTTCTCCTTTGTTGTCCTTGGGACATCATGAAGAGGGAAGCCAAGTTAATGTAAACAAGGATTTCTTCTAGACCCGGTAGCTTTCCTGACTCTGATGTGCTGTATTGAGGAGTCCTGCTATGTTTGCTAGTTTCTAATATGAATTCCTTTTCCCAGAACTAAAATGATTGTCTAGGTCCCTTAGTTTCCATTTATTATTATATATTAGGTTAGCCCTATAACAGAAGAGTGCTGTGGATGCCAAAGCTTGATACCCAAGGTGTGAGCTAAGTGGAAGGCAACTACCAGGTGCCAGCATTTATACAGAGGGACTTGGCAAAGGTACATGTTAAAACTTACTCTCCTATCTTTCAACTGGTGATACTCCCTACCTTGTAATTTTGTATGAGAGTCCAGCCTAACTTTCGTAAACAAAATGAACTTTTATTGTACATAGAGGTTGCTATGACACAATGAGAATTCTGAGGACACTCCACACTCTCCTGTCACTACCAGGACTGTCTGTAATGAAGGAAATGTCACTAAGGTGCTGTGACTTGCCACACACTAATAATTGTCTACTTTGCCAAAGAGGACATCCCAAGACAGTGGGCAGAAGTGACTTGAGCCACACTGCCTCCTCTTCTGTAACTTCCTATTCTACAATGTTCATTTCTACTCTTTTAAAAAAATCTACTATTTTTTATTTTATTTTATGTACATTAGTGTGAGGGTGTCAGATCCCCAGGAACTTGAGTTACAGACAGTTGTGAGCTGCCATGTGTATGCTAGGAATTGAACCAGGATCCTCTGGAAGAGCAGCTAGTGCTTTTAACTTCTGAGCCATCTCTTCCAGCTTTCTTTAATTGCATTTGCATATGGTTCTTAGAAAAAGTATAGGAATTAAGATCTTGGCTAAGAATTCACTTCCCCCTACTGCCCTCAGGGCAGGCAGCTGTAACCTCAGGAAGTGTGCCTTTGTTGTCCTCAACCTTGGGTCAGGCCCCCTACAAGCGCCCTAAACAGTCCTTGGAACCTGAGATGACTAACTTCCCCCTCCTCCATCTGGTGCCAGCGTATTTAAGCCAGCCCCCAGAGTAAAATAAAATTATTAATAAAGAGTCTTCTTAACATCAAGCAAGAGTCCTGTGTTATCAATATCGTTGTGTTATCAATATCGACACCCTCCGCAGTAACTCGGCCCCCCGCTGTGCAGGCGCAGCAAAAAGTAATCATACCATCTTTTATATTTCATGTGTCTGATGTGGTATATTTGATTATAACATTGTAGTCAGTCCCCTCATCATGGTTTCACCTGTGGACCTGTGATCCACCAGGGTTTAAAAATATTAAGTGAGCCAGGCGTTGGTGGCACATGCCTTTAATCCCAGCACTTGGGAGGCAGAAGCAGGCAGATCTCTGTGAGTTCAAGGCCAGCCTGGTCTACAGAGTTAGTTCCAGGACAGAATCCAAAGCAATACAGAGAAACCCTGTCTCCAAAAACAACAAAACAAAACAAACAAAAAAAATTAGTGAAAAACACAGAAAAAATAATGTGTAAATATTTTAAATTATACAATAGTCTGGGTGGTGTGATAAAATTTCCCACTGTTCAGGAACATAAACCATCTCTGTCCAGGATAGTCAGAATGAGTGTGGCTCTCTCCACTCAACTTTCAGATTGACTGCCCCAATGTGCAGCACTTGTGTAAAATAAAATGTGTATTTTGCTCAGTGTTAGTTAATTTTACTCACTAATGGCCCCCAAGATGCCAAAGAGAAGCCATAAGTATGACTTTTAATCGGAAAGGTGGATGTTTTCCATGACAAATGAAAAAAAAATATATGCGTGAACATGCAAGAGAGAAAAAGACATTAATGCTAATTTGATTATCACACCTCAGACTGAAAAAGTTACAGCCACAGTACACGGTGAGGGCTTAATTAAGATGGGAAAGGTATTTATAAGATAGGTTTGGCTCATCTACAGTTTGGGATCTACTGGCGTCTTGAGACTATATTTATTCTCTAAGAAGTGATCTACATGTCTGCAATGCAGCAGGCCTTTAACAATTAAAATCTTGTTCTGTAAAACCTGAGTTCTAGTGTGCAAAGGAATTACAGTACTCATTTCTTGCTGTATTGAAGGGGTAAAAGATATTTTCATACTTGGTTGATGTAGCTTGCACCAGCTTCAAATACTCAATCATTCATAATAAATAGAACTTAAGATCCATTTGCAGAAATACTTATCTAGCAAAGTTTACCTTCAAATTCCTTTATATGTTATAGATCCAAAGGAGTTGATGATGAGACTTGTATTTGCTAAAGCAAACAGTAAAAAGAGTGCTTTAACAATGAAATTAAAATGTTTGCCATTGCAGACGTGTCTTTTACACTGTGGCACAGCTCATGTTCATGTATGTTTGTAAAAGGTACCATGTGTTAATATGACAGAGGAAACAAGAGCCCAAACCTGAGCCACTTTCCCCTGTTGCCTTTTTGTACAACTGTGTGTTTTAAGGCAGATGTTTTTCTGTGCAGATACAAACAATGAAAAAAAAATTACATGGATTGTTTTCAATACCATGTTTCACTATTTTTATTTATAATCAACATATTAAAATGGGTGGGGTTTTTTTCTAATAAAACTTAAGTTGATGAACAAGTCTTAAGTTTTTCTGGATTCCATAAGAGACTCCTCACAGGAAATGAAGTCATTCTCTCCTCTCCTCCCTGAGGAATGCCCAGATCAGCCTGTTCACTGTGTCAGGTTGGTCTTGCTGAAGCCAGTGGCTACCTTCTGACAAAATGGTGAGTCTGAAATAGTTTTTAACATAAGTCTTTGTGACTTCAGCCATCTCCGCCTCCATAAACGCATCTTCCTCTCCCCACAGGAGTAGTGTCGGGGTCGTCACCATGTGATGTTTGAGAGGCAGACAGCTGTAAAATTAAAACACATTGGCTTGAGACTCATAGGGAAACTTTGAGTAACACTCTTTCATGACATTCCATGGAGATTGTGCATTCCTCAAAGGAGACAAAACCACCTCTCACTAAAGGGGTGAAAATTGGTTGTTGGGAGGGTAGAAGAGCCTCACATTTTACTAATAAACATGGACATGCAAAGAGTACATATATAATTTTCATGGGGCAAGGTGATTGGGGGGGCGCGGGGAATGTCTTTAAAAGCTCCCTTGGAAAGTGATAATGAAAAATGGCTTTAACGCACTACACTAGGCAGTCAAAGCGCTCCAAATATGCTGAGTTGATGAATGTGATCTCATTACTTTGGACATCACTTCAAGTGCAAACCTAACCTGGGCTAAACAGTGAATTCCAGGACAGAATGGGCCAAAGTTGAGAGCCTATCTCAAAACAATTTAACAACCTCCTGAACAAGGAGAACAAAAAAGGAATCTAATGGAAGTTTGTCAGTGAAGAACCGGCGTGCATCTCCAGCATCTGGTAAAAAGCAGCAGGAGGCCAGGGCAGGAAGCTCTGCTGACCTGCAGTCTGATCTAATCCTCCAGCCCAGTAAGAAACCAGCTCAAAAAGCAAGGCATATGGCTGTCCTCAACACTCCTGAACACACACACCTACACATACACTCACAAACAAAACCAATCGTTTTCAGCTTTTATTAAACTGAATTTTGTACAAGGCCAACCAGGGTTACACAGTGAGACTGTCTAAAGAAGAAAATAAGAAAAACAACCCTAACAAAAAAATCATGACTTTGCCTCTTATCACCTGGAGATAATGGTCCTTCTTCCTGGCAATGCAGGTCTTCCCAGTGGGCAGTTATAGTAAAATCAGAGAACTTTAGAAAGGTCAGAAAGATAAGAATGTTTTTCCTCCTATGGCCACTTAAAACACACTTTTCTGGGGGTGTGAAGTTCTTGATCCTTTGTCACCTGAGACTTGAGAGCTAAAACAAATCCTCCCCCTTAAATGGCTTTTGTCAGAGTAATCTCTCAACAGCGGAAAAGAAACCAAGACTCCAGCATACTGAATTTTTCTGTTTGCTTAGACATGCTTTTACTATGATGCTCAGGCTGGCCTCGAATCTATGATCCTCCTGCCCCAGCCTCAGTGCTAGGATTACACAATATCTGGGTGCTACCATTGTTTTGGTTAGCTTATCACCCTTCCCGACTCTTTTTGAATTGGTAGTCCACCCCCTACAAATACTGGTTTAAAAATACTGAAAATAGTCTGCTCCTGTCCTCTCCCCTCCTGTTGTCCTCCCAGTCCTGTACCCTGACACACTGGCCCTGCTTATGCTACATAGAGTCATATGTCCATTTCCCACACAGCCTTAGTCCCTGCTGTTTCCTTTTTCTCTGGCCCCTCACCTCGACCTGGTCTTGACTTGTTTGTTCAAACCCTTCTTATCTCTTTCTTTCAAAGTTTCTCTGTGTGTTTGTAACTTAGATGGATCCATTATGGTGGTTATTCATTTAATGCCTGTCTCCTCATACATGGGGCAAGGTTTGCAAGGTCAGATCCTTGTCATTGTACCTTGAGTGCTGACAGCCCAGGACACAAAATATTCTTGGGTGAATTAATAAACAATCATTGCAATATAGTAAAAAAAAAATGAATCTACTCAAAAGGAAAGAATAAGTGGATAGAATTATAGATAAAACAATCAAAGTCATGTGGGAGACCTATTATATTATCCTCTACTTTTCCATGTTTTAAATTTTCTATGAAAGGAAATTATTAAAAGAACAAGAATATTGGGGTTGGGGCTAGAGTGATGGCCCCGTATGAAGACCTGAGTTTAAATCTATAAGTAGTGTAACATCGTAATCCTAGTGTCCCCATAGAGAGTCCCTGGAAGCTCAGGGTCAATTAGTCTGGAGTATGTAGCAGAAAAACAGACTGCTTCAAACATGGTGATAGAAGGCAAAGACTTACACCTAAGGTTGTCCTCTCCCTGCCACATGGGCACTGTATAGTATGAGCACACCACACACACACACATACAAACACACACGAATGTGATGTGTCTGAGGAATAAGTGGTTAACCTAATTTAAAATAAATATCTCTTCAGATTTACATATCTTACTTAACTCCAAAGAAATTATACTGACTTGAAAATGTTTCGGTAATGGTTAATTGGACCGCTCAGTGCCCCAGGCTGTGAGAAGACATAAATGTAAGCTTCTAGATCCTCTGTCGTCAGCCTACGTCCTTTCCTTCCAATGCCAGTGCTCTGACTGGTGAACAGGTGTTTCAAAGCCTAATGGATGCAAAAAGAGAATAATTTTAAAAATCTAGTTACCTAATAATAAACTAAATACTTCACTTTAAAGGGATCATAAGGCTGGCAATGTAGCTCAGTTGGTAGAGTACTAGGCTAGTGTGCACAAAAATGTGTCTTGATCCCTGGTCCTGCTTCAACTGACCACAAAAGCACATGCCTGTCATCCCCACACTTCGGAAGTAGAGTCAAGAGGATCAGAAGCCAAAATCATCCTTTCTAGAAACAAGTCAGTCTAGGCCATCCTGACCTACATGAAATCTTGTCTCAAAAAATTTGGGTGAAGGCAAGGTAGTTGATGTGTGGGTGTGGTATTTGATGTGGGTTATGGTAGTTGATATGGGGGTATGGTAGTTGATGCGGGGTATGGTAGTTGTGGATGTGGGGGGTATAGTAGTTGATGGGGTGTGGTAGTTGATGTGGGATATGATAGTTGATGTAGGAGGATGTAGTAGTTGATGTGGGAGTATGGCAGTTGATGGCTGTATGGGAGTTGATATGGGGTATGGTAGCTGTTGTAGGAGAGTGTGGTAGTTGATGTGTGGGGAGGTAGTTAATGGGGAGGTGTGGTAGTTGATATGGGGGTATGGTAGTTGATGGGAGTATGGTAGTTGATGTGAGGGAAAGTAGTTGATGGGGGATACAGTAGTTGATGTAGGGGGTATGGCAGTTGATGTGAGGGGAGGTAGTTGATATGAAGTGATAACTCCTAATTTTTGCTCTGTTTCAAGGTTTCACTGCTTATAGATGCATTTCACATTTCTGCTTTCTTAGCTTTTTTCATTTTACCTTTTCAATCTCTTTGTATATTTCGGCCACTTGAAAAGCATTCTATCTTGGTGCCTACTCACATTCTATAAGACCCTGCCAGGTAGTATCCCCAACCAAAATGCCTTCCTTAATATTTCAATACTGTTTAGTAGCCAGGAAGCTCCTTCTTACAAAGTTATTCAACCCAGAGTAACAAATACACTTTACCTCACAATATAGTTTATACCCCAATTCCCACCAGTTTCATAAATAAATGGAGTGAAAGTTTAAAGAAGTAGCCTTTAGTCTTATCACATTTGCTCATATTTCCAAGTCAGGTTTGTTACACTTGGGTTGTTTTTTGTTTGTTTGTTTTTTGGGTTTGTTTTGTTTTGTTTTTTCAAGAGAGGGTTTCTCATATTGCTTTGGAGCCTGTCCTGAAACTCTGTAGATCAGGCTGGCCTCAACTCACAGAGATCCCCCTTTCTCTGCCTCCTGAGTGCTGGGATTAAAGGCATAAGCCACCATGCCCAGTCCACACTTGGTTTTTAAAATCCTAATTGCAGGATTTAAATTACTTCAGTGATTCACCCATATCTCCAAAAGCACTGTTGTATACCATCAGATCTAAACCACCTGTTTAGAATCATGACCATGCTTGTTTAAAATATGAGTGCTAGGGCTGGAGAGATGGATCAGCCATTAAAGGCTAGGCTCACAAACACATTATGAGTGATAGAGGCTCATGAGCGTTCAGTGGGTTAAAGGAGCTCACTGCCACACCTGGTAGCCAGGGTATGAGTCGTCCACCACGCAGAGATAATAAAAGTGAAACAATTTTTCAGTATAAATCCTTCTACACAAAAACACACTTGTAAAAAACGTGAGATAGTATTACATATGAGGTGAATAATTACATTATTTGTAATTGAGAATGACCAGGAAAAAATCCTCAATACACATCAATTGAGGATGTGTTGAATAAATTCTAGTACAGTCACACAATAGTGTACAAAGTGCTCTTAGTACCATGGACAGCCAACTATATCTGTTTCCCTTGAGTAATCACTAGGCTACGGCACATTACTGAGTAAAAGAAAAAAAAGGGGGGGGGGAGACAATAATAATGAGAACACTGGGGTACAAAATAGTGTCAGTTGTCTACTATTGACTGTGTAAGACAGGTAAAGAATCACAAAAATAAATTTATTGTAATAAACTCACAAATAAAAGCATCACTTGGCTAGATTAAAGTAGCCACAAAAACAAACACTTGCCTAGTCTCAAATCTCAAACTTATTTCGGTGAACTTCAACAAAGTTAGAATGGACATTCTAAAGCCCTGGAGCTTCAACTAAGGTTTTACACTTCCACTATCAATTAAATTTTTATGTACTCACACACACACACACACACACACACACACACACACACACACACACACACACAAACTGATGGAACTAGAAAAAATATTACACCGAGTGAGGTAACCCCAGACTCAAAAGGCAAATGTCACATGTTCTTTCTTATTGGAGGCTCCTAGTTCCAAATCATCATAATCCCTAACCACAATATATAAATGTTCATTCTTACACCCCAGATAAGAATATATAGTCTTCATGCTTCATCAAGGAAACTTCTCTTTGCAACAGACAGAGGCCACTACCACAGCCAATCAAGATGCAGACTTATGGAGCCCAGTGCCAGTGGATACATCTATAAAATCGTTCCATAACCAAGGCTCAGGGAACATTGTCAAAGAGGGGGCAGACAGATTATAAGAGCCGAAGGATCAGGGAGTTTGCTGTGAGATTGTGTTTCCTGGTAATGTCAGAAGCTACACCCATAGAGTCTCACCAACACAACTGCCTAAACAGGAGCTGAAGGAACAACACCAACAGACATGCCAGCTGGATGGGGGAAAGCCCACAAAGACTCAACCCTACTTAAAGAGCTATAGTCAATTGGAGAAAGCTGGGAGAGGGAGAAATAGTTCCTCCCTAGAAAAGAGCACACCTATTGGTTGTCCAGTACCAAATGGTTAGCTCTGAAAAAAAATATACAATAATATTATATGGAATGAATATTTAGGAATTATATTTAGGAATGTATGTGTATGTACATAAACAGTGAAAACAAGGCCATGAATTTCCAGGAGAGTGGGGAGAGGCATATGGGAGGGTTCGGAGTGAGGAAGGGAAGGGAGAAATGTTATAACCATCTCAAAAGAAAAAAAAACCCACACAACTTAATTGAAATTAGAAAAATAGTTAACTTTTTAATAGTTACATCCTCTTTACAAGTGGTATGTTCTTTCACCTGAATTCCAACCTTCCTCGTGGCCTTACCCTTTCTTGATCTCCTTTCTGGACCTTGTACAACACTCATATGTACAGTTGTTTGCATATACACATGCATACATTTTTACAAAAACAGATCAATGAATTAAATAAAATGATCTCCTATGACAGAGGGAGAGAGCAGGGTGGATGGACAGAGACAAGCAAGACTGCTCTGGATAGGTTTTTGTCTAAGCTCTCACATGGAACAATACAAATGTTTTATATAATATCAAAGAAGTTAATCAAAATCCTGTCTTCGGGTTGCTTTGGAAATACAAGCAAGATTTCACAATTCATTTCTTTCTAGAAACTATAAACAAATTTTGCCTGATAAAAGTATCTAGAAACCCCATAAAAATTATCACTTTGACATCCAAACTGTGGTCTCTAAATACCATTTCCCACTAGAGGGAATGACGGTATCTTGGATAAATGGATGATTCCAGACTCGGACAGGAAGTAACAGATTCCTGAGTTGAATATATCATCATTTTTAAATGATTATGTAACAAAGACACAGAAGCCAAGATGCAGGGACTCTCACTTGGCTTGTATGGAATAACACAGACTTCAAAAGCATTAATGACTAGTATTTATTGGAATGCCAAATATTACATGAAACATTCATCCTTTTATTTTGTATTTAAAAACCACCACAAAGATGTGAAAAGTTCCAGTTGACAAAAGTAGAAAGAATGGTAGAATTAGAAAATCACCATTTTGCATACTGTACTAAAGTAATAAAACTAAATTACCAGTAGCAACATAAATTTGTCACAGTGCCAGAAAATTGTGGCTGGGCGGTAACTCAGGGGCTACTGTAACTAAAATGGAGACAACCAAACATAACAAGTTTCACTAAGAGGACACACAAGGTTATTGTGTTGCCTTTTGAAAATCCTTGTCAAATTAAAACCCAATATCATTAAGCCTCTGGATCAGTGTCTATACTTTAGGAAAACCAGAGCTACTTGGTCAAGTTGAACAGCACCACATAGAAGCAGCTGTGTGTGTATCCTCCCTCAGAGTGAGCAAGCTTGTTTTTTTACTAAGACAAGGTCTGGCTGGCCTGGCACTCACTGTGTAAACCAGGCTGGATTCAAATTTGCAGCAATCTTTCTGCCTCTGCCCTCAGCCCTCAGCCCTGTGCCTTCCCAGTGCTAGGGTTGCAGGTGTGTGCCACCATGCCATATTAAGAGATGTCTAAAAGAAAAAGCAAAGAAGCAAGGAACCTAAAACAAATTTAAAAGCATGATAGCTGGTATGACCCTTTTGTCTTAGCTACCTAGGAGGATGAGGCAGGAGGGTTTCTTGAGCCCCAAAAATCTAAAAACAGCCTGAGAAATATAACGAGTCTCTTAAAAAACAAGGGGGGGCGGGGGGAAGGAAAAGAAAAAGAAAAGCAAACAAGCAAACATAACAATCAAATAAATACCTGTGGCCTTTGTTTGGTTCACACAAATGAAATGTATCAAGACAACTGAAATCTTTAAGGAAATTTGGACACATATTACATGTACTAGGGAGTTGCTATTCATTTTGCTAGGCTTGACAGTGGTATTAGAGTTATGTGTTTTTAAAAGCTCTTATTGGCTGGGGTGTATCTCAGCAGTGAGAGTGAGTTCAGCATTTCTAAGCTTTGAGTTAATTGGGCTCATTCTCCAGAACGTCACCCAACCTCAGCAAAGGACCCTCACTTGCCAGAGATAGACATGGAATATTTTTCAGTAATATTGTTATTACCTCTTTAAAACCTTTCCCAATAGCATCTAAGAAGCACTGTGACAAGCTCCTAAGACATTTGTGATGTCACCTGAGGAGCACTGTTTATGGCTTTTCCTTCTTTCCTGGGATTCCACTTCTGCTGCTATACTCAAACCTTCTCATCTGGAAGACGCAGGGCCTTTCTCTCCATCAGAAACATTCTAAAAAAAAGAGATGCTGGCCTATGATGAAGGACTAGGACTAAGGCAGATTTCCTACTCGGCACACAGATAGAGGGGCTATGCTAGTTCACAAGAGTAATGACCTTCCAAAATGGCCAGCTTCTTGCCTCACCTTCCTGACCAGATAGAAAAGCCTTAACACAAAGGTCTTGAAGCTTGAAACAAAGGACTGCTGAGCCCCTGCTAAGAGACTGGCTCATTAAGTTCAGGGCCAGATCAGCTCATGTTTTATACAAGGTTGTGGACCAATTAGCCACCCTGTCTTTCTTTTTCAGACTGGGCAACCCTAAATTAGGGGAAGAAGACCTTTTAGAGACTTAAAACAAAACAAAACAAACAAACAAACAAAAAAAAAAAAAACCCAGAGCTCAAGAAGAGACTGGATTTTTTTTGTTGTTGTTGTTTCCCCAGTAGTTGTTTCTACTGTGTACCTACTGCATGACTGTTTCCTCAAGCCCAATAAATGTCTTTTTTCAACTGCTGATTCTCTGTACTCTTGTTTGCTGTGTTTGAGATTTCTCTGCTGATACCCCTCTTGTTCAAGATATTTTCCTGCCTTTTAATTCTTTAACTGGTGGAGAAAACAACCAGATTAAGACCCCCTACATAGTAACAGTAGGATACAAGCTCATGTACAAAGTTGAACAGCCAGGCTTTCAAACACATTGGTATACAAGAGACATAAAGATAAGTTAGCTTGAGAGAATGCCTTTAAACCTCCTGGGTGGTTTGAATGAGAACGGCTCATATGTCTGAATACTTGGTTCTCAGTTGGTGGAACTGATTTTGGAAGGATTAGGAGGTAAGGCCTTGTTGGAGTAGGTATCACTATAGGGTGGGTTTTTTAAGTCTCAAAGCCCACACCAGGCCCAGTGTCTCTTTCTCTTCCTGCAACTCATGGATCAGATGCGATCTCTTAGCTACTACTCCGACACCATGCCTGCCTGCCTGCCACCCTGCTCCCTCCCTACCATGATGATAAGGGACTGAGTCTTTGAAACTGTAAGAGAGCCCCCCCATTCATTGCTATCTTTTATAAATTACCTTGGTCATGGTGTCTCCTCATAGCAATAGAACAATAACTAAGACATTTAATAATCAAAATTTAACATTTTAATTTCATTTTTCATTCTTAAAGATGATTTTCATTAAAAAATAATTGTCATAAAGAAGAATGATTAATAATAGGGTATTTGTTTGACTTACCTTGAAATCATTAATTGAGAACATAAATTCTGGCAACCATGGTATTTGGAAGAAGTAATAGAAGCTAGATCTGAACAGTTGGGCAGGGTGCCGAAGTATGTAGTCTGAAATTAAAGCACTATGTTAGGCATCATCTGAGAGCTGTAAATCGGTTACTGTTGAGGGAACTGCTTACACCGGTTCCACATTTTAGGCAATCCCATCAAAGAATCCACAAGTAAGGCTTTCTTATATTATTGTTCTTTGATTTTGATTGGTATTTCCAGCGTTTAGAAAATGTGTAGACAGCACTTTAAATAAACAGAAGGCTCCTTTTCTTGAAGCTTCCACTCATCAGGGAGCCCAGATTACTCTGCTGGTCCTCCACGGTCATTCATTATCCCACACCTAACAATTTTCTTAGGGATTTATGGTGATGCAGTATTCCATTATTTAGAAGAGTTTTCTTATAGACAAAGTCAGATTGAAGTCTTTATCACTGACCCTCAAGAGGAACTGAACCATTTCTTACACATTTACTCATATATCTAGAAAATCATTCCTTCAATGACAGTTTCTGAATCACTATAAACCAGGGGTTTATCAGTGAACAAACGAAAAAGGCCCCCAAAAGATGTCCTCTGCGGAGCAAGCATTTTAAAGACCACTCCAAGTTCAGTGATTTGAGGGCTAAAGGAGGCCCTCAAAATGGTAGTGCTGGTGACAATGTCCTCAACAGAAGGATTATCACTGGGTAAACAGAAGACACCAGGGATCCCCTTTAATTTGCCCCCAAAGGTCAACTACCCTGGGCAAGGGCATCTAGTTCCTGGTCGTTCCAAACAGCCCATATCAGCTTAAAGACACCCCCACAAATACACACTCAAACACACACACACACACACACACACCATCATATAAAACCTGCTAGCTTTTTTGACATTTTATTCTCTCCATCCCCCACCCCCAAAGGCCCCAGAGATAGCCTTGAAAGTTTGATGGTTCCACTGTGCCCTTGCTAATAAGTGGTGGAGTACTTTGTCTCACATGCACGAGGGTCTGGGTTCAATCCCCAGCAACACACAGCATAAAGAAAATAGAACAAGGTAATCTTACTGAGAGTGATAGTGGGAGAGGGTGGGGATATCATATGGAGAGGTGGCCCCAGGTGGCCTCTCGACATACTCGTGGGCTTGGGGTTCAATGTTAAGAGGGAACCAGCTATGCAAAAATCTAGCAAGAAGCAGAAAGAAAGCCAGAGTGGCTGGTGTTCAGGGCAGGAGGAGGTTCACAGGAGGTGAGTGGGGACCGTTATTGGGTAGGTGTGGAATGGTAAGCACTTTAAGTACTGGATGACACGCATGGGGAGTATTTGCTTGACCTGGTACTGAGCTCTGTCCTCCTTGCTATGGAGACTGGTTCTTATTTCTCGTTCTGTAACTATACTCATGTCTGGAGGTTCCAGGAATATAGTTTTCAGGCAACTACAGCACTGCTGTGCTAGACTTCTTGTGAATTTATCTGTGAAGCTTTATCCACTTAAATTGAGAGAAATCAATTTAACTGATTAAGTTAACTGACATTTAACTGGAAAACAAGTACTTGGTGGGGTTGCAAAAAACATCAAATATGAGTCTTTCCTATTAATCACTATAAAACTTGTGTCCAGAATAAGAAACTCAAAATGAATCTCTACCCACACCCTATACAAATGTTTTACTCCTCCTCTTCCCATGCACCAAGTAAAACCTTCGTTTTCACAAAGGTCTGCTGGATATTCCAGGAGCATGGTAGCCTCATTATTGGTCCTGTTGTCCTTGGAGCAGTGGCCCCTTCCTCTTCCTTCATTTCTTGTGTGCCAACTCTTTTCAGATCAGACACCAGCCAGTGGGGAAAAGACACATTCACCACCTAAGTTAGAATAAAAACCAAATGGACTTCCTGTCTCCGGTCCCTCTCGGCTAAGCACACTTTCTTGTGCTTCTTGTGCTTCTGTTTTCCTTGTCCAGACACTCCATTAGGGTTGGGTGTCTTTCTTCAGGACCCCAAACTGATTTCTAACAGGGTTGAAGCTGTCATTGACAACCCATTCTATACTTATTCCAAGTACTTTCCTCATGAAGCCAAGGATTGCAGTGTATCATATAGTACCACCAACAAATAACATCTGACTCAGGGCCCTGAAGACACAGCAGGCATGCACTTCGACTTCTGTTGCTTAATTTAAGGGAGAAAAGCATAGCAAATCTTAGAGCATTTTAATACCAAACATCGTCCTACCTCAACAGTGACCAACTGTTAGTATATGAGCATCTGTACTGGCCTACCCTTGGGGTTCTGACAGGATACATGCTCAGCTGCAGCCACTGAGAGCACCACTGTGTATACTCACTACATTCCCTTTTAAAGGGGCCCTGCCCGCCTCCCACCTATTTCTCTCTCCCTCTCTCTGTTCCTCTTCCTGCCTCTGCCCCTTTTCCCTCTCTCCTGCTGCTCCTGTCCCCAGAGGCCAGTCTCCCTCTGCCCTCTCCCTTTCCCCCTTTTTTATGATCCCTTTCCCTAATAAAACAAAAACAAAAACTCCTGTCTGCTTGAACCCTGTCTCATGGCATCTTTCTCGAGTGCTGCCTTTCTTAAATTACAACACCAGCTGGTGGAGGTGTACCCAAACAACCCTGTTACTGATAATATGCAGTGTCCATATAGTCATTAGGACCCAGTCATCCTTATTTAATTTTGAGGAGAAATAGAAAAGTGTTGTCCTGAACTTTAGAAAGAATTATTAGGCATGTGCTTTTGTGTGTGTGTGTGTGTGTGTGTGTGTGTGTGTGTGTGTGTGTGTGTGACACAGCATGCTTATGGAGGTCAGAGGGCAACTAGAACCCAGTCTCTTGTTCCACCATGTGGGTTACAGGGATGAAACTCAGCTCATCAAGGTTGGCAGCAAGTGCCTTTTCCTGACAAGCCACCTCGTCAGCCCCAAGTTCTGAACTCTTTGCTTCCTAACTGGCTGCTGTAGGCCCTGGAAGTACCTAAACTTCACAAAACCCCACAGGAGCAATTGAATAGGATAAAATTATAGTTTTGCCAAAAACCAAATGTAGATGTGCAAGGTCTCTGTTAATTGGTTATTGATCATTTTTAGGCATTTGAGGGGGTCCCTTTAAATCTGTCTGTGAAGGATAGACTGTTCCTGAGCATCCTTGGGGTATCCTTTAGGTATCCAAGTGATGATCATTCCACTTCATAACAAGCCAAGGCAGTCTTTGCTAGTTTCAGCCATGTTGAAATCTGCAAAAGCAATGGTGGAGGAAAGCTTCTCTTTGAGCACAAGTTGACACAGTGATCCTAACAGCATGAACAGTCACTGTGTGCACACTGGTGAGTAAATCAACTACTTAATTCAATTAAAACTCAGTTTCAAGGGGCTGGAGAGATGGCTGAGCAGTTGAGAGCACTGGCTACTCTTCCAGAGGTCTTGAGTTCAAGTCCCAGCAACCAGATGGTGGCTCACAACCATCTGTAATGAAATCTGACACCCTCTTCTGGCCTGCAGACACAGCACTCATATGCATAAAATAAATGAATATTTTAAAAAGGCAGTTTTACCTAACAATGAAATGACAAAACTGTAATTTTGTTAAATCTCAGCCTCTGAACATTTCCTTTTTAGTCCACCACATGATCAGATATGGAGAACATGGTACACCGTTGTTACTCACCTGAATATAATAAAGGTAGGCTCAAGAAAAGCACCTATGACAAGATGTGGTGGCGCATGCCCTTGATCCCAGCACTTGGGAGGCAGAGGCAAGTGGATCCCTGTGAGTTTGAGGCCAGCCTGGTCTATAAAGCGAGTTCTAGGACCCTGTCTGGAACACAAAAAGGAAAGAAAACACCTATGTAGCTGAATTAATGAGTGGGTGCTTCATTTTTTATTTTAAATGGAACATAATTTTTACTGGAAAGGCCTACTATCTTTAATTGGCCTGGATGTTTACTCTTTCTCTCTCACTTCCTCTCTCTCCCCTGAGACAGGGTCTCAGTAGGTAGCTCTGAAACTCTATGTAGACCAGGCTAGCCTCAAGCTCAGTGCTCTTCCTACCTTTGCCTCCTAAATGCTGAGATTAAAGGTATAGGTCACCAGGCCCACCCAGTAATCTCTGGAAAATGACTCCAATGGGCAATTTAAAAGAAAAATAATAATCTACAGTTTCTGTTGTCATTGATACAATTCAGGCTCCAACTGAAAATAAGACTTTTTGAAACATTTTAATCTGCTTCTAGGAGCTAGGAAAATTTTCAACATTGAAGACTTTCCTGAGTAGATGAGAGCTGAATCAGTTAATGTGATTTTTAAAACATGTCAGACTTGCTGAAGATCTACATGCCTTTTAACCAGTGATGTTTCAATGCAGGGCAATTCAAATAATTCACAGGGTGAAAGTGCCATAGAGAGCCACAGATTTTGGTGTAACTGTGTCACACTCTTGGTAACATTTAACATTTATGAAACTTTTTGTTTTTAGACAGGGTATCTCTGTGTAGCTTTGGAGCCTGCCCTGGAACTAGCTCTTGTAGACGAGGCTGGCCTGGAACTCACAGAGATCTGCCTGCCTCTGCCTCCTGAGTAACATTAAAGCCTTGCATCACCACCACTTGATCCAAAACAATTAATTTTTGTGTTTGGCATAGTATTAAGAAAACCTTCAATTATTGAACTTTATTAAAATACTCTAGAATACACATGACTGGTGAGGTCATGGATCTTAGAGGAGAACCTACTGCTGTCACTTTCCCAGACCAGTATGATTTGTAATGACACCGGTTCTTTGGTTTATTTGTTTGATTACACCATCACTCCCTGGCAGGCATTCGAAAGCTGCTTTTTCAACAGAGATAATTGTAAACAGCCACACAATTGGTCAGAATGTAGAGAACTACTGACCTTGGGATACTCAGCCCCAAATGTAGATTTACAACTCCTGCACCTAAGGCTCAAGAGATATCAGAGAAGAGGGAGCAGGGGAAAGAAAAATTGTTATGAATCAGAGGGGATCAGGAGGTCTGATGTGAGGTTGTGTCTTCAGTTTATGGCAGGGAAGATACACCCATGAATTCTCAACAACATGGGTGCCTGCCTAAACAAGACCTAACAAATTCCAACACCAGTTGACATTCCAGTACATTTGTGGGCAATTTCACACCGGTCCCCACCCCTGGATGAAGAGCTGTAACTGCCGAGAGAGTCAGTCTCCGTAGGGATGAGCCCTGGGATTGTTATCCAGTACCGAGTGGTCAGGTATGCACGCAGGCAACACTGAACGGACTCAGCAGCCATATTTATTCTTTTATATATGTAGAAGAGGGGGCCGTGGATTTGGGAGTGGGATGCACATGGGCTGGGCAGAAGAAGGAGAAGATGAGAAAATGCTCCTGCCTTTTCTGATGGCAAATTTTTGTGTGGCCAGATTTCTTCTCACATTTCTGCTCTAGGAACATATTGCAGCAGATTGAAGGCAGAAGCAGTGAGAAGAGCCCAGCTGTCTTCCATTATGCAGAATTAAAGAGATTTGTAAATTTGAAACAAACCCTTTTCACTAAAATTTGTTCAGTGTAGTTAGTTTTCATCAAAGTACAGTGTTTATGTGAACCTGTAATAAAATTTTTAAGTGAATGGATATATAAATATGTTTTAAATATCCCAATTCTGATTTCCTAAGTCTCCTCAAGGTCTTTAATAATTATAAGAGAATAAAGAAATAAAATTGAGGATTGGAAATACTTTTGTGTTCAACAGCTGAAGTACTCCAAAAAAAATAGAGAATTTCTTCTTGCCAGCATTCATGACTTTCAAAGTACTCCCACCACATTTCCTCCCTCTCCCTCTCCAAGTTAAGTGAAATATTGCCCAAAAAAATGAAATTATACAAGCAAATGAGAAGCTATAATTTTCTTAGTTATTTTTTTCCAGAGAAGTTTAAAACCAAGGTTTTAGGCTGGAATTATAACTCAATGATAGAGTGCCTAGCTAGCAATTTAAGAGACCTGGACATGATCCCCAACACGGCTTAGTTGGTTAACTTATCAATCTATAAATTAATTATTTGTTATCTATCTTTGAGACAGAGTCTTACTGTGTAGCTCAAGCTGGCCTTGAACTCTTCACCCTCCTGTCTCAGCCTTCTAAGGGCCAAGATTACAGACATGCACCATTGTGCCCAGACTTCATTTGACTTTTAGAAGATTATGCTAGCCAAATCATGCTGTCTTAAATCCAGAATGTCAGTGAAGACAGGGGACTAAGCGGTCTAGGAAAAGTGTAAGCTCACCTGCAAATACACTTGGATGTGGGAAGTTAATAACAACAAGCTTCATTATCATCTCAGGGTAGCAGATGGAAATCAGCCAGGCAATCATGCCTCCCCAGTCGTGGCCAATCAGGACACATTTGCTATACCCTGTGACCAAAAGAAACATGTTGGCGTCATTGAAAAAAAAAAAAAACAGGTGGTGACAGACATCATTATCTCACATAAAAGAGCTACATTTCTGGAACTATTCTTACCACTATTTTATCCAATATCCCCTATAAATTATACACTTTAAAAACATGTGTTTGCGCATGAGTGTACCTGTGTGAGCACACATGGGTGTGCTCACACTTAAAATCCCAGTATACTTGAATGGTAGAAGCAGGAGTCCAAGGCCAGCCTGGGTTACGTAACATACTGTCTGAAGAAAAAAAATACAAGAACTATTGAGCCCAGTAGCTCTAAAACTTGCTTGTACATTAGATACTGGTCCAAGTGCTGAGTATCGGTGGCTGTTCAGTGCTCCGTCCTAAATGGGACTTTTATGTCAATTCATCCTCACCAAGGCTCAGGAAAGGTCGAGAAAGAGTGGATGAAAGACATGGTTGCTGGAGGATAGAGAACAGTGCTGTGGAACGCTGTTCTCTAGACACGATGCAGCCAACGTGTTTGTGCTCACAAACTCACTTGCAGCTATGGTTATCTGACCACAATCCAGCCAGTGAACTTAGTACCGATGGAAGAGAGTGGCTCACGGGGCCATTGGCAAATGAGGGCACCGAAGCAGAGCTGGCCGCTAGAAAAGAATGGCTTCTGGGACTGGGGCCATTTGTGTTTTAAGGCTGGGGTTGCTATTAGATAACCCACGCTCCAGGGGCTGTGCCCCAAACAATGTGCAAATGTCAATACTAACGTGACTTAGAGAGTTTAAAAAATAGAATTAACAAAGAAAACATGAAATGGGAAATGTGAGGGGCTGCAGGAGCTGGAGGGGAAATACATAAAAATTATTCTAAAACAATCTGGAACATTTCAGTTTTGGTTTCGTGGAGCTGTGTCTGGAAGTGTGGTAGAGACCTCACATGAATAGATCATAAATAAGATTATTCGGGGGTAGAGTTTGAATGTTAGCTGTCTTAGTGACATAGTGCCTAGTTTATATTATTAATATACTATTCCTTTTATTGCTATTTTAGAGTGTCCTGCCTCTAATTATTATAAAAACCATAGAACTGTATGTTGTGGTATGCCAGTAAGAATCTCATACCTCATGTTTACTAATTCTCTGGCTTGTACAGAGGCCACATTCAGTGACTGGTGTATGCCACCTGGCCTTGTGTAAGTAAACTAAGGTACTGGCACAAAGACAAACTTGCTTAATGATGCATTTCTCAGAACATATCCGATAGGGATACATGAATGTGTAAGTTTCATTCAGGGTATCATAATGAAATTTTGGATTAGGTTTAAGATATAGTTTAATAGTGATCTCTACAAAATTTCCTTTGTGCTTATGGGTAAGACTCATTTGCAATTTCTTTCTGGCCTTTCTCACCCTTACTTAAGTAACACATACATATGAACATGCACTTGGAAACATGCCCCCCTCCCACACAGCCTTTTTGTTTCTATTATTGATTTGGGTGTAGGATTCTGTGATGACAAATTTAGCCCTATTCTACCTGAATTATTGGCAAATTCGAATGAAGCATATATAATTGAATCAATGCCAGATTCAAAGGAAGAAAAAAAAAAAATGCACCACTGATGGCAAAAGCTTCACACACCTTCCATTCCTATTACTGACTGGATCTGTACTTCAATTGCATGAAGATAATCTTATAGTCTTGACTTAGTGATGTTCCTCTCCCCCTGTCCCGGTGTTGTTTTGTCAGCACACTGGTGGCTGGGCCAAGGAGATGGCGCAGTATGTAAAGGCTCTTGTGGCCAAGCCTGAGGACCTGAGTTTGGTCCCCAGAGCCCACACAATGGAAGGGGATAATGTAGGCCTAAGTCTTAGGAGTTGGCATCTGACCTCCACAGCCATGTGTCCTCCTGACACACCAATGGCAGCATGCAGTTAGTTGTTTTGGTTTTTAGTCAAAGTGAGGTTTGTAGGTTGGATAATTGTTGTACAAGACATATACTGTTAGGAATCAACAGCCTGCTGATCCCCGCCCCCAACGATGGGTGGGATGCTCATGGCCATGTCATTGCTACGTCAAGCTTTACCTGGCTGCCAGAGGACTCAGTTACGCATGCACAAGCCCCCCTTTTAAAGCAAGCGCGCCAAGCGCGCATCTCTCTTCTCTCTGGCCTCTCTCTGGCCCCCCTCTTGCGCTCTCTCTCTCTCTCTCTCTCTCTCTCTCCTGCTTTCGGTTGGCCACCAGCTACCCCCCTTTCTCTCCCCTCTCTAAATAAACTCCACGTGGGCACTGAGTCTTGTGTTTGTGTTTTATAGGCATTAGCTGCAGCAAAAGAACGACATATACTATGTGCCTCTTTGATGTTAGACCTTGCCATGTTACTGGCTTTGGTCCCTTAGTGGCTGTGTATCTTGATCTTTGGTTCTGGTGACCATGTGACTTGCTTTGCCTTGTGAGCTGTCAGTCAAAACTGCTCTCAGCTTCTTACCACTTTTGCTATTACCAGGAGAAGACTCCCATCTGCTTCTGCCTATCTCCTTAGCTTGGGCCTCAGCTCAACTCATACAGAGAAGTGAACTGGTCCTATGTGAACTGACACCCAGTCTGTGGATGCCTGTAGAACCCTGAGCATAGGAATAAATGACGTGGTTGTCTTTCCCTGAGGTTTCTCACATGGTAGCTAATAACTGATAGATACAAGAGAGACCACATAAGTGCCTCTGCATCTTAAAATGACTTTAAAATCAATGTTTAGGTACAGGCTTTGAAGAGAGAAACTTTCTGAGTGTAATTTTCTTAAAATGATAAACAGTATGCCTTGTATCTATTTTTGTCCCAGTCAAATTCTCCCTAGAGAAGACAGGAAAAGTTTGTCCATTTTATTTGTGGTTCACTATTTTTGGTATGCCAGGGATGGAACCCAGAACCTTGGGCATGGTAGCCAAGCAGCCTATCACTGAACAACAGCTGTGGCCCTAAGAAAGTTCTGTATTTAAATGCAGGTTCTAAAAGTCATTCTTAGCTGGATGCTCAATGTACAGGATTTTAAGTTCATCACACAAGCAATCTGGGCCATATACTCAGAATTATGTAGCCAGGGTTTTGATAACAGCTCAGCTAGACACAAAACATCCTGAGAAAAGAAGCAGTCAATTCACAGTTTGTTAAATGTTGCTTCCTTTGAAAGAGTCAATGATGATCCTGGGGAGATGGCTTGGCAATGAAGGGCACTTGTTATTCTTGCAGAAGGCCTGGTTTCTGTTCCCAGCACCCATGGTAGTTCACAACCATCATAGCCTCAGTTCCAGGTGATCTGGTGCCCTCTTCTGGCTTCTGTGGGAACCAGGCATGCATATGGTACACATATATACATATAGGCAAAACACTTAAAAAAAAAAAAAAAACAAAAAATGGAAATAACAAAGATCTTTAAAAAGAACTCAGGAGTTAGGAGTAAATATTGGTCTATCAGAAGGATAGAATATGGATCCCAGTGCTCAGTGCAGGCTCACAAACACTGTAACTTCCAAAGAATGCAATACCTTCTCCTAGTATCTGTGGACAAATGTGTGTACACCCACACAGACACAGAAACACATACACACGCTAAAATGATTTTCAAAGGCTACCCCTACCTAAGGTGTCTAAAACATCCTTTATATCTGCAATTAGACAGTCGAGTTTATAACTCTCTTGGTGAATGGGCGCGTCTGACTCTCCGTAACCTCTCAGATCCAGTGCGACAACTCGGTACTCACTCTTAAATTCTCTTAGTTGATGCCGCCAAGAATACCTGAGGGGAAAAGGAAACATTAAGAATGTTGATCTGGTAAAGTTGCTTTTCAGCAAGCCTGACTCCCAAGCTTGACCCCAAGAATGTTAGGAGGAAAAAACCATTCCCACAGTTTTTCCTCTCCCCTCCATGCATGTGCCATGACACACACATGGACATGTACAAAAATAAATAAATGTTCATTGATATCAAGTGACACTAGCAGATCATGGAGAGATGAGCTTAAACAGGAATTCTGATTGGTCAGCACAGTGACAATTTGTCTCAGTGCTGTTCTGATTGGTTAGCATAGTAACACCCAGTCTCAAACCTATTCTGATTGGTCAGCATGGTGACACCTTGTCTCAAAACCATAGGTGATCTTATCATTCATGCTGTAAACCTCAAGATGTAGATAGTACCACCAATTAAAATGAAAACAAACCTAATCCATCAAAGTTCATAGTTTGGAAAAGTCTGCAAATGTACTAACTTTGCCTTTTAACTTCTGTAGTTTTGCTTCTGACTAACTCTTCTTGATAATTGAAGTATGTCAACCTGAGACAGGTGTTTGCTTGTTTGTTTTTGGTTTTTTGAGACAGGGTTTCTCTGTATTGCTTTGGAGCCTGTCCTGGAACTTGCTCTGTAGACCAGGCTGGTCTCAAGCTCACAGCTGCCTGCCTCTACCTCCTGTGTGCTGGGACTAAAGGGGTGCGTCACCAATGCCTAGCTCTAAGACAGGTTTTTTGTTTACAAGCTCACCCTGGAAAGGCTTGGGGGCTACACTGAAACCTCTGCACGCACCCACATGTATATGTGTGATTCACACATGTATACATGTCACTTACATAAGCTAACCAGGTCAACCCCACAATCCAGCTATGCCACCTCCTGGTGCATCTGAAGGGTTCTAGAGGAGCATCCACAGAGTTGTATAACTCATGTTTATACAACACAAAAAGTTGTGCAACTTTTTGAAATAGCTAAGATATGGAATCAGCCGATATACTCACCAACAACTGGATGCAGAGACATGGTACATCTGCACAAGGGCATATTACCCTTATTATTTACCCATAAAGAAGAATAAAGTTGTCTTGTTTTCAGGAAAAATGATAAAACTGTTGACATCATGCTAAGCAAAACAAGCCAGTCTCTGAAATGCAAACACTGCATGTTTTTTCTTCTTTCCTTCCACCCTTCGTCTCCTCCCTCTCTCTATATCATATCTATTTATAAGATATATATTACATATGACATAAAGTAGGACTGTTTAGAGGAAGAAGGAGAACAAGGGAAGAGTTGAACAGGATCAATGAAGTGTGACGGGGACAGATATGAGCTAAATATGATAATATATATCATAGTGAAACAGTAATAGTGTATATTAATTGAAATTTATTTTGAAAATTACAACCATTGTTATGAATGTGTGAGAACAAGACAGCATCTCAATCAATTCTGAGAACTAGGGAAAGGTCAACATATTAACAAACTGCAAAAGAATAGTGTTTGTGTGTATGTGCATGCTTATATGGGTATAAGTGCAAATGCGGGCATAGAGGGATGTGTGCATATTAGTGTAGGTGTCTGTAGAGTACAGAAGATGGGTTTAGGTTCCCTTAGAGCTGGAGTTACAGGTGGTTATGAACTGTTCAATGTGGGTGCTGAGAACTGAACTCAGAACCTCCAAAAGAGCAGCAAGTGCTCCTAATTGATGAGCCATCTTCACAGTCTCTAACTTGGTTTGTTTTGAGACAGGGTGTCTCCCTGGCTTGATATTTACAGATCAGGCTAGACTGGATGGCCAGTGAATTGGAGACCTGCCTGTGTCTGCCTCCACAGTGCTGAACTTCACGAGTGGTGCCTGGATCTTTTACATGGTTACACAGTAAGTGCCTTGCCTACTAAGCCTCCTATCAACCCCTAAAGAATAATTTTAAATATCCCTTTTCTAGAATTTATAAATGGTAACATATTTGACTCATGTTTCAGGCATAAATGAAAACCAAAATCACTGTAGTGACCAACTGATGTCATTTTTTATATAAATAAAACAAAAATAACCCCCTCTGTCATACATTGCAAAAAATCAACAACCCAACTGAAACAAAACTGTATGCACACTCTTTGTGTTAAAAAATATTTTTTGTTTGTATGATAGTGTTGGGGACCATCACCATCCTTACTACCTCAGGCCTCTGAGATAGAAAATTATTACCTCTTAAGAAGTAAGCAAGCAGAATGTTTAGCAGATCATTCCTAGATACAGGCTTGCGGTTTTACAACCAGTTAAAGAATATCTTAGGATAGTCTTCTTGTTGCAGCTTTACAGCCAGTTAAAGAATAGCTCAGGATATTCCTCCTGCTGCAGTTTTAGAGCCAGTTAAAAATTAGTTCAGGGCATTCCTTCTACTGACCCTTTCATCCTGCCCATTTGCAAACCCCTGCTCACATCCTGCCCATGGTCCTATATAAGCCTCCCCTGAGAAAATAAAGTTTGACAGCTTGACCAGAATATGGACTTGCTGTTCTTCTCCTCCCTTACCCTTCGATTCCCCTAGGTGTCTCCCTTGTTGACTGCCCCGTGGGTTGGGGTTTTGTTATTGTTTTCCTGAAGTGGGATCTTGTTAGAAGCCCAGGCCTTTGCAGACCCAACTGGTCTCAGGCTTCTTTGTCTTGGCCTCTCCACGATGGGATCACAGGCATGTACCACCGTGCCTACCTTTTCTGACAGTTGTAGACAATAGCAGAGAAAACAAACAAGACAACCTCATCCCCTGTTATTCCTGTTAAAACATTTCAGGATCCTGGTTTTCCACTTTGTTGTGGGGAAGCATCCTTTTTCTCCTTGGGAGGCTGAGGCTGTCACCTGTTGCCACTGCTGCTCTGTGTTCAGGATGAGGCCTGTGCACTTGCCTCTGCATGTGAGTGATGGCAGTATCCCAGACAGCTGCAGATGGAGGCGACTCATAGAAATTGCCTGGGTCAGCTCAAAATATTTTTAAAAGAGATGCAAATTGAGGCAGAGGGAAAGAAACATCATCTTTTGACAAACAGCCATATTTTGGGCTGATTTAGCTAAAGTTCCCACAGATGTGTTATCTTATCTAACATTTCCTGTGGGTTTAAGACACAGGATCCTGTTGTTTCTGTGCTTCATGAAATAGTACACATTAAACATTGCCACTTCTCAACAGTCTCAGGTAGCAATGATACATGTAGGTGGTACATTAGACTATGCTGGTGCTTCTGGGATTTGAAAACCATTGTGTGTCTGTGTCTGTGCCTGTGAGATTGTCTGTGGAGACCAGAAGAGGATGTTGGATCCCCATACTTGAGCAGTGGGTGCTTTACATACTGAACCATCTTCCCAGCCCCAAATGGACAGACTTAGAGTATTTGCTGGGGCCACATGAAGGATTTTTTGCATGCTTTGAGTCTATCCTCACCTCGCCTCTGCAAGAATATTATAAATGATATCTAGGGTTCTTGTTCTATTTTGCTTTTCTGTCATGGTGATAAAACATTCTAACCACAATGCAGAGTACTAACATAGAGACAGGAGAGAAGCCATAGTCTCTACTCCAAATGACTTAACAGATTTAGATGACCCCTCCTGGAGGGCATCACTCTACATGTGGTGTAGGGGGGATGGGAGGGGAGGGTGGATGGAGGGAATGAGAGGGTGGGAGAGAGGGAAAGGGGGAGGGAGGGAGGAGAGGGAACTGGGATCGATATGTAAAATAAGAATTAAAAAAATAAATTGATAAAAAACCATTCTAACCATAAGCAATTTGGGGAGGAAAAGGTCTATTTCACCTTACATTCCTGGTAGCAGTCTATCACTTAGAGAAGTCAGGCCAGGAACTGATGCAGAAACTTCCCTCTTACACTCAGCTAGCTTTCTTATCTAGACCAATCCCATCTGTCTAGCCAGAGTGCTGCCCATAGCAGGCTGGGATCTCCTGCCTCAATTATCAATCAAGAAACCTCTCAAAGACATGGCCACAGGCCAATTTGATCTTAACAATTCTTCACTTGAGGCTGACTCTTTGAGTTGGCAACAGGAACCAACCAGGACATTACTGTGACCCTAAGTGGACTCACTGCTTCTGTCACTCGGAGCAAATTTGATTAATGCTTCAGAATAACATATAATAGTAAGAGGCCATGTTGTGCCTACATGAGGTGAGCGAATCCCTACACATGTCTCAAATTGCACTGGGAGTTTTTCCTCCTTCTTAATTAGGTTGCCTCCAGATGGAACAACAGATGACAATGACAAATTTATCCATGAAGCTAAAGCCAGAGTAGGGTGGAAACTTTCAAGTATGAAAGTCTTCTCAGTAATATATCTGTAGGCTTCTTACACTGTAGAAATTAGGTGACGGATAGTCCTTTGCCACCCTGTATCCTTTTCTTCCATGCCAATATTTTCTAGAACACTAACATGCTCAGTGCACTTATCCATAGACTGACTCCCCTTCATTCATAAAATGACTAAATTGTCTAACGGTAATATTCCTAGAGCCAGATGCATTTAAGACTGCCATGTCTATCTGGCAGTGACTCAGTGTCAACCCCTTTATCATCAGCGTTGATGTGGCTGATCTGTTTTGCTAAGTGGGACGTCTGTTTCCTCCCTCACCACTCCATGTGAAGCCTTCTGAAGCTTCCTGGTGGGTGGAAGAGGACAAACTTCCTAGGTAGAGGAGGGCCTTTCTCTGGTCAATGGTATGTGGGAAGTTGTGCACCCCTGCAAGAGCCTCCAAATAAGCTCTCAGGGCTGCTTAAATCAAGACACAAAACTTTAATGCTCTAAATAACAAGAAGAATTTGTAATGGTAGAATTCCAGACACCATGAGACAGTAAGAGAGAGATTTTGGGCTTTCAAATGTTAGCCAATATTCTACTTTTGAGTCAACCCAGGGAACATCTTTTTTTATCCGCTCCCTAAACTATTTAGTTCATGAACCATCTGAAGGTCATATCTCTCTGCTGACAAAAAGGACTTTCTTCTCACCCCAGCCTCTTCCATCTCTTTTAAATATGCTAATTGTTCTTAATTGGATGTTACTTTCATCTGTTTTTATTTGGGTCCTTTGGGATCATTAGAGAATGGGAAATATGCCCTTTCATCACTGATATTGCCTATAAATATTCCTGGATTCATATTCTGAAACAATTTGCCAAAATGACAGTTGTTTTAGTTTGGGTTTCCATTATTGTGAAGAGACACCATGACCAAGGAAAGTATTTAATTGGGGTGGCTACCTTACAGTTTCAGTCCCTTATCATCATGAGAGCATGGAAGTGTGCAGGCAGAGGCCGTGCTGGAGCTGAGAGTGCTACCTCTTGACTTGCAGGCAACAGGAAGTCAACTGATAGTCAGGCTAAGGGAAGCTTGAGCAAAGGACACCTCAAAGCCCGCCCCCAGAGTGATGCACTTCCTCCAACAAGGCCACTGCCTTTGGGGGCCATTTTCTTTCAAACCACCACCATGGTATTAAGAGAAAGGCTTTTAAAGAGTGGTTAAGACACGAGGTCAGGGCTCGTGATATTAACAACCCAACTGAGTAAAGCCCTCAGGAGAATTCTAGCCCTCCCCTTTTCTCCTCCCTTCTACCACATGAGGAGATGGCAGTCCCTCTGAAGGGCAAAGCAGCCAGGCAGCATTTTGGAAAAAGGGTCTGGGCCTTCAACAGACACTGAATCACCAAGGACTTAAGCTTGAACATCTTGACCTGTAGAACTATGAGAAGTAAACGTCTGTTCTGGTATTTTATTCTAACCACACAAATAGACTAGGCTAGTAACCACTATAAATTTTTGGCTACAGGAATTTTTTCTTTTACTTTAAAACATGTAGATATTTAATAGAGCCCACGTTCTTATGCACCTAGGGCCATGTCTTTCCTCTGCCTTCTCAACAGGCCAAAAGCTTCCTGCCAAGTGTTCCAAGGCTGTGCTCAGATCTCCTTCCCTTACTGGGGATGTATTTATTTTTTATTTTATTCACAGTAGTTACTCTACAGAAAATGTTTTATAACTTGAAACTTCAGAAAACTGAAGACTTTTTTATTCTTCAGAGAGAAAGGCAGAGTTGGGGTGGTAAAGCCCCCCCAACAGACACACATACAAGCACAACTGGTGGACTGAAAGAGGAGGTTCTGAGTTTAAGGCCACTGTCTCGAAAAACAATTAGGATGGTCTTATGTGTGCATATTTTTAGATTAGGAGAGAAACCATCGCTGTGCTTTTGGGAACATTCAGGAGTAATCACCCTGGAAGATGATCTGGCCTTACAAGAAAGTGATTCTACAGTGAGTTCTACAATTAGACTGTTTGCAAAACTCACAGTGACGATTAATTTTGATTGTAGTAGTGTCATGAGTAGGATTTGTTAGACATGATTCAGACATGAGTGATCCTGACCTTGTGGGATTAAGCACAAATTCACCCTCTGTTGTTTTCTTTCCTTCCCACCCCAATCACATTCAGTAAGTGGCAGCTCACACCAGCTCTTGATTTTGGACCCCCCCCCCAGCCTCCAGACCTAAGAAAAAAATAACCTAATCTTTTCACTGCAGCACCAAATGGACTAAGGCAGAATGTAAAGTGTTAATGCAAAAGAAAAAAGTTAGTTGGTAAATTTACCAGAATTCTGGAAATCCATGAAGTAGTAGCATGAGTGGTCTGCCCCTTTCTCCGGCGGCAACATAGTGAAATCTTAACCCTGAATCCTGAAAGTGCAAAGTATGGATAACATGATAATCAAGCATCATCCAGCTAAGACGATTAGCATTTCCATCGAGCCATTATTTTAGCATTAAGAAATAAGTACTAATTTAACAATGTGAGTTATCAATAGGATAAAAGGACCAATTAACCTTTAGAATACCCCTCTTCTTTGTTCTGCCATGGGGGTCAATGTATGTATTCTGAGCTTCTGAAGCAATGCCACAATGTAGCTTTAGTCTTAGTGAGGTGTCAGGTTTCACACCCTGCAGGATATGTAAGTAATTCTGATTTGAATTTCAGTTTTGCTAAGTCTATCTCGTGTACTCTGCTCAGCTGGCCCGTCAGAAGCTGTGCCATCACTTATGTAATTCACACCTCCTTCTCTTATTTTTAGGTATCTCCTTCCCACACTATTACCTTGAGTGCTTCATATATGGTCACCTTGTCGCCTGTTCCTTCTGTGTGTGCTTCTAACTGTGGGATACACCAAGTGCCCAAGACTTCTCTGTGCACATGTGAGATAAGGTAGCCCAAGGAAAGGAAAGGGAATGGGAAGAAGAAAAGAATACAGCAAACACCAAGGAAACAGGAAAACAGAGAAGAAAGAGAAGCAAAATCCCTGAAAGTATGAACGATAGTAGAAGTCAAATGTGGAGTGTGGACCCTGGACTTTGACGTGAAAGAATCTGGCAGGTCATTTCATTCAACTCTATCAGCTTACAGATTTAGACAATGAGGCCCAGGGGCTGAGGCTGCTGTGCAGCTCAGCATAGTGCTTGCTTTACAAGACCTTGACTTCAGTTCCCAACACCGCAACCCCCTCCCCCAACGAGGCCCAAACAAGTCGTGTAAGTCATAAAAGTAGTTGGGAGGGTTGCAGCTATAGCTCACTAGCAGAGCATTTGTCCAGCATGATCAAGGCCCTGGGCTGATCCCAGCATCACCAAATAAATCAACAGAAGTAGAGAGGAAAGTGGTGACCACATGACGAGAACCACCATTGTGCCTATTTCTTGGTTCTGCTTCAGGGAACTCTCGACGATCCTTAAGCTGCGTTTTGTTCATAAATTGGACAGTTAACAAATGTGAATTTGCTGTTATCTTTTAAAAATTGTTTTAGTGGTGGTGAGTCTTGAAGAATAAAGTGCTATGGCCACCGGACTGCATTTAATAAATACTTTATTGTACTGGGTATATGCCAGGTCGATAATTATAATAATGGATTATATTAAGTTCAATTTTCTGCTTTTTGTTTATTTGTTTGTTTTTCCTAATGTGAATGCACTTAATTCTTAACATCTGTTTCAGGCTCCTCCTGCCTTTCTGAATCCCAGTTGCTGGGGGATTTAGCTGCTGACAGAAAGTCAGGACTCAGTAACACAAACATCTCCTGATATGTTGCCTTTGAGAGGTCCGTGAGTCAGACCATAAGGCGTATCACAGGGACTGTTCCACTCCACCACCTGACGTCAGGAAATAGAACGCCTGTGGGCTGTGACAGAAGTTGGGACAAGCATTGACAATGACAATCTGTCTGTATGGTTGACACCTTTTAAAAGCTGAGGGGACGAAGCTTCATTTCTATCCCTCTGATACCTGACTGTTCACATCGGCATTCCTCATAAACGCACACCATTTCTTTACTGTGTAGACCTGCCTAGGTCATCTGAAATCAGAAATGACTTTCCAAATAACCGTCCTTCTCTCTCCATCTCAAAACCCCGAGAAGCCTAAGACAGCAGGACAACGCCAGGGGCGTTGTTCTGCAGCTGATCTGAGTACTAAAGGCTTCTTGCAGTAAGAAAGGGGGTTGAATTATTCTGAGTTGGATCCGGTTAAGAGAAATTCCACATAGAAATAGTCTCCCCCGCCATCCACACAGGCAACAAGGAGAAAGCAGACAGACATAAACAGAGCCCCTATAGAGCCCCCAGCCCTGTCCCCCCTGCTTTCCCCGGGGTCCTCCGGGAGCCTCACAGTGCGTCCTGGTAGCCAGGACACATTTCTTAGAATCAGCCAGGCACCCTTGGCTCCCGCATCTCCCACTGGCGTCACCCTCCCCTCCCTCTAGCGCGCGCCGGCCTTCACCTTGATCCGCACGTAGCAGTGGGTACCCAAGGAGGGGTCGTTCAGGCACGCCGGAGGGTTTGTCCGGGCCGCCCGGCGGAAGGTCTGAGCCGGTGCCTTGCCGATGCTCCACAAAAGTTTGAGCAGGTGGACGGAGGCGCACAGCCCGCAGTAGCCGTACACTAGGGACCAGTACAGCAGGGCGCGCAGCGCGGGCACCAGGCGGGGCGGGCGCGGCGGGGCCATGGGGCGGCCTTTCGGGAGCCGAGCTGTGGCGTCCCTGCCCCGCCTGCCGCCCTCCCCGCGCGCCCGCCCGACCTCGCACACGCCGCGCGCCCAGGCCTCCGGGACCGCACAGAGAGAGGCCGGCTCCGGTTGTCCTCTGCCTCCCGTGCCACTTCGCTAGCGCCTAGCGAAAGGAAGGCGGCGCTGAATGCCATCCTGGGTTCCCGCCGAAGCGTCCTGCTCTGAACAGGTTCAAGTTCCCGGATAACCGGGAATGCCTCAGGCCTTTTTCTGGATGCAAGAACCACGGAGGGCGGGAGGGACTTTTACTAAATTGTGGCATTATTTCTTCAGGTAGGTACACTAGACAATCTCTTGCAGATGTTAACTGTTCACTTTAACTGTTTCTTCAAAGTTACCAGGCCAGGCAGAAAAAAAGAGCGAAAGGCACAAAATGCACCAAGGTGCGGGCAACCAGTTGGTCTGTTCCCTTGCTCTTAGCAAGCTGTCCTTCCCCTTCCCTCCTTCTTAATCTTCCCCTTCCCCTTCCCTCTTCCTACCCCCATTGATGTAGATCCCACAAGTTATCAAATCCCCAGTTAAGAAACATTCGTTCTTTCATTCTTCCCTTTCCTCCTCTCCTCTCCTGTGCATGCATGAGGGTGAGTGTGGATCTGTAGGTGCCTACAGAGGCCAGAAGAGGGCATTGGATCCTTTGGACGGGGTGTTGCAGGTGGGTGTGAGTCTGCGCCCTCTTCCCCTCTCGCTAGGAACTGCATTCAGTTCCTCTGAAAAAGTACTAACTGCTGAGCCAACTCTGTCCTGTTCCTTCCAGAGTGTAACTGAGGTCTGTTATAACTACATCAACATTAAGTGTTGTTTGTGAACATTTTAATTTCACCTACGTGGCTAACAGGAACTTTGGCTTCCGAGAGAGAGAGAATCAAACTGGTTTCCTGCAAACCAGAATTCTTAAAAGCCCTGGGTTCAATTCTAAAAAAAAAAAAAAAAAAAAAAAAAAAAGTGACCATACAATTTTGGAGTCCTTAACAACCTGAGTCTCTGAGTCCCAGTTTTGAACGTGCTGGTTGCTGAACTCATCTTAATTCCAACCATCCTAGAGCTGCACAGTGAACACTGAATTTCAGTAAGGGGGGCTGACCTCAGGAAGAAGCGAGCCACCCAAGAGAGGTCGATGAATTAGGACACACATGCCTGAATATGCCATAATAAAGCTTACTACTTTGTATACTGACTTCAGCAATCAATAAAAAAAGAGTACAACTAAGTTTGCATTTGTTTTTCTAATGGTGAGTAGCACCAGGCTTCTTCTGTGTGGTCGCATGGCACTCAGATATACTCTTCTTCAACAAAGGGTCTGTACAAGTCTTCCAGTGTTGATTCCCATCCCCACAATGGGACCAAGGCCTTGCAGGGGTGGCAGGCCTCATTTGCTAGTACTGGTTAGACCCAGAAACACTTTTACTGTTTGTTTTTTAGGCTTTCTCACAACTGAGTTTTAGAGTTTTTTGTAGTTTATTACAAACCTTTATTAAACCTAATATGGGGCCAGACGGTGGTGGCATCTGCCTTTAATCCCAGCACTGGGGAGGCAGAGGCAGGTGGATCTTTGTGAGATCGAGATGAGCCTGGTCCACAGAGCTAGTTCCAGGACAATCAGGGATGTCACACAGAGAAGCCCTGTCTCGAAAACCAAAAATAAAGTTGAAGTCAAATTTGCCACTTTTTCCATTTATTACTCATACATGCAATGTCAAGACATCTAAAAACACCTGGCCTAGACAATAGAGCCTAAAGCTTTTTTAAGTTTTACTATAGTTTTAGATTTCATGTGATGCAGTTTTTGTACACGATGTGAGGTTTTGCTTGACACTCATGTATCTGAAGCCCACCAGTGCTAATAAAATCGTGTAATTGCTGTAGCTCTTTAGTTCCATTTCCAGGGTCATATCCAATTGGGATTGCATCTTTACATTCTCTCTTCCTCTCTTCTTATGATCCTTGTTTGTATGTGTTTTGTGTGTTCTTGTTCATGTCTCCTAGTCTGTAATGGTTTCTTTCCGGCATATGCTTGGAGGGAACTGCTACTTAACTATCAGAGAAGATTTGAAAATACAACTATTTGCTCTTACAAGACAGCAAATTTTATAAAACTGTTACATTTATTTAGCCTGGACTGGTTGTGTGTGAATTCCCACTAATCCTCCTCAACATGTGATGATAAAAAATATTTTAGCTAGCGATGAGCTAAGTAATATATGACTTAAGTTTTATTCCCCTCAGTATCAAAGAAGCTGGCTGTCTCTCCATGTTCATTATCCATACACATCTCCTAAACTCTCATCAGGCCAAAACTTAGCAATGCCTGTGTGTTGCTCTCAATTATCCAGGCTTCAGGTGTTCACTAAGAGATTGGGTTGTGGTCAATGGGCTATAAGTGCAAGAACCCTCTTTCAAATCTGGCCATTTTAAAGACCTTTCCATGAGCAACATGGCAGTTTGAATGAGAATGATCCCAATATGTCCATGTTCCAATATTTTGTTCTCAGTTGTTTGAGAAGCATTAGAAGGTATGGCCTTGTTAGAGAAGGTGCATCACTGGGGTTGGGCTTTGAGGTTCCAAAAGCCCACATCATTCCTAATTAGATCTCTTGGCTCCTGCTCCAGCTCTATGCCTGCCTGCCTCAGAAGCTTTAAGTCCCCAATAAACTCTTTCTTCTATATTGTCTAATCACAGCAATTGAAAGTAACCAAGACAGGGGGAGTCCTCCCTAGGATTCCCTCTCACTCTTCAGGGTTCTTTCTCATTTCTCTTTAATAAAAATTCATGTAAACTCTTCTAACACACACAATGCAAAAGCTTTCCATTTGATCATTGCATCCTATTTTCTTGTGGTACATCTACAGCAGAGACCATGCGGTCTAGATGGGGTAACTAGAAACAGAATGGGGATATTCTACATTGAGAGTAGACATCCTGTGATAAAATGCTGCCTTCATTCCACTGTCATTTGATATTCTTAATGCATTCAGAATCCCAAGCTGACATACACTTCCATTTTTATTTTTCAGCAAAGACTTGTCTTCCTTGCTATATGCACAGAACTACAATCTACAGTGTGAAAGAACCTTGTAGTCAGCAGAGAACTGCATGTAGCTTTTCCTCCCCTCACAGAAAAACTATTACCTTACAAACTTAGACTCTCATCAGTGTACACCCTCCCATGGCAAACAGTTCAGAATAGAGCAAAAAGAAATACAACAGGGCACAGCTATGATTATCACACCTTACTGATAACCAGCTATCCCCTAAGGACACTGCCCAATGAGAAAAGCTGTACTCAGATACACAATGAGAAAATGTACAAGATTAGCAAACTCTTTAGTGTCAAAAAGAATGGCATCCAAAATCTCAACACTTCAAGCTAACAGGCTCTTTTCTTTCAAATCTTTGAAGTTTGACTTCCTCTGTTTTAGTACTTTTGTTGCTGATAACTCATTTGGTGAAGTTAAAATAATCTAAAATAGCAATTTCTTTGCCTGGTTACATATTTTGTTTATGTTATTATGATAGCCACTGAAAAACATCTTAGATATGGTTTTATTTTTCACAGTTCTTGGAATATTATACTTCCAAGATAAAAAGACTCAGCCAGGCATGGTGGCTCACACCCCAGTGACGTAGGATCACTGGGGTGACCTTTTCTAAAGAGTGACAACAGAGGGTGCCAAACACACCCACCTCTAGCCTCCAGTCATGCTTACACACACACACACACACACACACACACACACACACACACACACACACGTAGATACCTATAGAATTCATTTTTCTCAATTTTAAGAAAGTCAAAACTGTTGGCTCAAAAAAATGATTTTTGTTATTTCTGGCTGGTTTCAAGGATTCTCATTAGATATGTTTTGTCCTACGGATCAATGGTTGGCAAATTTCTAACACATTCTCAGTAAGGGATTGGATGGTAAGTGTAAGTATTTTAGTTTTAGGTTTTTTTTTTTTTTTTTAAATTACATGGTATGTATGTATTGTTAGACAAATGTGTGGATGTCAGAGACTTTGTGGTAGTAGATCCTCTCCTTCCATAACATTGATCCTGGGGATCAAACTCAAGTAGTCAGGCTGGATGGCAAGCAGTTCCTGATTGTGAAGATGTCAAAGATAAGAGCCAGTCATTTTCCAACTCAACAAGGAAGAGATGTCAGGGAAAATTCTGTAGAATGTGCAATGACCTCACAGGGAAACTCAAGACATTGTATAACATGCTCTGTTCCCAGGTTGGAAGGAACCTTATTGGGACTTCCTAAGTCATGCATATTCTTGAGCCCACACATGTTCTGAAACTGCAGGATAAACCCCAGATTCAGTGGGAAGAACAGAGCTTGGGGTGATGAGCTACTCCTAAAAGAAGCACGGAAATCAGATTCAAACCACAGATCTCTCTGACTAACACAGAAGGCAACAATTTTCAGGAAATAAAAGACACTAAAATGGAAAACAGAAAGATGAGAAAGAAGGAAATATTCGGGCCAAAAGGGGGGGAAAAAAAGACATTTGGTACTCCATCTGGTTTTATGTATGGTGACTATGATAATTTAACCAGCAAGCACTAAAAATGGCAAGTTCTTGGATCCCCAAATTGGCTTTTTTTTTTTTTTTACATGCTAAACAAGAAGTCCCAGAGAATAGGACCGAAGGCCCATGAGACAGGTGCCTGCTTTAACTGCACTTTAAAGTTTTGAAGCAACTTTTTAAAAAATAAATATTTTAGAGACTATCAATATTTTTTAAAATGTTAGGTATCAGGAAATAAATTTTGAAAGGTCATGTCAGCACTAAAGATAAACTCTGGCAAACCTTTCTCACCCCATGCTCATGCACCTATCTTTGGTCCTCCCAGTTCATTACCCTCTCCTGCTGCCTCCTTCAGTTGCTGGGCAGAATGAATGTCTGCATCACATGCTAGGGGCTCTCTTTAAAGATGAAGCTTAGAGGAAAAATGATTCTTATACTATTTATACCTCTAGATGTTTACAAAAATCCCCTGAGCACTTCCTGAAATCCATCTAGCCCTTGCTCCTAGCACATCTCTACTTCTCTCTACCACCCACCAAAAAATGCAGAAGAACTCTCTACCAGGGAACCCACAGCTACCACACTTTCCTAAGATCCAGAGAGGCAACAGAAACCAAAGAATGGAACAACATCTACACAACTAAGACGAGACCAGGTATCAACATCTGCAGGCAACTCAACCAACCTAACCCCAGACGCCTAGACACAAACACGAATAGCCAAGACAGTATGCCGCCAGTAGAACTCAGTAAGCCTACTCCAGCAGGCTGTGAGAAAGGCAAGGACTTCACAATAGCAATTATGAACATGGGAGGACCATAAAGAAGAAGATAAGACTGAATCCCTTAACAAAGTCTGTGAAAGCACAAACAGCACAAGGAAATGAATAAAATAGTTCAAAACCTGAAAGTGCAAATAAAATCCTAAAGAAAACCCAAACTGACTGGGCACACACCTTTAATCCCAGCACTGGGGAGGCAGAGACAGGTAGATCTCTGAGTTCAAGGCCAACATGATCTACAAAGTGAGTACCAGAACAGGCTTCAAAGCTATAGAGAAACCCTGTGTCTTAGAAAAACAAAAACACACCAAACAAAAACAAACAAACAAACAAACAAACAAACAAAAAACCCTGAAAAATTGGAAAGGGAAAACTTAGGAAGTCAAACCAAACCTCAGAGGTAAGCCTTGCCAATAGAGTGCAAAACACGAAAAAAACTATATGGTTGATGAAGACAAAGCAGAAGAAATGGATCCCTCAGTAAAAGAAAATGTCAAACCTAAAAATACCCAGAACATTATGAGAAGATTAAATTTACAAGTAACAGCAATAGAGGAAGGTGAAGAAACCCAGGGTCAAAGGCACAGAAAATACTTTCAACAAAATCATAAGAGAAAATTTCCCCAACCTAAAGAAGGAGGTACATGAGTGTATAGAACACCAAATAGCATCAGAAAAGAAATCCCCCACAGTAATTAAAACACTGAACTTATAGAACAAAGAAAGAATATTAAAATCAACATCTAAAAGCAGACCCATTAGAACAACAGCTGACTGTTGGAGACTCTGAAAGTCAGAAGGGCCTGGATGGGTGTTCCACAAACTCTAGGAGATGGCAGATGCCATCTCAACAAAACTTCTATCTGTAGGGCTATAGATCTCTATACCCAGCAAAACTCTCAATCACAATAGACGGAGAAAGAAGAATCTATTTACCAATCTTGCTCTACACAAGGCACCTGAGGGAAAACCATCTTGGAGGGGCTAGCCACACCCAAGAAACACAAAGAATATACAATCCCTGAACAGTAAATCAAAAGAAGGAGAAAACTCACACCATAACAGAATAACAAGAATCAATTAAAAACTGCTCATGGATAACTCCCAATAACAGTTTCAAATTTTCCAATAAAAAGATACAAGGTACAGACTGAATTAGAAATCAGGATCCACCCTTCTTCTGCATCCAAGAAACATACCTTAATATCAAGGACAGATGGAAAAAGATATTACAAAAAAATAGATCAAAAAAGCAAGAGAGTAGCCATTTTAATATCTGACAAAATAGATTTCAAACTAGAATCAAAAGAGACCGGGAAGGACACTACACACTCAACAAAGGAAAAATCTACCCATAATATTGCAAAGTATATGTTGACCTTCACACCCTGATAGTGGGAGACTTCAGTTTCCGACTTTCACCAGTGGACAGGTCATTCAAACAAAAACTAAACAGAGAAACGCTGGAGCTCAAGACATTATAAAGCAAATGGACCTAATATTCCAGCCAAACATAGAAGAATATGCCTTTTTATCTTCACCTCATGGAATTTTCAACAAAATTAACCACATACTCAGACACAAAGCAAATCTCAACGGATACAAGAAAATCAAAATAATACCCTGCTTCCTATCAGACCACCATGGATTAAAGCTGAGCATCATCAACAACAGAAAGCTTACAAACTCATGGAAACTGGACAACTCTACTGAATGAAAAATGGGCCAAGACAGCAATCAAGAAAAATTAATTTTTTCTGAACTTAATGAGAATGAAAACATAAAACTCTGGGGAACAATAAAGGTAGTTCTAAGAGGCAAGTTCACAGAATTAAGTGCCTACAAAAAAAAAAATGGAGAAATCTCATGTTAGGAACATAGCTGCATACTTGAAAGCTCAAGAACAACAACAACAAAAAAGAAATCACACCACCCAAAAAGAGCAGACAGCAAGAAACAAATTCAGGAATGAAATAAAAACAAACAAAATTAACTGAAAAGCACAGCAAAGTAAAGACGAAATGGGGGACATAAGAACAGATGTAGAGGGAATCCAGAGAATCAGAAGGATATATTTTCAAAACTTACACTCCATGAAACCGACAACCCTAAAAGAAATGGATAAATTTCTTGATACACCACCTACCAAAGTTAGATCAAGGTCAGACAATTTAACAAACCCATGACTCCCAGTGAAATAGAAGCAGTATCTGAAAGTCTCCTAACAACAACAAAAACAAAAGCCCAGGGCCAGATGGATTCAGCAAAGAATTCTATTAGACTTTCAAAGAAGAATTAGCACTAATAATACCTTCAAATTATTCTGCAAAATAGAAACTGATGGGACATCACCTATTTCTTTTTATGAGGCCACAATTCCTAATACCTAAACTATACAAAGACCCCACTAAGAAAGAAAATTACAAACCAAATTTTCTCATGAATATTGTTGTAGGCATGCTACAATCTATATAGCCACAGATGTAAGAGTTAAGGCACTAGTGAAGGGGAAACAGAATATGTAGTATGGAGGGATGTAGGGAGACTGGAGTGCGAACATTAAATAGAAAGAGGAAAAGGGGGCCAAAGGGGAAAATGGGGAGGGACAACTAATACTAAGGGCCATTTAAGGGGTCATATGAAAACCTACTACGTAGCTTATTAAACACATAGAGGAAAGAAATTAAACTGTTGTTAAGGCCCTATTTGTTAAAAACAACCCCTTCATATCTCACTGAGTATGGAGTCACACCCTGCTGACTGGTAGTCTGTTGGCTATCAGAGGAGAAAGGTAAGACCAACCCAACTACAAACACAGTGATCTATCTAAAATGATGACACCCTGAATGACATGCTGATGCAATAATGTCACATGTTGTGGGAGTAAAAACACCCATTCTCTGATTGGATTTAAGTCTCACTCCATGAAATTGAGCCCATGCCTGACACTGCTCGGGTGGCTAAGAACCTGAGACAAGATAGGTTATGGACCCTGGGGATACCCTAATACTATTGTTCTGCTAAAAGAACACAGCAAAAAAAAAAAAAAAAAAAAAAAAAAAAACTCCTAATGACATTCTGCTATATTCATAGATCAGTGTTTCACTCAACCATCATCTTAGAGATTTCTTACAGTATATGAGAACTAACATAGACTGAGAACTTGACAGCATGCAGAGAGTGAGAGACTGGAGCACTCAGTCCTAAATGGGATGTCTTCATCAAACCCTCCCTCAGGGTTCAGTCTGCTATGTGCAAGAGGAGGTAGAAAGATTGTAAGAGTCAGAGGTGATGGACAACTCCAAGGAAAGAGTGTCTTCTACCACAACAGGACTGACAAGCATATGAACTCAAAATCTGTGCCAGTAGCCCCAGAGTACACACAGCTTCAAGTCAGACAGGTTCTCAGCACCCAGAGAAGGAAGTAGACTTGGGCCCCACCCCTAACCAAGAAATTAGCTGTAGCCGACATCTGCTTGCAAAGGAAAAATTAGTTTTCTTCAATGGAGTCTCATGATATATTAAGTACAATCAAACATTGGTCCACACCAAGCAGTAGATGGCCAATACAAAACGAATTCAATGTCATTTTTGTTGTATACATTTTGGTTTGATACTGCTTTGTTTGTTTTTTTGTCTTACTGGTCTTCTGCTTGTATTTTTCTCTGATTTTGTAATTTTTTTTTAATGTGTGTGTGTATTTCTTGAACTCTTTGTTACCTATTTATTTATATTCTGGTTTGTCTGCTTTTTGGTTTGCCTGTTTTTCAATGACAGAGAGAAAGAATGGGTAAAGTTGTGTGGGTGGGGAGCTGGGAGGAGTTGGGGGGCAGGGAAACCATGATCAGAATATATTGTATGAAAAAATTAATTTAAATCAAAAAATGAAAAAAGGGTATAATAAGATAGATATAACTTTAATTCTGGTTGTTTCTTCAAAGTAATACCACTTCTTACTCCCTTTCTAGAGAAGACACGCATACAAGGACACATGCACACACTCTTGCTTTCATGCATCAAGTCTTGCTGTGGAGCCCTAGCTGCTCTGAAACTTGCTGGCCTTGAGTTTGCAGCAGCGCCTCCTCCTGGCCATCTGCCCTCAAGCAATGCAACTAGAGCAGAACACAGGGCTTTGTCTGGACACACTTGGACTTTGTACTTTATACATTATCACAACAGCAACTAAAATCAAGTTACGTTTCAAGAATTCAAAGGTTTAAAATTAAAAAAGAGAATACACGTGGTTTAGACATAATTGCAGTTTGAAAATGACACAACATAAATGTTTTATAGACTATGGCTTCCCATAATTAGGCAAATATTCACTGCCATTACCTATGCATTTAAAAAAAAAATCTGATACATTCCTACAGAAGCTTGTATACACAATATTTACTATTACTTTGTTTCAAACCATAGCTAATAGTGCTCCAAAACAAAAATCAGCATGGAATTTAAAAGTGGACGCTGCAGATCATCTGACAATATGATGCACATGGAAACAAGTTATCGCTTGTTAGACACTCCAGGTAATTCTGACAGCAGAAAAACATCTCTTTGGAAAGTAAAAACTCAGCCAGGCACGGTGGCATTCATGTAGTCCCAGCACTTGAGAGGCAAGGGCAGGAGAATCAGGAAGGAGTTCAAGGTCATCCTTGGCTACATTGTTGAGTTCAACAAAGCAGCCTGAGGTGTAGGAGACTCTGTCTCAAACAAGCAAGCAGATTGGTTCAGACAACCAAAAGTTAAAAACTCAACAGAACCTGTTTTTATATACTTTTATATATTCTAAAATTTTTTTTCAATCAGATGATTCCTTTCAGACTTGCTTAGATCAGGGCTGTAATATATAGCTGACAATCCTCTGTAGAATGAATAAAATCTATTCACTTTTAGAGATCAAAATTATAAAACTTTTTATAAATTGTGTCATTAAAATGAACATATTTATTAAAAATGTAAGTGAAAAATATTTAATTATTTTAGGGCAGTCAAAACACAATATATGATTGGCATCTTGGTGGCTGAAAGTAATCAGTTTACCACATGCATTGTAAACATTTGTACCATTCATTTAGAGTTGATAGTTAATTTAAAACTGAGTTTTAATCAAAGTTATTTTCAAACATTGTCATAATGTCACTTTGAAGAGTCATATCAATGGTACCCGCCATCTGTAGAAAAGAGAAGATTCTAATTAGTTTGAGATGCATACTTTTATTGCAGCTCTACAAATACACATTTGGAAAAATTTTGTGCAAAATATCAATGATTAACTTACTGACCATACATATACAATTTTAAATTAAACATATAGGTGATTCCTTTAAATATATTACACATGTAATAAAATGCCACAAGAACATTTAAGTTTAATTGTCCAACAAAGAGTTTCTCAGTACTTACGGAGCATTAGTAAGAATGCAAGCTGGATGTACAGTGTCTCTTGTTCCTGTGACAATCACAGCACTACATAGGCACAGGAAGTTGCCTTAAACAGGCTGGAAAGATGGCTCAGTGAGCCAGACAAGTGACCTGACTTTAGTTCCTAGCATCCATGTTAGGTGGTCCACAACTGCCTGTAACTCTAACCAGGCAAACTTACTCCTCTGACTTCTGTGGGTGTGAGCATGTTACACACACACACAGAGACACACACACACACACACACACCACCCCTACCTTTTTAAAAGTTTAATCTTAGCAATATAATATACAATCCCCATGTGAGAGAATGCTATGGGCTTTCACTGATTCTGGTACTGACAGGGAACTGTTTATCAGAATGGGATCAATGTATAGGGCAGTGCTAGGGAGAGTGCTCATTTGCAAATTAGTAATCTTTAAGAAATGAGCTGAAGAGCAGAAAATGATGAGTCAAACAAACGAAGCATGGTTGATCACTAAATTCTCAGGTTTCTTTTGTCACGCAAAGTTGGATGTGATTAAGAAGTTTTATGTAGATTGTAGCACAAGCACTATAAGAGGGAATGAGTGACACGCGAGGGGACGGGAAATGCTCTAGTGTGGGCATGTGCTTCCAGGGGAATCCTTCAAGACTTTTCTACATGTGAAGTAATGGCAAACATTAAAATTTAAAATCCCCATGCAGTGGACCAGTGAGGCACAAATGCTCTAGTCTGCTGCCAGTTGGTTGGCTTCTTGGATATGAAGTGGCGGTATTGTGTAGGAAAGGATTTAGAGCTATGGTCTACCTACCAAAAGGGTAATAAAAGGCTTATTTGTCCAGCACCACAAAGAGGGGTGGGGCATGTCTGACTCTAATAGACTATAAGAAATCCTTAAAGTTTGCCTTAGAGATGAAAAAACAACAAAACTTAAATCAGTACATTTTGAATGCTCAGCCTCCTAGGCTGCCAATTGTCTAGCCTGAATAGTTCCTTGAAGGTTAGTCTGCCATGTAAGAGCTGGAAAAGTCCCTGTCTAAGCATCAGGCCGTGCTGATCTATATGCAGGCACACTGGAAAAGTAGAAGAAAAAGTAACGAAACCTTTTTTACATTTAAGTAAAAAATTAAAATCGTTGTTTTGAAGGTTGCATGTAGAATCTTATTGTAGATTCACATCTATCCTAGCTAGAGTCAATTCATGTAGAACACTTACAAATAGAGACTCTTCATGATTTAAAATGCCACTTGACTTTGCAGCAGGTACTATAGGCTGGGTATCCCTTTCTCTGTGGTCCCAATCACAGATGGAGAACTACAGGGCTGATGGAGGAGACAGCCACGGTGTGGACTTTGAGTGCTGTTAAATGTTCTAGGACTAGTCAAGCTCCTGAAAAGTGCTTAGGGTATCGGGAAGATATCAGGCTGAGCTGGGCTGCTAGGGGATACCAGACTTTTGTATAAGTACTGGAAGGTGACTAAAGTCAGGTCTTGGTGAGTGTCAACAAGAGGATTCATAAATTAAAAAAAAATCCTATAAATGTTTGAAAAAGAAAATAGAACATGCCTATCATAATAGGAACTTCTACAAAAGCAGTGTTGTACAGTAAACTCTGGGGCAGAGGATGCAGCTCAGTGCTAGAGGCTGTTCATTCATAACACGTGGAAAACCCTGGGTTTGAGCCACAGCATCACAAACAATAAAACAATCTCTGAATAACACACTGTTAACTGTAATTCATTTCTGCTTGAGGTCAAGGCAGAAGAGAATATAGGTGGGACTTACGGGGAGAGAGGAACTGGAGATGAATCTAGGCGTGTAAGAGATTCCAGTGAGACATGAAGCAAGTAGGACATACATAATGGGAGAGAGGCAAAAGCCATTTGTCAGAACATAGGTTAATAGAAACAGGTTAGTGTGAGTTATAAGAGTAGTTAGGAACAAGCCTAAGCTAAAGGCCAAGCTTTCATAATTAATAAGTCTCTGTGTCATTATTTGCAGGCTGGCAGTCCAAAGAAAGTCTGAAGAGAGAGCATACTACAAAGAAGGAACATTTTAAACATAGGCGTGTGTGCATCAGATGCACACAGACACAGTGGTAACTCCAACCCTCCCATCAATAGATCATTTAGACAATAAATAAATAAATAAATAAACTTCAGAGTAAAACCATATGACAAATCAAATGAATTTGAGATCTACAGAATTATTTCATCCAGTAGCAACAGAAAACATGCTCTTCTCAGTAATAGCTCATGTGATCTTTCCCAACAAGATCATAATTTAGACTACAAGGCAAGTCTTAAATACCAAATCAGTGGAATAACCTTTTATGTTAGTCCATCATAATGGACTAAACCTAAAAGCGAGTAGTAAGAGAAAGCCACACAAACACAGAGACTGGACAATTCACTTTTCAATGGACAACATGTTACTGAAGAAAGGACTGGGATTGGGAAATCTAGAATGAGATGAAAATGAACAGACCTGGCAGGTTGAAAATCCTAGAGGCAAAAGGAAGCACTTCAGGATTTAAGCACAGGATAAGTATATAGGATTCACAGCCCAGAAATCTGGCAAGAACCCTTAAATTAACCACCTTCCCCAAGCGCAGGAACAAGAGTGCACAGTCTACAGAATGGGAAAAACTATAAGCTGTGTATCTAGAAGGGGGCTGGCACTCAAAATATATGGTAAATGAGGAAACGAACAATCTAACCCATAAAGGAGAGTACAAAAGCAAGTTCAAATGGCCAGCAAGTGCAGAACTCAATGGTCAGCATCTTTAGCCACTGAAGAAATAAAAACTACACTGAGATTTCATCTCACCACAACCAGAATGATAATCAGCAAGAAAACAAAAAGTAACAAACTCAAGGATGTAGGAAGATCTAAAGAATGCTGGGAATGTAAATTAGTATAGACATTATGGAAATCAGTTTATAGACATTATGGAAATCAGTACAGATGTTCTAAAACAAACAAACAAAACAAAAACAAACAAACAAACAAAAAACACCTACCATTCCTGGTCATAAACCCAAGGAGTCAGAGTCACCATAGAAACAGAGAAACCTGAACATCTACCACATTTACTGTGACACTGTTCACAATAGGTAAGCACATCAACAGATGAATGTATGAATAAAATGTGGTATGCGTATGTCTGTATCTGTAATGGAGCATCCCTCAACTATTAAGGATGAAATCATGTGTTGGCAGGAAAGTAAATAGAATTTAAAAACATCATGTTCAGCAAAATACATGAGACTCAGAAAGAGAAAGAATGGGGTATGTAGAAACTAGAGTTTTGTGAAAGTCATGAAAATAGAAGGGCAACTATTTGACAAAGAGACAAGTGGGAAGGGATTCTAGTCAAGAGTAGGTTGTGGGGTATGAATATGGCCAGTGCATTTTCATAATGAAACTAGTTAATTTACATATAATAATGACATGTACAAACATGGAAGATACAGAGTGAATATTAGTGGAAACTGTGAACTTACTGTGTGTGTGTGTGTGTGTGTGTGTGTGTGAGCCTATGTAAGCCAGAGATTGACATAGGCCATCTTCCCTGCTTGCCCTCTATCTTCCAATATTGAGGCAGGTCTCTCAGTTGGACCCAGAGCTCACTGATTCAGCTTCTCTAGCCTGCCAACTTGCTCTGGTGGCTCCTTGTTTCTTCCCGCTGCCCCAACCCAAGTGTTGGAACACAGGCAGGTCTCAATGCTCCCCCACATTTATGTAGGTTCTGGGGATTTGCACTCTGGTCCTCATGCTTGCACAACAAACCATCTCTCCAGCCCCAAACTATGGACTTGTGCTGGTGCTGATGGTGGAGTAGTGCTGTTAAAGTCTGTCCCCTGGGTATGACACACTGCCATGTGACGTTAGAGCAGCATTGATTATGACAAGTGAGACCCTCACAAGATCAGGCACTTCCTTCTTCAAGGAGAAGGAGAGGGTTCAAAGGTGAATGACACCTTTTCCCTCCTGAGGATATAGCAGCAGTTAGCAACTATTGGAGAAGGGAAGAGCACAGACGCAAGGAGCTGCCATGTTCCTATGAATAACCCCTTACCCAGGCTTGCTTGTGCGAACAACTCCAGCTGCACTCATACGTTTGCCTGGAATGGTTTCTTTAGTCTGTCGTTAGGGTCCTAATTGGAATTAGACAGACATGCCATACAATATCTGACACTTAGCAGGAGCATGGGAACCAAGCACATCCGTATTGTTCCCGTGAGTGCTGTGACATGGCATGCTTCTGAAGGTAAGATCACCTGGGTCCCTTACCAAGTTGAGCTGCATGTTGTCTATTGTCACCTTGTTGAATTTGTTTCTCTTTCTTTTTTTTTCTGAGACAGGGTTTCTCAGTGTAGCCCAGGCTATCCTGGAACTCACTCTGTAGACCAGGCTGGCCTAGAAATCAGATCTGCCTGCCTTCGACTCCTGAGTTCTGGGATTTAAGCTGTGCACCACCACCTTCTGGCTCTTTCCAATTTTTAAAATCTAGTCATCAGCTAAAGAGACACAAGAAACACTGACCAGGCAGCCATGGCAAGTCTGAAGTGATCTGCAAGTTTCTGAAGTAGTAACAGTGAATTACTTCATTTGCATGCCAGCCATTTTCTTTATGTGCTTAATTTACTTCACCACAGGGAATCATTATTACCTTTTTAAAATGAGGAATTTAAGTCACAGGAAAATGAAAAAAGTCTAGTAAAGAAGAGAGCCCAGGGAGTCCTAGTCCCGAGTTCCACAGCTGATCTGCAGTATCTCCAGCTTGTTTCTTGTAGAAATCTGTACACTAAGCTCTTATCTTAGAGTTGACCCCACGGCCTCACATGAGAGGAGATGCCAGTCTCTCCTTTCCCAGTTAGACCAGTAAGTTAGGGTATACTCACTGCCTCTCTTCTCCTCCGTTCTTGCTCCTTCTCCCTTGCTAAGTTCCGGTCTTTGAGAAGCCAGAGTTTGCTTATGTCTAGAGCTTCCGATGGCTGCTGTTCATGCTGTTCTCCATGACACTTGCTTTCCACTTTGTCTGATAAAGATTCTAGAGGCAAGCCATTTCCAAGGCCATTTCCAAGCTCCCTTAAATAAGCACGAGGGCTCAAAGTAGGTTTTAAGTTCCTTAACATTTTTTTTTTTTTTTAAAAACAAGACATGATTAAACAATGACAACAAAAAGTAATGCATGGGTCCCATGTTGTCAGAGTTCCTCCTCCTCCTCCCTTCCTTCCTTTCCTGACAGGACCTTATGTGGCCCCCTATGTAGCTAAGGATGACTTTAAACTTCTGGTCCTCCTGCCTTCACCTTCCCTAATGCTGGGATTACAGGTATGCACTACCACATGGGGATCAAATGCACTAACTTAGCTATACCCCCAAGCCCCCAAACTTTACTTCTGATGTGACAGGTTTTGTTTGGGTACTTTATATTAACAACAAAAAAAGAAAGGTTTTTACAAACCATGGCCCCCGCACAGCACTATCTTCCTACATCAGAATGGAAAAACTTGGAAGACAGTTCTGGGAAATACAGTCCTTATCATTTGGTAACATTTGCATCTTTACTAGCTCGATTTCTTGCTATTTCTGTCTTTTAAAAATTATATATAACCACTTAGAAAAATATTGAGAAGATATATACACTTCTTAAAACTACAATTTGTTGTTTGTTCTACTAGACAAAAGAATCACAGTAACTTGGCAAATTGTCAGAGGCATCTCTGTACCTCCCAAGGCCTTACTGAAGTCAGTGAGTCACAGACCTCTGATTTTCTTGAGATACTTTGGGTTCCTTTGAGCTTTGCTCCAGGTGTTTCCGTGTCTGCTCCTGTGTCCGGGCTTTTACTTCTTTCTCTATGGCAGCTTTTCTAAACTGGTTGAAAAGCTCATCTGAGGATTTCAGTACACTTGATGGTTTCACTGGCTTGCCTAGACTTTTCCAAGAGTCTGCATTCTTAATCTTTATATCCTAAAGTAGAAAAATATTTGATTCAGCCTATGTTTATATATACTAATCAAATTTTGGAAGAAAAATGGTATCTTCTGACAAGAGCAGGCTAAGGTTGGAAAGGCCTTTGTGGACTCTGACTTCAGCTGAGGAAAACAATTTAAACTCAGTTGTTCATCTAAGAGCAAACTAAAATATTACAAGGTTGTGCATGCTTCAGTGTGGTTCACTTTTGGGTGTTAACAGAGGAAATTGCTTGATTTTGTGTCTAGACGATAATCCTAAGCATTAAGAAACATCGAGGTAGAGGCTTGTTCCCTGAGTACTTCTAAGAAAGGAGAAGGGATCCATCTACCACCTTCATAGTTTGAAATTTAGTTTCAAATGCCTGGAATAGGACCTCATAGTTAAAGTATCCCAAGCATCTAGAAGATAGCTTGAAAAAATGCTTCCAGTGTGTGCTCTGAAGGTTAGGGAAGTCTCCACAGACTCTTAAGATGGTATTATGACAGACTATGAATGTAAGTAAAAGATTCATTACAGCAGGTAGGAGGTACATTTACTTACATTCTTTTTTTTTTGACATAAGCAAAAGTTAGGATTAGGGATCAATCTTATTTTAGTGTTTACAAATCTTTCATATAATTCATAATTAAATCTTAAGTCCTTTCAACATTTGAGAAAATTTACATTATTTTACCTTCTGCACAGGAACTCGAAAGCCTGGCTCTAAAGCTGAGGGGCTCTCAGCAGAGGTAGGTACCACAGCGGGGCCGTTGGAGGCTTGTTTGGAATCACCTAGAAGCACACACCCTTTAGAAAAGCATAATGGAAACACTTCAGGGTATTTATTCAGAGTTTAATTTTCATTTTCCTTTCATGTCAGACATCATAAAAATAAAATAGCCAGATATAATGGCAAATGCCTCTAATCCCAACAGTTAAGAGGCTGAGGCAGGACAGTCATGATTAAAGGTCCACTTGTACTACTTATAAAATCCTAATTAAGAAAAAAGAAAAACAAAACAATGGAAGACCGAGACATACATACAGACACATATGCTCTCGTGCACACACACACAGATATGAAATAAATAAAATTACTAAGTTTTCTATGTATTATAACTTTATTATATTTATATTATTTGCTGGTTATGTTATAAAAGTAAACATTTCTCACTTGAAGGTGACCTTTGTTTTTTACTGTTTGTTTCAGGATCATGGCTGACACACCATGGCAGGGAGCAAACCTGCTCTCATCGTATGGAGCCTGCTCTCCAGTCTGTACAGAAGTAGATCTGGATTAGGCTAAAATGTCATGAAAATTCTGCCTTTCTCTGGTGAGTAAAAAGGAATAGAACCAGGAAAGGCCTCCAGAAAGGTGGGGCATAGCACTAGATGGTCAGTGTGAGAGAATAAAAAATACAAAGAATAGGACAATACATATTATAATACCAACCTACTAGGCAAAATGTGCCCACTGGTGCAATGGTGGTGTGATTGTTATAGGTAACTGACTGCTTTCTGACTGTATCTGAGGTTTGTTCCACAGGAAGAATTCATACCTGGCAGTGTAAACTGGGTCAAAAGCTCATGGCTGAAGCCATCAAAGACCACAGGGGAGAATCTACTTCTATTTGGTTAAATGGCCATATTGTCTTCTCATTATTTATGTTAATACACCCTTAGATATGTGCTCTCAACTGTGGTTAGGAAATTTTGCAGTAGGCAGCCATGCAGAGACTTGCAACTGCTCAGCATGCTGAAAAATTTGCCTGGGAGAGCTCAGTCAGTTCTGAAGGCTACAGCTTATATCAACTCCCTCTCAGGGAGCACTGTGGACTAGAGAGAGGCGAGAGTGGGGAGGGACACTGTGAAGGGCTGTCTTCTAGACATGACTGGATATTTACTGCATTCATAAACTCAAGTGGCTATCTGAACAAGACCTACACAAGATCAAGCCAATCAGCATTTCAGCATACAGAGTAGGGGCTCTTCAGGCCCCACCCAGCTGAGGAGGTATTGGCAGGTGATAGCTGCTGGGAACAGAGTCTTACTCATTTGGTGATGTGGCTGTTGGTTGTACATGACTGCCCAACACCAATCAGCACTCACTGGACTCAGTAGATTATTATTATTATTATTATTATTATTTTATCATTGAACAGAAGAAGAGGACACAAGTTGGGAGGAGACATTAGGAGAGAGGTTCAAGTGGAGTTGGAGGGGATGGGACAGCACAGATATGACAAAATACTATAATCCAGTTTGAACTCTGATCAACTTTAATTGGTTGATCAAAAACATAGAGAAATAAAAAAGCACAGTGTCTTTTTTAATTGACTCAAACTCACAAAATTCTAATTATTCACATGATATGGGATGTATAGCTAAGCTTCTACCATCCCTCAGACCCTTGACTAAATCACACCTGTTTTCAAGCTAAGGCTAGAGGATAGCTAGAAACAGAGTGAGCACAGAAGGAAGGAGACACTGTCAAAGGAGGCATGAATTAAAGAACAGATCTTAAATTTAAACCCTGTGCAGTCCAACATGCATGCATTTTCTTAAGCCAATGAGGAGTGAAAAGGTGGGGGAAAGCTCAAGGTGCAGAAACACAGCCCTTTCCAGGTGCACCAGAGATTATGCAGGAGGCAGAGTGTATGTGGAAATTGAGGAGAACTCAAGGGTGATTCTCAGCTCATTGGAAAGTGGTAACACTGTCATCACCACTAATTAAAAAGGAAGATAAAAATCTAGGGACTGAAGAGCTGGGGAGATAGTTCAGCTGTTAAGATTACTGACTGTTCTTCCGGAGGACTGGGGTTCAGTTCCCATCACCCACAAAGTGATTTACAACCATCCGTAACCCTTGTTCCAGGGGATCCTACAACCTCTTCCAGCCTCTGTGGGTATCAGTCATGAACATGGTGCACAGACAAACATGCAGGAAAACACTCAGGTAACATAAAAATTAAAATAATAAATCCGGGGACTGAAAAGTGGGGTGTTTGTTTTTACATGGTTTAGATTGGTTATATGATACTGAAATAAAGACACTCATTAGTGTTGCATAAGCAAGATGAATTTGAATTGTGCAAATAACAGGAGAACAGAGACTACACAGAATTGGTATACAGTACATAGTTTCTCAGCCTTTTCCATGGCACGATATCTAGAGAGTAATGAAGACACATAGCACACCTAAGCAAACAAGGAGGCTGTGCTGAACATGTCATTTGAGAGAGGAGGGCAGTACTTGATCAGCAAGCCTGGGTGGGAAACTCCCCAGGAAGAAGGAAGCAGCTTATTGGAGAGCTGTGACAACAACTGTTCTCCCAGCACTTGGGAACTGAGGCAGGAGGACTATGAGTTTGAGAATAACGTGAGAATAACTACATACAGAGCACAACCCTGTCTCAAAAGAAAACAGAAGTTAAGGATGTTAAGTTCAGAATGTTGTTAATGTTTAAAGGCAGTGCAAAGCGTGGCAGTGGGACAAGACTGGAGGCGGGAGGAAAAACCATACTCGTTACAAATGGCGCCCAACGTGGCTACTAAAAACTTCCACTTAAAATTTAACAAAAGCTTAAAAAAGGGGTTTTTATATAAAAACAGAGACAAGGAAGGCTTCTTACTAACAGCATTTTTCTCGGTTGGACTCTGCAAGAGACAAGCAAATATTTGCGTGGCTCCTTTAAGGGAGGATTCCTGACTCAGCACAAGAGGCAAAAAAACCGCAAGGCTTTTAAATAACTTTGCTAACAATTTATTGGTGTGTATGAGAGATGGCAATGGCAGTGACCACATCTCCAAGCCGGCAGCATGCCTGCTGGATGGCAGCGTTGACCAGGGCAGTGACCACAGCTTTCATTGCTGGCGGTAAAGGTACCCACTGCCATCTTTGATAACTGAGGCAGAAACAACAAAGACTTTCATTTTACCAGATAAAAGACTCGTGGCCAGAAAAAGATAAAGATTTACAGTAAAGGCAGATTCATATTAAGAAAAACCTCTAAAGGTTTAAAAAATACATAGCCTCGGGGGAAAAAAAGTGGTTTTAAAAAGACAGAGAACAGCTGGGTGTGGTGGCCACACACCTTTAATCCCAGCACTCGGGAGGCAGAGGCAAGCAGATCTCTGTGATTTGCAAGTAAACCTTGTATGCAGAGTAAATTCCAGGACAGATAAAAGTTACACAGAGAAACCCTGTCTCAAAAAATAAAATGTAAAATGAACAGAGTAATAATAAAGCCACATAAAGATGAAAAGCTCAGAGAGAATCTGGTTACTGTATGGCATTATATTGTCTTTATATCGTTTGACTGCTGAGGAAACAACTGTTAAAGGAAATACTGCTGGATTAATTCAATTTATATATTTTAAAAATGCTTTGACTCTAAAATTTAAGTTCAAGGACCAGTTACTGGGGAAAAGGATTTCTAATTTTGTTTCCACAGAAAATGAAAAGCTGTGGATTCCTTCCAGACTAATGTGGTTTGATCAAGTCAGACCCCCTGAAATAGAGTTCCTGGTGATCCAACATTCAAAGCAGCTTGAACAAAGCAGCCTTGCAGACTACAGCCAGGATTTCTTCATCTTCTTAGGATCCCCATGACAGCGCCCCCTATCAGCAGGAAGTAGTTTGGAAAAAACGATGCCCAAATTCCCAAATATTGTTTATAAATGTTTGTTTTCATTTAAGTGGGCTCGGTTTTAAATGGTTAATGACAACAACCAATCTCCTTTTAAAGGTAAAAAGGGGATTATGGTATAGATATGAATACTTTGTTTTGGAATGGATTTTCATTTATTGATATAAATTTAAGGTCAATTTTGTAATTAAATATATTTCTCCTCTTGTTTAGGTATAGTGTTTATATAGCTCATTTAAAAATGTAATGTATAATTCAATACAGATTATAAATAGTACCTATGATAGTCAGATATTATAGTTAAGTTAGTTAAGATTTATAAATATATAGAAATGTATTTGAGATGGATAGGAATTCTTCAAACCTTTCAAAGACCTACAGAATATGGCATTTAAAATGATTTAGGGTTTTTCTTGACAGCAAGACATAAATGCTCCTGGTGTCAAAAAGGAAGATGGACATCGAAGAAACTCGTTATGGAGTTTACTTTCAATATGACAAGTCTAGCTATTTGGACAAGATACTGCTCTTGTATGGACTGTTTGACTTTATGCTGTATAAACTGGACATGCAGGACCCACAGAAAAGTGACTGCTGATTGAAGATGGACATTGCTACAGAGTTCCTGCTTCATGGAAGAGTCTGCCAGATAGTCTGCAGGATACAGAGAAAAGTGACTGACAAACAGTTTAAAGTTTCTTGCTTTACTGAAGAGTCTGCCAGACACTATGGCCTATGGGCTGAAGATGGAAGATTACAAAAGAACTTCAGGTGACTGGCAAAGCAAGATGTCTCTGTCATTTCTAGAGTTTATATACTTATTATCCTTCTGTGGTCTTTGAAGGAGTTGAAGACAGATAGTTATGGTTATAGTTTTCCTTAGTTAAGCTTAAAGATAAGTTACATATAGGACTTTAGACTCACAAATATAGGATGGATGATAGAATAGTTTCTTAAATCTTGCTAAATGTTAATGGACTAAATATTGTCAACTATGATTCTTACTTGATAACTGTTATGTTATATATTTTTCTATGTTAAGGTTAAAACCCTTGTTTTTATTTTAGACAGAAAAGAGGAGATGATGGGAGATATCATTCTGTATATGTTTCTCATACTGGTTTAATGAATAAAGCACTGTTGGCCAATAGGAAAGCAAGATAGGCAGGACTAGGAGACAAGGAGGATAGAGGATGTAGTAAAGAGGAGCCAAGATGGAGGATGGAGAGAGCAGTACGCGGCAGCCGGTTCCGGGTAAGAAGACCACGTGGAAATACATAGATTAACACAAATTGGTTAATACTTAAGACAGAGCTAGCCGATAAGAAAGTAGTAATTGGCCAACAGTATAATATAGAGTCTCTGTGTGTTATTTGGGGCTCGCGGCGGGAGGACAAGACCAGCGGCGGCAGGCGGAAAAGCCCAACTCTTACAGTGCTCAGTTCACCTGATGAGTCTTTCAATTTTTTCTTTTTTTCTTCCTACCACTTACTTCATTTCCCCATACAACTGTAAGATCTCTATTGTCCTCCCTAGAACAACCACACCATCTTTCTCTCCTAAGCATTTAACATGTGTCTTCGGGAGAGAACACAGTGCTCAGAGACTGTACTTGTCCTCTGGGCACACTAGGCCCTGCCTAAGAGGAGGCCCACTAATCTGTCTGCCGCTGTCTCTCTTGTTTATGGTTTATTCAGGGTTTGCGGTTTTGTTGTTGCTGTTTGTCTTGTTGAACTGGGGATTGAGCCAGGGGCCTTATATATGCTAACCATATAGTCTACCATTGAGTTACAATCCTAGTCCCTGGTTTACTTTCTTCTCCAATTTCTATTTCCTTCTCCACAAGGATGACTAGAACCTAAGTTAAAGACAAAATAAAAAAGCATGGAATTCCACACTGGAAGCAACAAGAGAGTCAAACCCCCTGTTCCTCTAATCTGAAGCGCAAGGTCATCTCGGGTACTCAGTGAGTACAAGGGGCATCTGGAGTCTAAGTGACTCTGACTCAAAGGAAAACAAAGAAAACCCACTTTGTTTTCCCCACATCACTGCACTTCATGTTTTTCCCACACATGTGTTAGAACAGCATTTTCCAAGGTAGCTAAAATATGGTGCTAAGGTTGGGTATTGAAAAAGATTTTTCACAATCTATATACCCAAGAAAATTGATTATAAATTATATAGATACAGTGAGTACTTTATATATATAGCAGACACCTTTTAACAGTGTGCTTCCGTGATGAGTCCAGTCTGGACCTGGCTCATTCAGGGTTTCTCGGATATGTAACACTGTTCTCACATGTGGCCTCAGCTTGTATTTCTTGTGGCTTCCTTGTATTTCTCACCTGAAAGAGGCTGAGTCTGCACAGATGCAATGCTCCCTGTGGTCTGTGGATGTTCTGATACATGCTGGCCATGCACCTGCTGGCATTGCTTCCCTGCTGCTGATGGGGCTATAGTCTGCTGAGCAAGGGGAGGTTTGGCAGAGGCTGTATCTTGCACAGGAGGCTGTATCTGATAGACAAAGACCAAGTTACTCTTCACAGTTCTTACCACACAAGAAGCACAACAAGAGAACTGAACACAAGAGGTAAGACTCTAATGAAAATGTGTCACTAAGTCACATAGACCTGCTCGAGGAGACCCTGTAGATGAGGATACCATGGTTTAGGAAGTTTAAATAGCTTGCTCAATGCCTATGATCTTAGATCTTCAGAACCCTGAGGGCCGATCTCTTTCTAGCCTTTGTTTAGAAATTCCGCACAGAACTCTACACACCCTGTTTGTGCACCGAGGCATGAAGTATTCCTCTGCACCCACAATACTGACGCTGAGCTGGGGTTTCTAGAACTTACTCAACTTAACTGACATATAGCAATTATTATCTTATAATAAGAAAGGAGGAAGCCAAGTCATTTCTACATTTCTATAGTCAACATCGTATAAGAGAAAGTCTTTGAACACCTAGTTGACAGGCTGAAAACAGTGACGTTTTAATGTAAGAAAAAAAAATGTGTTATTTTTCTCTTCTTTTTGAGTCTTTTGCTATACAATGCAGGCTAGCTCAAACCCTCGGTCCTCCTTCCTTTTCTTCCTCAGTGCTGATACCATTTATTGGCACTACCACACCCAGAGTGCTTCCCCCAAATCTTTTGAAGAAAGTTCCTACTAGCCATTGTAGCACACATACTGTTTTCAATGCTGATGTTAAAAGATTCAGCTTACCTTTATATTCTCTTTTGGAGGCAAATCATTCTGTTTTGCGTCAGTAAATTTAGGACATATTTCTGAAAATGTATATAATTATTTCAACATTTGTAAGCTTAAATAAACTACCAAGTTATAACTTTTCCATATATGAAATGTAAAAACATGAAACTGAGAACCTGCCAAAGAGACCCAACTCCCTGGTCCTAGGATGTCAGCCAAAGGGACCCAATTCCCTGTTCATAGGACATCATCAGTCAAAGGGCACAAGTTTTCAGGTGGACAGAAGACCAATTTCAGGAGCTCTGTTATAAAGTGATTATAGCCTATAATATGTTGCATATTTGAAAAACACTAACATAGTAGGTTTTAAGGATTTTCAACACAGAAAATATGTAGTGACAGATATGTTGATGTTATTAAATTGTTCTAAGATGCATGCATATGTTAAAAATATGTCAGATACCCCAACATGTTATTATTGTTTTTCAACAAAAGAAACAAGACTTTTGGGGCTCATAAAAAAAAGAAAAAGGGTTCACTTAAAAAGAATGCTTTTAATACCAATCTCTTGTATCAAAAAATTCTTACAGTTACAGATTTTGCCCTATTTAAATTAGGCCACTTTAGTTTAAATGGGAAAAGATATTTTCCCCAATCTTCTTTGTTTATGATGGAATAAATACCCATTCAGAAATCCCACTTTGGATTACATTCAAGAAAAAAAACCAAGTGTGCTGCTTCAGGGTAAGGAACTTCAGTGAGAATTTAAAAAGAAAGTTACAAAGCAGAGCTCAAGTTTTCAGACACCAGCTAAAGAGCCATAAGTACAGCTCTACAGGGCTTAGTTAAAATCATCGAGAACATACCACAAGAGAAACAAGAGCTTCTTATTTATCTGCTAGGATACATAGGATGAATTTATTATAAGTCAAATACCTGATACCCTTGCTAAACTTGAAGATCCATCTAATTTAATAGCCCTCTACTTGAAAACCACTTGGAAGTTCCTACTAGATAGAAACAAATTGTCTTTTTTGTTTGTTTTTGAGGCAGTGTCTTACAGCTCAGGATGGCCTCAAAATCACTCTGTATTGAAAGTAGCCTTGAATTACTCATCCTCCAGCCTCCACCTCTCACGTGTTAGGACAAGTGTACATCATCACTCCTGGTTTGTACCTTATAGTACCCAGGGCTGAGTGCACGCTTCTTAGGTAAGTACTCTATCACCTACAGCACTCCAGGAAATCAATGGGTTTTACAGGGCCTCCTTTGCTCTAAAAATATCTGTTCAGCTGACACTGGCAGTAAAAGTAAATGTAAGAGCCCTTTCTGCCTGCTGTGGTACGACAAGGTTCCTTTTTTGTTTATGGTACAACCCACTGTGGTGCCATTCTCCCTGGCATTAGCTTCTCTACCATGTGAAGAAGCAGATTGGTAGTTACTACCTTGATCCATCGCTCACAGCCAGCCCTCACGAACCACCTGAATGGTATTTCGTTCAAGCCCAAGGGTACCAAGGCTGGTCAACACCAAATATTATGCAAACTTAAAACACTCTAAATTAATAATTACCTTCTGCCTCCTGAAATGCCATCAGTTTCCACTGGATGTGTTACTGTTCTTTCCTCTCTTAAAATATTTGATGCTGGACACTGTTACAATTGCTAAATGGCACTCAAAGTTGTGCTTTAACTTAAAGAATTCAATGTTTAAATGACACAAGCCAGTATCACTCAGCCAAGACCAATTTTAGTGTTGGGATTGGGTAGAGGGGTGACTGGGAGGGACTGAGCACACTGAGGATAGAGAGATCCGGGGTCCTTCACACTTAAAGAAGAAACTACAGTTCAGCTTTGAACAAAAAACAAAAATACATATCATTAATATAATAATACACATATCTATTAATCTTATTCAAACATGCACCTAAACTACAATGTCCTACAATGCAGATACCTTAGTGAAATAAGAATATCACACACCACACTAGTGTCCTGCTAAGAAAAGCTTAAGAACATTTCCTTAGTTTTATGACATATAAAACTAATGTTTAGGCTTATAAAAATTAGTACCACAAGATCTGGAGACACTAGCAAAAGGCAAAGAATTTTAACTAGAAATTTCAGAATTGCCTAGTACATGTAAATAAATATTTACACTGCACTATAGCATATTTAACATTTAAATGTTCTACTGAACACAGACAGGAGAACAGTGCTTTGCTTCTCATCCTAACCTTAAGTAACTGCCTCCCAAGAACATGGTGGTATAAATGCATATATGCACATTTTTGCTACTAAGCTTAGCATTGTATTTTAATTAGTAATAATGATCTACCATATTTGGGAAACATCAATATGTTGACAACAATTATGATTACATATCTATTAACAACTAATTTCTCTTGGGTCTCTCAACAATATACATGCCTATATTAAGAAATTCTCATTATGCAATGTAAATGAACCACAAATCCAATGCATATGATATTGTTGTTCGAATTTCACATCTCTCAAAAACTTAATTTTAAATTTTAATTGTAAGATTTTTTTTATTCTAAACTACACACAAAACTTATTAGAGTTAAAATAGCTAGAATTGTTAGAGACTTGGTTAACAGGTCTACTCAGTACTTATTTACCTCTGGAAGCCCTGAGGTACTCCAGAATGTACTCCAGAGACACCAAATGTCACCAGCAAGCTCATTTGAAATAAAATCCCAATAGGTTGAATATGAATTCAAAGCCACAGTGCAACCCAGAATATGATGTCACACACACACAAGAAATAATTACCAAAACTTATGAGATTAGAGAAACCATGTCCCATTCTAAAAGACCATGGAAGTGACTGAACTCATTGTGTGGCAGCTTTATCTTATTCTACAGAGATAGCAGGCCCTGAGGTATGGAAGGATTTGTCCAAAGGTATTAACCAGACCCAGTCTAGTAGTCACAAATTCCAACAATTGGTCCTGCACCAAGCTCGTGGTCCTTTTAAGGACCTTTGGCTATTCTTGTTGTAGTGTTTGGAGGTTCCTTTAACACCAAGAACAAAATAGTCATAAAAACTTGCTTCCTTTATCATGAGTCTTTCAACTTGAGTTAGAAAAGAGGAAGCCACAAAAGAGCAAACAACTACAGTTATTCTCAAACATGACAGTACCTTTGAAGCCTTAAAATTTTATTATTTCACACGAATGACTACCAGTATTTTACATATGTGTGACATGTGAGTCTGGTGCCTGCAGAGGAATTACAAATGGCTGTGAGCCACACGTGGTTGCTGAGAACTGAACCAGGGGCTTCTGGAAGAGCAGCCACTGCTCTAAACTGCTGAGCCATCTCTGTAGCTGTACAACCCTAACCCTCCTATATTTTTTAAGGCTATGCATACCTGTTTCCCATGTCCATCCCAATTCAGACACAGTTCAGATTCAGACACAGTATTATAAAAAAGCTTACAGGTCATTCTAATACTGCCAAGGTGGAGATGCACTATTACAAATAATACAATTATCCAGGAAGACCTAGCTTGTGTAGAAATAATGATACACAGTATAGAAATGATGAGTACAAGGTCCAACCTTAATACAGACCTCAGTGTATGAACCTGTTTATACTTTATTGTACCAAGCCTGGATTCTTGGCTTGTATCTTTCTACATCCTTCTAGTCCTTTGAATCAAAAGACTTCAATTGAGAGAAATTTAATCATATTCTCTGTGCTTCTGCAGAAAAACTCAAGGACAGTGAAGTGATAAATTATTTTATTCTTACTCTGAAATCACTGTTAAAAGATTATTACTATGGAGTTGTTTTGTGTATATCAATCACATTAAACATGCTTCAAACATTCCACTTTAGACTAAGTGTTTGAGCTCATATTTCCGTAGTTTCTTGGATTATTTCCTATAAGGTTCCAAACAGAAGTGCTAGTATTTTATTTATTTTTGTTTAACTTTTGAGCCAGGGTCTCATGCAGTTTGGGCTGGCCTGGGATCTTGAGTTTCTGATGCCTAGCCTGGCTAAAGTGCTGTGGCTGATGAGCTAAGCCATAGGACTGTTAATCTCAATTGTTTGATTATATTCCTCTTTATCACGATACTTAAAAGCAGTTTGTTGAGTTTCAGAACTGTTCCCATGTGAGCACAAGTGCAGCCAACACAGCTATGCAGAATTAACTTTATTTTCAAGCCTCATCTATATCTTGAATCTGACACTTTATATTTTGACAGATATGAAAAATAAATTTAAAGGGTTTGCATTTGTACCAATGTTTACTAGATCCCTTGATTTATGTGTACATGACTACTTGCAGACATTGTCAGTCAAAAAGAAAATGTAAATGATCAAATTACATTGTAATGAAAAACTACCTCTGGTCCACAGGTTCCCATGCTCATTTTACAAGGATTTAGGATTTCATTAGCAACTCTTTATCTTGAAATAGATTTGATATCTTGCTTGAAATGATAATTAAATGAATCTCTTATATTTTTCAACAAGACAGTCCTTGGAAATCTATACTCTACTGTGTAGTTAGTCCTGCTTAGTCAAGTAAAAAAATATGTACAAACTGATGTCATAATAATGGTCAATAGCTCTTTTGGTGATTCAGAACAAACAACTTTAAAGCTACTTATAACACTCATGTAGTTTTCAATATTACCTATTCTGGCTAGTTTTATGTTAATTTGACCCAAGCTACAGTCACCTAAAAGGTGGGAGCCTCAACTGAGAAAATGCCCCTCACGAGACTGGGCTGTATGCAAGCCTGTAGGCCATTTTCTTAATTAGTGACTGATGTGGGGAGCCCAGCCCATTGTGAATGTTCTTTGCCTGGCCTGGGCGTCCTGATTCTATAAGAAAGCAGGCTGAACAAGCCAAGGGGAGCAAGTCAGTAAACAGCACCCTCTGACTTCTGCATCAGCTCCTGCCTCCAGGTTCCTGTCCTGTTTTGAGTTCCTTTCCTGACTTTCTTCCATGAACAGTGTTGTGGGACTTTGAATAAGAAAAACCATTGAATATTAAAGCTTGGTGAGCTGTTGTGTGGGAGCTGGGAAGATAAGAATGTTG